TAAAAGGGAAGCCAAGAGGAAACCACACATTTGAGGGGGTCCCATAAGAAATGGACACCAGCGAAATACGGTTGCTGTCCTTCTGGTCTCCCACAAAAAAACGAACACGGTACCCTCAAAAATATCGCATCATTAGGGCAAACTGCAAAGCACACAGGTCAGGGGCACCCTTCACCGGGCTTTACACACCCTTCAGGGTGGTTCGACCTTTTGCACACCCCTGCTCATCTGTGGCAATTTTTTAACCCCCCCCCCCCCCACCAAGCTTTGTAAAGGGACCGGCTGCGTAGAAAAGCCGAAAAGGTGTGCAAGCCTATGTATTCCATTGTTGCTTTCTGGGCATGGCAAGGTTCCATGGTGAACAGGCTTTAGCTGGACAAAATCGATCTTGTTTTGCGAATCCAATCTGATACTCCCATACCTACGACAAAGCACTTGAGACGGGGTGTATAACGGAACATGGGCCAAATCTCGGTTCCCACCCTTTGTAGTCAGAGCTAGTCAACCCCAGCACGTGAAAACTTCAAGTGGATCGGCCCAAAAACCGGCTGAACTTGTCATGTACTGCCAAGTGCAGCAACCTGTGAAGCACTGATGCTACAACCTCGTTTGGATGTCCCAAAGTTGGTGATGCGTTGCCCTTCACCTAGCCGTACTTCCCGTGGTCCCACTTCGTTCTTCGGGCCAAAACACCCACAAGCGACGGGTGAAAAGAATGGGCTCAACTTTTCAGCTCGCACTTCCTCCTATGTTAGCAAGCGTCCTGAGGAAAATGGTCCAAAAACGCTTTCAGGCAGGTTCCATAGCCTTGGAAAAGGGCGCTAAATTAGACTGGCGAATAAGGCGCTTTCACCACCGAAGGAGAGCGACAGCAGCACCAAATCGTCGAAGTCCATCCTGAGATGTGGCAAGGAAGAGCCGTCCGTGGCTTTTTGTGGGGGATCCATGGCTGAAACTTCCCGGCTTGTTTGGGATCCATCGTGGTGTGCTTTTTGGATGCAAGGATGTTTGGAATCCCGCCCCTTCCCACCAACCAACTGTCTGTTCAAGGCATTCTTGTTCTCAAGTGAATCTAGCGAAACCCCGCGTTTGGAATTCCCCTGGACAACACTGGCCTGGGATGGTCCAAAAAACAAGGTATCCCAACATGGTTGGGCGGACAGAAACGCAGCAAACCATGGAGGGTTCACGGAATTACTCGCCCGCAAAATGAGCCGGAATGCTCCAAAAATAACCCCGGGACAGCCCAAAATGCGGTCATCCCGGGACGTAATGCCGCAACACATGTCCTTGAGAAGAGCCATTTTCCCTTTTGAACGTTGCGGTACCAAAAAGGAAACCCACTTACGAAGGGGAGGGCCAAGCCGGATGAGTCACGATGATTGGCGCTCAGTCTGAAACCGAGATGATGGGAAAGCCACCTCTCCAACTGCGGATGTTAGTGGAGATGCGAACGGTTTGACTTTGGTAAGGAATAGAGTGGTCAGCTCTAGTTGGCAATGTCTGCCGTTGGTTGAGACTTTGGTTCGAATAAAAACCCGGGGCAGTTGCCCACAGCAAAATGCGGGACAAATCAAGCTTGAAACTGACAAGTGAGAACTACATCTCTGGTTGATCAACAGGGCATTGTCCCATGTAAGAGGATATGCATCATGGTTGTTTGGGGGGGACCCCACCCCCTAGTCTGCCACGTTGATTTTCCCCCCCAAAACAGATCCCGCTGGAGCCCGACATCTGCCTGTGGCGTTCTTATTCTTTGCCGAGTGTCTGATCCAAATATCGGCCACCCATCAGCATCATGGAGGCGAACCTGTTTGGGAAGCCGAGGCGTTCCCCGGCGCACAGCGGCTGAATCACCGTGTTTTCCAAACCCGACATCGTCACCGTCTTCAGCACCGTCTCGTCCTTCCTTTTTCTAAAGCCCAGGCCGCCCACAATCAGCACCTTGCATCCTCCTCAGCTGTGCTCGCTCCACACGCAACACCCTGAACTCATGCCACGTTCGATTTATTTGGGGACCCTTTGGTGGGGTGTCCATTTGTGGGGATTCATGTCCAAACACTTTTGAGGTGGCTCCCTACCAAAATTCATAGTCACAGGTTTCATCGGGCAGCTTCTCTACGTCTTTAGCCCAGCTGCCCGGCCGCCCGCGTTGCCTCGGCCCGCGAAGTCGCGGCGGCCGCGCCGCCGGCCGCGGCGCGGGACCCCGCGGCGGGGGACCCCGGCGCTTCGGCAGCGGGAAGCGGCGCTTGCCGGCGGCGAGGACCGTCCTGGAGGAACGCTCCGAGCCAAGCCTCATTTCTGTCACCGGTGTGGGTTTTGTGCTGATACGTACTGGTACACTGCAACAAACAAAATGGGTTCGTCATGTACAGCTGGATTCTTTCCATGCCCGTGGAGCTTTCGCCATTTCTCCAAGAATCGATATCTCTCACGCATCAGAGGGGAAAGCTAGAAAACGGCCGTCACACGCAGCTTGCGGATCGGGAGGACTAACCCCAAAGTGGACTGTGCCAAACTTTGCACGTGCGCTGCACTCGGCGCTTCAGATGCTTGCGTCAAGGTTCTCACAAGCGGACCCCTTGTTGAGTTGCGAAGGGAAAGCAAAAAGCAAGCAACCCAGGGCGGGGTTCTCCGATCGTGCGAAGCCGTTTGTTCTCGGCTGGCTCTTTGGTTGCTGGTTGCGTGCTTTTGCCAATTCAAGACAACACCTCTACCCCAATTTTTGGGGCTCATACCGGGAATCCCCCAAGATGATCTGAGCACCGCCCACGGACTCTTGGTAGAACCCATGGACACGGGCTGGCCGGAAAAATCGGAAATCCCCACTGCGAAACGAAAAAAATCGCGGCGCGACCTGCTGGAGGTGAGCTGCTGGAAGGCGGCCTGACATGAGGTGCGTCGTCGGACTTTGGCTAGGTCCTCCATTAGAGAGGTTAGAATAAGGGTACCAAGTTTTCCTGTAGTCTATTTTAGTAGGGGAACCCTCCCCAACAAAAGGGCAAAAGTGCACTACTGGGGGACCTAGTTGGCTTCTGTTCGATTTCCTTTTGGTTTCCCTGTGCCAAACATGGGCTTGTTAGCTTCCCAGTTGGGCTCAGACCCCGCTGCGCCAGTTGAAAAACCTGGCCGGCTTTGCGCTGCTTTCGCGGCTGTTCCCGTCAGCCAAACTCTTTTCTGAGGGAGATTAACCCCATTCCCTTTCGAGGAACGAAGCAGTGCTTGCGTGTGCGGAACATCCCAGGGCTTTATTGCAACCGCTTTCTTTCGGATATTGCTCCTCGGGTTCGCCGAAGTCTTTCGGGTGCTTTCTCCCTGGTGGCCGCAGGGGATCCTGCCCGGACCTATCAACTTCGCCTGGGAAGCTGCGGAATCTCCAAGAAGAAAGCACCAAGCAGGTGTCCGCTAAAGAAGTATCATGAACAGGCATCAAGCCACCTAGCCAGCACCTTCTTTTTGGCGTGGGGATCCCAACAATGCGCAAGGGCGGGTGCTTGAAGTGCTTTCAGCCGGAGACTAACAAGCAGCCTGGCCCACTTCGCATGGGGTTTCTGAGCCTGTAAAAGTATGGGCGAAAGAGATTGTGCGCATGCACCCGCAAACATTAACGACAGGAAGCAAAGGTTTCGACCATACAAGTTCAAATGATACTGGAGCAGCTGACATGATGCACAAACAAGCCTGAGCATCATGAATGGCAGGCTGGTATGCCATTCTGGGTCCTGATTGTTCAGAAGTAAAACGGACCAGCACCATCCAGCACCCCAAAAAACAAATGTGTCCCATGTCCAAAAAACTCAAAAAGCAGCGGTTGGACCCAAATCCTGGGGTCGGTTTGCTTTCCTTAAGCCATGGGGGCCCTGCCCGCTCTCCCTGCCTCAGGTGGGCGCCCTGCGAGTCGACAAGGATCTTCATTTCCCCACCAACGACAAAGCCCCGGATGGGGGGGGGGAGGGGAACGCGTGTTACAAGTTGCGGATAAGCCAAGGGACAACCGGTTTAGCAAGAAATGCAGGACTCGCGTCCCAGCAACTCATAGGCTCCCGCCCCCTCGCCAAGACCCCGGGAGAGAGCTAGGAGCGGGGACTGGGGGGTGAGATTTGGTCCAAGCTGCTCATTCTGAAGCCACCATGCAACCATGAACCTGTGCGCCTTCAACAATACTAAGTAAATGAACCGCACTGGTTCGCATTTTGCCCCAAAACGACCCCCCCACAAACCAAGAATGGCTCTTACCCTGCAAGAAAGGCTCGTAGCCTGCGCACCCTTGAAGTGAAAGGTTTGGGGGAAAGGGCGCTGTCGGCCGGCCAAGGGTTATGAGCCCAAGCGCTTAGGAGCGCTCTGAGATGATGAAGCAGGAAGTGACCCTACAGCTCTACACTGACCGGGCTTCTCTGGTGACCCCCAAATCCCATGGGAAAGAGCCAAAATCGCCTGGACATCTCCGCACCATCCGCTTCACTTTTCCCGGCCTTCCGCAGGCTCCGTGTCCGTCTCCTGGAGGAAGGGGTAGAGATCCCGCACCTGCCGCTTCGAGAAAAGGCCGCGAAGCTGGAAGCCGCCGAACTCCGAGCAGGGCACAAGGGAATCCGCAAGTGCAGGATGTGAGCAACCTTCGGTGAGCCTCTTGTAGCTTGCCCGAGTTTATCTATGTGTACAGATACATAAATAAATAAGTATATGTATATATATATACCCGCAGGACGGATGGCTCGCCGTCACTCATCAGCGCATTTCGCAGTACCGTGAACGTGCCATGCCTCTGGGATTCGCGTATCCTCGGGCTCCCTAGCGCGCAATTGCGGCCGTGCCAATGGGGAAATTTTCGGCCACTCGCGGGAGATCTCCCGGCGAGCGGGGTGGGGGGGGGGGGTGGAGGGGGGGTGGGGGTAATTACGTTCACTGTACACGTTAGATGAACCCATGCAAGGGGCTCATCGTTCTCGCAGCAGACGTTCAAACGCACTCAGACGTACTTGCAGACATGTAGACGCACTCTGTCCTTCGCTGTTAACAGTCTATTAAAAAAAAAAAAAAGGAAAACAATTTCCAATATATGTGATATGTATACACACGCATGCACCACATGTCTTGCTGAGTCTTGCTCTGATGTTTTGTGTGGACCCTTCTGTGACATGTTCTACGGAGGTACTTTTTGACTGTGGAAAGTTTTGGCTGACAGGGTAGGCTCATAACAGTGCAGGAGGCCGCATCTTTGTCGCTTCTGATCTTGTTGCGATTGATAAGACGCCCAGGCTTTCTGGCTGCGCACCCAGTCTTGCAGTCTTTTCTGTGGCCCGCATTGCCTTGGCTGTGCCAAGCTTTCCGTGTAGATAGCTGCCACTGGCTGGAGGTCTGAAAACAGAAGGTGCTGTTGGACCAACGGCGAACCATCCGTCCTGAGCGTGTGTGTATATATATATATGGTCACCCCCCCCTGCATGACCTACCGTTGTCTTTCAAAAAGTCGTTGGGGACCATTAGCAGACAATAAAAAAGTGAAAAAACACCTGTTTTTTTATGGTGTTCGATTAAAAAACAACACAGTCAACCATTGAAAAATTAAGAAAAACCAGTGTGTTTTGATGGTTTTAGCAAAAAATGTGCAAAAATCCATGTTTTTTTTAAGAAAAAACAGGAAAGCATTCAAAAAAACAAGTGTAAAAACTGATATGTTTTTCAGATAGATCCCTAAGTCAAAAACTAAGAATTCCCTGGGTTTTTGATGGTTTTGCAGTAAAACCTTCAGAATTCCTTGGGTTTTTAGCATTTTTCACATAAAACCAAGAAAACCTCGAGAAAACCAAGAATCCAAGAATCCAAGATTTTCAGGTAGATGTTTGGTCCACTACAAAATCTTGGATTCTTGGTTTTCTCGAGGTTTTCTTGGTTTTCTTGGTTTTACTTGGGAATTCTTGGATTTCCAGCAAAAAACCAAGAATTACTAGGGTTTTTTTTGGATTTCCAGCAAAAAACCAAGATTTACTAGGGTTTGTTTGGATTTCCAGCAAAAAACCAAGAATTACTAGGGTTTTTTTGGATTTCCAGCAAAAAACCAAGATTTACTAGGGTTTGTTTGGATTTCCAGCAAAAAACCAAGAATTACTAGGGTTTTTTTGGATTTCCAGCAAAAAACCAAGATTTACTAGGGTTTTTTTGGATTTCCAGCAAAAAACCAAGAATTCCCAAGTAAAACAAGGAAAACCAAAAAAACCTCGAGAAAACCAAGAATCCAAGATTTTGTCGTGGGCCAGACATCTACATGAAAATCTTGGATTCTTGGATTCTTGGTTTTCTCGAGGTTTTCTTGGTTTTCTTGATTTTACTTGGGAATTCTTGGATTTCCAGCAAAAAACCAAGAATTACTAGGGTTTTTTTGGATTTCCAGCAAAAAACCAAGATTTACTAGGGTTTGTTTGGATTTCCAGCAAAAAACCAAGAATTACTAGGGTTTTTTTGGATTTCCAGCAAAAAACCAAGATTTACTAGGGTTGTTTGGATTTCCAGCAAAAAACCAAGAATTACTAGGGTTGTTTTTGATTTCCAGCAAAAAACCAAGATTTACTAGGGTTTTTTTGGATTTCCAGCAAAAAACCAAGAATTCCCAAGTAAAACAAGGAAAACCAAAAAAACCTCGAGAAAACCAAGAATCCAAGATTTTGTCGTGGGCCAGACATCTACATGAAAATCTTGGATTCTTGGATTCTTGGTTTTCTCGAGGTTTTCTTGGTTTTCTTGATTTTACTTGGGAATTCTTGGATTTCCAGCAAAACACCAAGAATTACTAGGGTTTTTTGGATTTCCAGCAAAAAACCAAGATTTACTAGGTTTTTTGTTTTTATTTCCAGCAAAAAACCAAGAATTCCCAAGTAAAACAAGGAAAACCAAGAAAACCTCGAGAAAACCAAGAACCCAAGATTTTGTCGTGGGCCAGACATCTAACACAACAGAAATACCAGCACCAACTGAAGACGAAGAAGAAGAACCACAAAAAGATAATTTTGAAAAATTGAAATCTTAATAATAGCATATATAATGGGTATTGGTAAAAGTAAAAATAATGAAAATAATAGTTTGGAAGACATTAAGAATTTAAGTATAGATGAAAAAAACACGAGCAGACACTTCAATTATTAAATCTCTTCAAGAATGTGTGACACGAATTGAGAAACTAGAGAAAGAAAAATCTGACAAATTAATATATAAACTTCCTGCCTTACAATGTTGCAATGCTTCGTTAATTTAAATTAATAATATTAACATATAATAATATTATTGATTGCTATCATAATCTGTCATTTTATCCTCTGGTATTGTTGTTGAAGTAGTACTATTTATATCATCTATTAAATCTTCTTCATCAACAAAATTATTTTGACATCTTAATAATTCCTCGTCTGTTGCCCTTCTTTTCAATACTTTATAAAGTTTATGTATCCAAGAATTAGTATGAAAATTACAATTACCTCTACGATAAAATCCACCACATCTACATAGTTTCATTGGCATATTACTATATTATATTAAATTATAATATCTTTATTCATCATTCGTAATTTGAAATGCCTGTTCAAATCTGATATGAAACATTTTGTTAATGTCTTTAGCATTCATATTCACGTAGAAGAAACTATAAGGTGCGTCATTAACGGCTTGATGATACATATCTAATAATTGCTGTTTATCAACAATGGCGCTATTTTCTTCAATAAAACTCATGAACTCACTTGCATTTTTCAACCTAATGAACTGGCATTTAAACGAATGATAGGCACTAAAACATTATATTTTGTGTTGAACAAATTACACTTACTGCATCGTGCCTGCCTCTTGTAAAAAGTCCGTGTAATAATTTACTATATCTAACAAATTTAGGATCGTCTGCGTGGTCATCTACAACGATGAATATTGAATGCGTGGTCATCTATAACGATTAATATTGAATGTAGTTTCTTTATCTTTTTAGACTTCATATAATTAATTATTTTCTTCTGTCTTTCAATTACATTTTCTAAATCACTTGGATTATAATTATCAAAATAAATTTGTCTTTTTCATCATCCACGTGCAATTCATCCCTGATGTATTTTTTAACTTCTGTAAAAGTTGGGTCATTATGAACGCTGGGGGAAAAAATAATATTCTTGCAAATGAATTTCTATAAACATTCAAGATAAGGTTTTGGACTAAAACTGTTTTGCCTCCCGTCGATGAAGCAACTATAATACTTCTAAATGGTAATTTTAGCACGTGCTCATATTTGGATTGTTTGAATTCATATTCAGTTACGTTTATTGGTTTTATTATTGGGACATCTGTCATAGTTGATATTAAAGAAATATGGAAAATTATATTTTAAAAAAAACTTGTCATTAATATTAAATGGACCATCATTATGTTATGAGTGGCGGCGAATAACATAATGGAACAGGTTTTCCATTGCTTCAATCAATAAGCATTGAAGATAATTAGTTTTGTGTTTTGCTCGCGTGTGCAATGAAAACCAAGTGCTGTGCCCCACCAATAGCGATGAAGGGAGGGGCAAATGATAGATGAGATCCTGCTTTTTTTAGCTAAAAGGTAGGTCATGCAGGGGGGGGTGAGCATATATATATATACATATATATATATATAGAGAGAATTGGCGGTGGTCTTTCACACCCAGCTAAGCCGCTTGTAAAACCCTTGTCGCTTAGGTCACTAAACATTCAGCACGCCCCCTGGCCATCTAAGCAACGGGCTGGTTCGGAGGGAAGCTTGAGGGCCAAAATTGCAGTGGTCTTGTCGGTGCTAATGGCCAAGGGGGCGAGCGAAATGCTTCATCCCAGTTACCCTCCCACCAATTAACATGGAACCTGACAGGGGGGGTCCTGGAAGACCAGTTTCCTTTTAAAGGGACCCCCTGTCAGGTTCCACGTTAGTTGGTTGGAGGGTAAGGGTTTGCAAGAGAAGCCAAGGAAATTGAGCGCGGGGGCTAGCTGGGCTCAAAAAAAACACTTGGAGATCTGCATCCGGGTCATGATTCCGGTGATGGCGGCCCTGCGACCATGTACCTTCTATGGAAGCAAAGGTGCCAGTGTCCAGAATTCAGGGAAACAATTCAACCCTGGGTACGTCATAATCAGGAACAGCCCACAGTTTGGACTGCTATTTACTCAGCTTCAACCCGGTTGATGGTTGTGGCTCACAGCGTCCAACATCCCAAAGGTGTTGGTCATCAATGTGGAGTGGTGGAGTCAGAAGTACTGTACGGGTCCGCATATTTCCAGCTAAATTGGAGGGGAGGAATTAAACAGAATGCAAGAAACGTGTCCCTCATACTCAAAAATATCCTTTGGCCTCATGACTTTGTAGCCAACTCCTGCCTCTTGCAGCTGGGAGCCCGTGAACAGGAGCATGTCCCGCTCACGCACGGCTTTCCCCTCGGTTCGCCAGGACAATGTGTTGCACCAGTCCAGTGGGTGGTTGTGGAAAGCTACCCTCTCTGCGATACCAAAGTAGCACCTCCCCATGACCAGTTCATCACTCCAAAGTGGCTTCCCTTTGTATCACGGAATTTTGGTCCTAAAATCATTCTGAACACACACACAAAGCAACAATGCATCTTTCCAGAAAAGAATCAAGGGAAACCTTTCGGCGTGTGTGGCCCGTGTCATCCCTTCGCGGCTGATTGGAACGGGTCTGCTTCCAACTGGGGTATGGCTGGCTCCCAAAGGGTGGCAGTGTGTCAGTTTCCCTTTTCCCTTGAAAGCATCCCCACAAAAAACCACCACCTCGCAAAAGAAGAAGCCACACAAACGGCACCGGAATTCCCAGCTGACAGGTCTCGTGCCACTTCAAGTTGAGCCGGTCAGAAGTTGCATTGACCAGTGCCCTACAAACGCATTGACTTTCTCTACACCTCTCGCCTGGCGGCTGGTTCCGGTTTCTCTGGGTGCTGACAAGCATCCATCTGGAGTGACAAGTAGCGAAACTGGAGTTGAACTTAGGCTTGGCCCCAAATTCCGGTGGTAAAGAAAAAACCAACAGGAAGACCCAAAAGAGAGGCCAACCAAACATGGCGCTGGGCCCCCAGCTTTTCAGGTTTCCTGTTGATCTTCCTACTCGGAAACCCCGGCCTCTTCCGCCTCCTCTTCCGTCTTTCTTCCGAAGGCGTCGAGGGCGCGGAATCCCACGCGAAGGGCCAGAGGCGCCGCGCCGGCAAAGAGCTGCTCGTCCTGGGTGGTCTTCTTTGGGATGGGTTGGTATTCTTTGGGAGCTTTCTTTTGAGCCCCAACATGGGGGGGGAAGAGGTTGTTGTAAGGTTGTGGTTTAAATCTGTCCTTTGGGTTGAGTTGTTGCTGGGTTGTTGTTTTGTGTATCATGTTGACAATGTTGACCCTGCTCCAATGTCCACCCCTTGAAGTCATGTAGAACCCAACGCAATCTCCCTGAACTGGTGGCAGGGTTGGGGTGGGCTGCATCGGGTTTGGCCCCTTTTGGTTTGATTGACTCCTGCTCTCACTTGGACGTGTCTGTATATTGTAGGGAACCATGCCGTTTGGGTTGATTGATAGGACTGTGGGAACTTTAAGGGGCTCTCAATGACTAAGACTTCACTTAGAGGGGAAGATTCCCAGGTATGGGAGAGACAGACGCCTTCCCAAAACCCCGTTGGTTGAAAGGTTGGGTTGAACACAGGTTTACACGTGGCTTGACAGAAAGTCACACCCTTTGACCAAAATCAAGGTAGACAAATTGACACCCCCTCTGTATTCAACACTGGCGTTGGGGCGCTTGCCCTCAGACTGGCGGTTCCCTAAGCGAAAAATGGGGCAAACCCGCACAGTCCACTCTGAAGAACCTCATGTAGTGTCCAACTCAGGTGCGAATGCCTGCACCAGGCTGGCAAGTTTCTGTCCCGGATGCTGACAGCATGTTCACTGCTTCAAGCGGAACACCACACTCCCTCGCTTTGGCACCCGCAAAGAAGGGAAGTGGTACAAGTTGTGGTGCGCGAGATGGCACTATGAATCCACACGAAACCAACCTGACATAAGGAATCTTTGAGAAACAGACCCTCATCATGAGGGGAAGCGCTCGAGAACACCCCCAACTAGCTGAGCTCGCGTTAATTCGTGCAAATGAATGTTGCTGCAAGAGCATGGAACGTGGTTCCCTACGTTTCCTTTCTACACATCATCCTACCAACACTTTAAACTGGCATCCAAAAGGTGATGTTTCAACCAAGCCAAAGTGGGAATACGGGTGTGGCTCGAAATTAAGCAGCCGGGGTTTGCGCAGGCTTTAACTTATCCACAAACCAAGGTCCCATTTTGGGTACCCTCACTCCCACTAACATGGCACCTGAGGGTCCATTGAGGAAAATGATCTGCCAGGTACCCTCCCACAGGTTCTATGTTAGTGGAAGGGAGGGTACCATATGGGTATGGCTCAAAAAACCGATACCAAAATGGAACCCTGGTAAGTGGAAACATGGACCAAAACCTGCGTAACCCCTCCTGTTTAATTTTGAGCCACAGCCATATTTCGACCCACGGCAAATCTTTTTTCAAAATCCTTTGCGCCGGGGCACAGCTCCGCCCAGCGCCAGCGCGCTCACGGTCTCGATGGCCTGGCGAGCTGGAGGTCGGATGGTACTGTAAGCGCTGGGCCCCCTTCAAATTGAACGGGTACCGGCGAGAGCTGAACGATGCGCCTGCGTTTGTTTAAACATTAGCACTTCAGTGGGAGCTCCTTTCCAATTACGTGTTTGACTAAGATCCAATTAGAAGTTAAATGGATATCGACAAATAAGGAAATATTCCAACTAGAATGCCCATCTTAATCTTAAGCTAGAATTTAAATGGAAACTCCTTCCCAAAGGAGGTTGGTGAAACATTGATTAGAATCTAAACACATGTGTTTCAAGTAGATGTTATCTTACGTGAGAGGTTAAATCAGAAACCATGCCAAATACGGTTGTAGTTGAAGTTTAATTAGATTTAAATGGAATTGAATGAAGAAAACGAGTAGTGTTGTTTCTTCTAATTGGCCTGCCCCTTGAAAAGGGTGACAAACCAATAGACATTAAATCCATGAATATGCAATTTAAGTTCGATTTATTCAAGATAAAAACAAACTAGTTGGATTATGTCCTCTTTCAAGCATATGTAAACGCTGATTAACTTTTATCGACGTCTTATTTGGCAATACGTGCATAGTATGCAAATTCGGCTTCAGGTAGAAAGTCAAATTGATTGGTTTCCCTTTTTCTGCCTTGTGAAAAACTAGTTTGCTTCAGTTGTCCAAAATGTGCAAGAAACCTCAAGTTTCAAAACAAAATGACAGACCCCGTGTGGGCACGGCTCAGGATCTGGAGCCATGCCGTTCATGTGGATTTGGAAAACTCGAGGGGGTTGCTTAGCATTTGCTCAGTCCATCCTCTATTTGTTCAAGATTAACTCGAGATGTGCGGTTTAGCCTGGTCCGAAAACGCAGGCCCCATGCTGAAATAATTAGAACGGGGTTGTGGCGGACTTTAAAGTAAAATTAAGTCGTTAACAAAAGGACACAATGTGTGCAATTATTCCGTACTCTTAACAAATAGCAAGATTTCTCTAAGAACCCTGGCACAAGGGTAGAAAGGGTGGGCTTTCCGCACCCAATACGTGGGCGATCTGCCCACATGAAAGACGGCCGAGCGCTCATGCTGATATGCTTGACAACCTCCAACTTTCAAAGTACTGCCGGTGGATGGAGTGAAGGAGGCTTGCTTCCTTCCCTCTCCAAAAGTCTAAGAGGATTTCCATGCCGGTGAATGTGCCTTTGAGGGGCGTTCTCCCCCACCCCACCCCCCACCCCCGGGCATAACCTAGAGTCAGCAATATGATAGCCAAGTGGGTTTTGGCCACTGCTCCAAATGGGCCACAAACTGGAGACTTCGACAGATTTTGGTCGCATGCACAAAGTCCTGGAATGCTTTTGGCGGGTACCGCGATGTGAATTGCAAAATGGATTCGTCCGTGTTGCTCGCCCTCCGAAGCCGAGAAAGGAATCTCCAGAGTTCGACCGTCTTTGACTTTCGCAGCTGTCTTTGTGTGTGCACATGTTCACTGTGGACTTTCTGGGAAGCTCTGTGCGCGTGTGTACGTGTGTGTACGTGTGTGTGTGTGTGTTCGTTGTCACATAGTGATTGCTCAAATCCAGCGCCTGTCTCGAAGCGCAGGTAAGCCAGGGACGCTTTGCCTGAAGTCTGCCTTGGCCCGACTTTCGGCTCCGTCCAGTGGAGCTTGACACGGTTTCCCACGAATGCCTCCCGGCACCGGACATCAAACTCCCTGTGTCCAGTTAGTGCGACCCGAAGGGAGAGCACCCACGTGATGAAGCAACACACAGACCATGTTTGGGGCGTTGAACCGCTTGCGGTGTGCGGAGAAATCGACTGGCATCCAAACGAAGCCAAGCCCACATGAACCCATCAGGGAGACCAGTTTGGAAAAACTGAGAATGTGTTGTGCGCTGGAAAGCTTTGAATCTCAGGCCCACTTTGCAGCATTTGTGCAGGTTGTTTAAAACAAAAAAACAAAAGTATTTTCTTTTTAAAAGACTCTTCTTGATCGCTACCATGGGTCTGCTCACCTCAAGGTTTGCTCACACTCAAACCGCGCGCAAGCCGAGATGCTCTCGCCGAAGTTCAGCTTTGGCACAAAGGTAGAAGGCGGCATCGCGAGGTTCTGCAGGCAAAGGAAACTTCGCCTGAGAGGCGGCCCAGAAGCAAACACCTTGACATGGAATCCAAAAGACCCTTGTTTTCGAGCCATCTCCGTTTTGGGGGACTTTTTCTTTTTGGGTTCCATGCTGATGAGGCCATCTAGAAGGATCCTCTGCATCCCTCTCGCCCAGAACGGCCCCGCTCGGGTTCCGATCGCTTTGCACAGGATCATGTGTGTCTTTGCCGGAAGGAACCCATTTGGCAGAACTGAATTCATTTAGGGCCACCCAAAAAGCCTTTCAGTATCCTCCGGCACTTGACAAAGCGACAGAAGCTCGTGTTCCGGTTCTTCTCAGTAACCCTGAAACTCTGAAAAGATTGCGCACGGATAAGCTGCATCCAGCGTCCACTGCTCAGGATACCTTGATTCTGCACCTTGCGCAGTGGTCAATCGAGGCCGCGCCTTTCCATGGGGACCATGGGCTTCCGACATGCCACCGGCAATGCCACAGGCAAGGGCGCGTCTCTTCCTGGCGCGGGTGGGTGGAGCAACTGCGCGTGTTTTTGCGGGTCCCCTGTTGGGGCTGGCTTTTGAGCTACCTTTCTGGGGTTTTCTCAGAGGGCACCATAGCTCAAGACTCAAGATGTTTGTTGGCCTGACATTCGTGGCAAGAAGGCTGTGCCCTGCGCGCGAGAGGGGAGGCACTTGGAACATTGGCTCAGAGTTGATGTGCAGCTAAAAGGGTTCCAGGTAACATTGACCCAGGAAACAAAGAAACCTCTCCCCTTTGAGTGGCGACCCATCAGACCACTTCTGGAGGGAACACCCCCTTAATGATCCGGGGTTAGGTTCCCTTGAAAGGCCTTCGAATGTCACCATCCCAATGTGCTGCCTGTGGGCAGCAGAGCCCTTCGGAAGCGCTGCAGGCGGAAGCAGCGCTAAGCTTCTCTCACAACCCTTGGGCGGATGGTGTGCCAAGGTATCAGACTTGAAACAACTACTTTGTGAATTTTCTGGAATGCAAAATCACCTCGTTTGTCCAATTATTCAAACAGTTCAAACCTCTACGCTCTTGAACAACTGCAAGACTTAGGATAATTAGATGAACTAAGGAAGCCAACTGCCAAAAGGTCGCGTTCATCAACTGGCTGCTTTAACGGACAATTTGGATAATGAGGGTGAAATGAGGTGACCTAGTTCATCCCCATCATTTACAGAAGTTGGCAAAGTTGAGGCCTTTGGATCATTGAACTCAGTTGCTCTTTGAGAAAAAAGATAAGAGACTGTGTTTCGAAATCATCACCTGATTCACTTCACTCAACTTATAGACCCGTCTTCGCGACACATGGGGCAGGAACTACCCTCATGCATCCCCCCAACCTTCCCGGAACCTGCTCGGAAGCTTGCATCCCCTCCCCAACAAGGGACACTTTACCTGACGCAACTCGCCCGATGGCCACAGTCGGATCTTTCAATGCCCAAGGTGCACATGGATGTGTCTTTCTTTGATGTACCCTTTTTAGATGGCTTAAAGAGCTTTGGTTTTGAGACAAACCCGCAAATACCTGACCCGCAAATACCTGGCCCTAGAAAACTTTCTTGCTCCCATTCCTGCCAGCAAAACACTAGAGGTGGTCAAGCCAAGATGCTCTGGGCTGAGCTGTGCTTGAATGGCATCAACGGCAGCTTAAGGTTCAGCTGGAACAGGATGTTCCGCCTCACGGATGTTGGATGACAAATATGCAAAAGAACTAAGAGACATGGGCGGGTCCCGTGAGCCTTCAATGGCGGGAGCCTATGTCATCATTCGGCTGCTAGGAATGCAGGTCTTTAGTCAACAGGTTGGGAGCACGGCCATTTGCGGTCGCGCAAGGACTCGAAAATGGGACTCCGTGGTGGCATCAGGCCTCGTTCCTCAAAACACCGTTGCCATGTAGCACATGTCAAGATGAAGGAAGGTGTCAAAGCCTTGTTGATGCATATCTTGGACTACTTCCAAACAGGAAGAGTGCATGAAGTTGGAAACTATGTTTGTCCGAACCCAAAAGGGGGTGCACACCGACATGAGAAGGCAACATGAAGAAAACATCTGGAATGTACCCTGGCTTTGCAGAGTGGTTCTTTGCTGGAATTTCTGGGAAAGATCGGCGACCAAGAGAAAACCACACCTTCCGGGGGACAACTGTACATTTTGCATGTGTCCAATGGCGTAATCTTATCCTGGCAGTGTGCACGAACTGCCCTCTTTCCAACAATCATAGAAGCTGACTGGGTGGCTTTGGAAGACTGAAAGCCCTTGAAAAAGAGGGGATACAACATGGTGGACCCCCCAAAATAAAAGAACACAATGAGGTTGCCTGTTGGTCGCCTCGAACCCCAAAAAGGCTCGCTCTGGCCAAGCAGTCTCGCCTCTGGCGCCTCTCTGTGCGAGCTGGCGAGCATGTTCCTCCAAAAGGACCACACCGTGGAACTCTGGTTGAGTCATGCGAAGCAGAAAGGCTGCTTTGGTTGCGTGACCGGTGAACTGCAAGAATCAGGCAATAGTAAACCCATACGAAGCCAAAAAAATTGAGAGGGCAATACCCGTTTCTGGGTGGGGTGAAAACGATATGCACTGACAAAGCTATACCGGGCAACCCAACAGCTGGTACCAAAAAAGTGAGACACTGTGTGAAGCTCAAGATGCCAAATCCCTGGAACATCCAGCAGTGGCTGAAGAACAACCGTGAATCAACAGATTGGCAACGGAAAGCAAAGGGCGAGCAAGGGAAAGCAAAGGAAAGCATGGCATCCTTTTTTTTTAACAAGAACCTGCAAATCCGAAACGGTTCACCCTCTGGAGCCGAAACAAAAAGAGCTCAAGCCACGAAGTGGGTCCTTGACTTATCCCATTCCCTTGACGGGTCCTTTACTTATCCAGCATCCTTGATTTGAGAGGGACAGTAAACTCACTAAGATTCCCGCAAAACCCAAGGAACTCACTGATTTAGCTTCTTTATTGCTTTCCATCCTATCCCTCAACGAGAGACAAATCATTAAATGGAGGAGCGGATTTCTATACTATTTCAAGCTGTACACAGGTCCAAAAAGTAAGCAATACCAACAGAACAAGCACGCGAGCATCACCAGCCACAGAGCATCACCAACACTGCCAGCATCACCAGCATCACCAGCATCACCTGAAACAGGAACGAGCGACTAGAAAACTGCCAGAAACAATCCTCGTTGGGTGCAGTCTGGCAACAGAATCTAAGTCAGAACTGGATAAACAAACAAAAAGACTGCCAAACGAAGCACGAGGGGCTTGCCTGATCCGATGTCCTAGGAAAACCAACAATGGGCGCCACTTTGCGGGACCCAGAAAGATATCCGGTGATCGCCTTTTGGGGAAACCCACAAAAGGGAACCCACATCTAGTATCTGATTTGGAAGGCAGCGTCAGGGAAGAAGTTTGGTCCTAGGAAACTGAAGGATCTACCCCTGATGTTTGGGAGATTCTTTGGAGTCTTTGGAGGTTCACAGCAACCTGGCCAATTCAAGCCGAATTTAATTCATGGCCCGGCCTCCGCTCTCCACTTTCCACCTGCCTGACAAAGGATTTCGACAAATGACGCGCCAAACGAACGACACCCCTTCAAATCTGTTTAAAGCAAAACAAATCATGGCTTGCCTGCATTGTGTCTCCCCACCCAACTAAGTGGCATGCGCGGGTCGGGAAAAATACGCCGCGCGTTGCGCATGTTTCATATTCGCTCATTGCGTGCCGCCTACGGATGAGCCATTTTTCGGTGCCCAGCAACTCAAACACCTCAAGAGGCAAGGGAGGCAAGGGATCAATGCCGTCAAAATGAAAAAAACGCCCTCGGAGGTGTCAAGGGCTGTCCGAAAGGACACCGAACCGCCCTCAGCCGCGGGCCCTTTTTATTGAAAAACCGGCAAATACACCGAGCTCGGCCGCATGCAAACCAAAACTGTCTCAACACATGGCCAAAAGGAATCCCCAAGATAGCCCACACACAAAGCATTCCCAAGGACATGTCCAAAAGCATATCAAAACACATCCCCGCAAGCGAAAGACATCTCCCAAACATCCCCAAGACGTTACCAAAAACAACGCAAAAGGGGGTAGGTGGGAGAAAAATAAGCATATTTCGCCAAAATGGCACAGCCCTCGAAGCGCAACCAGCCTTCCTCTGCTCCAAACTGAGGCGGCCGGTGAAGACTATGTTGTTGTACCTCGTATTGCGCAACCCCTCGCTTCTGCAGAGAGGAAATCGAAGAAGCCCCCGGCCCTCAAGAAAGGTTCTAAGATTTATCTTGCAAGGTGTCCGTGGGCGGGTCTTTGAGGTTCTTTGCCTCCTCATTTTTCCAAGCAGACACCCCAGAAAAAAAGCCGGAAAAAAAAAAACCCTTGAAAGGCGTGGATGAAGCAGCCAGCATCTCACACACCCGACACCGGCACGATAAGCGCGTAGTCTCCAAGAAGGAGCTCAGCTGCACCTGCGTGGTGTCAAGTCTCTGCCCACGGCCGTGTCAGAAATATGGGGTGTGCAGCTGTGGCCGCAAACATCCCACGAGTCAGAGAGCTTTTCCAGGCAAACTCCCACACCTGGCCAAATATGGGAGCCCCAAATTTGCCTTTCCCCTGTAAAAACAACCCAATCAAACAAGATACACCTACCCGCAAAACGCAACGCACTGCCGAGGGCCCGTGCCCGGCAGGAGTCGATCGCCTCAGCCACGATGCACGCTGAAACCATGCTGCTTACTGTCCACCAACCATTTTAGAGTCATTCCTTTCTCGTTCATGGCCAAGTCAGGCCACCAAAAACCGGCTTCGGGCTTGGAAGTCGATTATACCAACACACATCACATCTTCCAGAGCTAGTGGAGCATCCCGTTTTCCGGGCTGCTCCAATTCAAGGACTCTGTGCCTTTCACGCAGATCACGCCATAGCAGGGTCGACCCCGGCCGGGGACACCGACACAAGTGACGTCGTCGATGGAAGGCTCTGGGATCACCTCAGGAAGGGCACAGGAAGGTCAAACAGGCTTGGGCAACTCAACCCCTTGTTAGCATTCCCCCCCCCCCGCCAAATTGCAGCGAACTTGCAAAAGAACGGAGACCACATGGGTGGCTTTTCATGGCACTCGGGCGGTCACTTCGGATGATCGCTTTACATTGGAAATTGAAGAGAAATCGCACCAAAGCTGCGTAACCAATGAAAAACCCAAACCTCCAACCCCCTCCCCGCCCCATTTGAGCAAGCCACGGCTAGGTTTACGTAGGCACCAGCAGAGCCGGCGAGGCTGTTAGCTTCAAAAAACGTCCTTCTTTCTCTCTGTCACTGTCTGTCTCTCTCTGTCTCTCTCTCTGTTGCTCTCTCTCTCTCTCTCTCTCACTCTCTTTCTCTTTGTTTTTCACTTTTTCTTTATTTCCCGAAGGCAGACATGTCCCCAAGACAACGCCTTCCAAAAACATCCCCAAAGTCACCCACGTCACCCAAGCTCCCACTGGCAGTCAACTCGTGCTGTCCAGCCTCTGCCCTCAACTGAAAATCCCATGCTCAGATTCTGGCCCACATTTCGTGAACCTGACCACAATGTCCCCCAAAAAAAACAAGGTCGTTCGAGTCCCAGGTTTGGGCTCCGTGCAGATCCGATCTGCCAGGGCGCAGAGTACTCGGAGAGGCTTCCAGGTCTCGATGACTGGTCGGGGAGGCTTGCCACTTCCGGGAGTCTCGATGGCCTTTCGATCCTTCGCGAAGTGCTCTCTGGTGCCTCTCTGGTGCGTTTGCCGGAAAAACCAGAGGGACCCTTCAAAACCTTGTGTTCCTCTGCATGGCTAGAATTGGCACTCTGACAAAGCTCTTCAATGCAGTATGCCGCCAATCTGTAGACCCCAAGTGCTACTGGGTGTACAACCCCCTTACGCTTCCGTGCGCTGAAGGTGCGTCCTGGCGGGTGAGGAAGTTCGCGAGCGAGCGCTCGCTCACCACTTCCCGGAGTCTCGATGACCTTCGAACATGCGGCGATGACCATCGATACCTTTGGGGCCATGACGCGATTTGTTCGGGGTACTGAAGACTCAGGTTCTTCCCACGACCTTCGCGAAGTGCTTTGGTTCCTTTCTGGTCCCTTTGACGAAAATGACCTTTCAACAAAACATTGTGTTCATCTGCGTGGCTAAATTGGCTCTCTGGCAAAGCTCTTCAATGCAGTATGCCACCAATCCATAACCCCCAAGAGTCACTAGGTGTACAACCCCCTTACTCTTCCGTGACTCATTTTTGCGAAACCCTGGGGATCAGGTTGAGGCAACCAACCTCATACAGCCCTCCTCTCCCTCAACCCCTAAATGTGCCCAACACAATTGGGCCCCTTCATCATGTCTCCTCAAACTTAAACAGCAGGCGGAAACCCCAAATCGATCCACCATTCCTTCGCATCACTGACCCGCCAAATCCCTCTGACAAGGGCGCTGCTCTCGGGGAAAATGGGGGAGGTCACTGCATCTCACGCGCCTGGAGGGCTCCGCTGGCTCGGCGGTGCCTGAGGGAGGCATCCGCGGTGCGCTACGACCCCACATTCAGCGGCAGCCCAGGCATCCGCGTCGGCCGAAAAATCGGTCCCTAGATCCAGAACTGCCCGATGTTTCAGAGCTGCAAAGTGCAGAAATTGAGAGGCATGAAACCGCACACGGGCACGCGGGCTTGGGCCCGGTCCCATTGGGTACTACGGTGGGAAGTGGCGTTGTCGCTTGCCCCACATGTTCTTGCTGCTTATGCAACTGCTCCTTTGCTCATGGCCGTTTTCTGGTGCGAAATCTTTGCTGAGAGGGAGCCGACCCATTCCAACACCTCTGGTGGAACGGGACGTCCCACCTGCCCGAGCCTCGCGGCAGAGCTGAGGGGTTCGTCAGAGCTGGGCAGATCGAGCGATTGACAAGAGCCAGATGCGTTCTAAGGACAGGAAGGTCGACTCGGAGCGCTGATGCTCAAGACACAAGTCGGAGGTGGGCGGAGCTCCAAGAATCAGTTCAGCGAAAGGCACTTCTCAGCTTCGTGTTTTCCTTTCACCGGGCAGTGGTCGGGGCGTCCACTGCCATGCGTGGCCCCAGGCAATGCTTTCGCAGATGCCTACCCTGCCTTGAGGGCACTACTGCAATCCCTTCCGACCCGTGGATGATTCTTCATGCTACGAGGGCACCCTGCTGCCCTGTAGGTTGCCTACGACAAGCAGTGACACTCAATGCCAGACTTTTTCGCTCAATGGGGATGTTTGTCCACCAACCATTTTGCAGGGGGCTCCCATTAAACTGCGCCTCAAATCGCGCAGCCCAATCAAGCCGATTGTGGGAGCCGTGTCCACCTTCCAAAACGGCGCAAGCGAACTCTCGTAAATTGCGCCAACACCAAAAAGATCCCGATTCTTCTCTCCGCCCCTCAACCAGTGATGCGAAAGTGTCATGTGCTCGCAAGCCCTCTTTAGAGAACGCAACTTGAAGCCCCACTTTCTGCGATCTCCGGTCGCAGCATCTTGGTTGCTGTTGACCCCCCTGCAAAAAGTTCAACTTGTTGAACTTGATTTCCCACAAAGTTAAAGTCTAAAGATCCAACCCAATAGCAGTCAAGGCATAAGCCGCTTCCCCGCGCAGCGACTCGGACTGCGGACTGCCAGCCGAGATGCGGAAGTTCGCAGCGCCGGACTTCAGCTCCGGCAAGCTGCGCGGGTCTGGGACCCTCCTGCGACGGGTTTGTGTCTTGTTCGTGCCAGCGCAAGTTTTCCAAGTCGCACATCCATGTGTAGCCTTTAATCATGGGAAAGAAAGACGCACCCTGTGTTTGGTAGTTGATGTCTAAAATTCAGAAACAAAGGACTTGGGGAATTGCACCACTGGAGGTCCGACTCGCTAAGGCCTCCGGAAGGGTGAGGCGCTTTGGCCAATGTTGGGCTCTTGAGGCTCTTGGGTCAATTCATTGAGCTCCCGAAATCCGCACAAGCCACCAAAGGCATGTCTTTTTGCAGTGGTCTTCACAGCATGTGCTAGATGCCTTTGGCTTCTCCAAACAAGGAGTCATCCAATCAAATGACCAATGGGAGAACTTGATCAATTGAGGACACCCAAGAAGTCCTGCAGGGCCAGCAACAGTGGTCCAACTCATTTTCTTGCATCCCCAGCACCGTCGCTTAACCACTACACAGTGCTGCCCTTGACGATTGGTCTAGATAATAGCACCGCATCTGCCTTGCCTAGTGATTTAACTTCACAGTCCTCCGCTTAAAAAGGTTTTTGTTGGCTGCGAGAAACAAACCATTTTGAGGACTGCCTGCAACTGCCTTTTGCCAAGTCCAAGTGCCACTCAAGTGAACTGCTGAAACGATGCAAGGCTTCAAACAACAAACACAACCCTTCATCCTGCCCAATCTCCCGAGCACCGTACCGTGTGGGGACCTCCCCATTTGGTTTCAAAAGGAAGTGGGGTCCAAGTTCTCAAACCACCTGAGAGCAAGCAAACAAGCAAACAACAAACGAATCAACAAACAAATCTTCAAACGAACCACCGAAAGAAAGAAACAAGAACAACACAAAACAAAACAAAACCGATTCGAACCCAACCAACCGAACCGAACACAAACAAACAAGAAACAAACAGACAGACAGACAGACAGACAGACAGACAGACAGACAGACAGACAGACAAACAAACAAACAAACAAACAAACAAACAAACAGCAAGCGAGCTAACGAGACAAAGAGCAACAAGCAGTTTGTTCTCCCTGCCTCTGAAGGCGTCTTAGTCTTGGCAGCGCGTCCTGTCCCCGGGCTTTGCTCCCGCTCACTCTCTCTCTCTCTCTCTCTCTCTCTCTCTCTCTTCTCTGTTCCTTCCCGATGTTTAGTTTTGTCTCCAAGATAACTTGCAGGGGTATGTTCGGCTTCCTTTTGGCCTTTGAGGCGGGGCCCGCCCGCCTGAAAACTCAACAATTCTTAGCCCATGGACGCGCTGCTTTTATCCGCCGGCGGAAAACCAAAGGCACCCGACCCGGCAGAATCTCTCGGGTTCGACAGAACTCTGAGAAAACCTTTCTGGGAAGGGGCGATATGGCCATGAGAACATCCATTTGCCACCTATTTTGATGTTCACCAGGGTACAGGCCAGCGATATCATCGCTCCTTGGCTCGAGGCCGAGCAACTTTCCGGAGAGCATCTCCATGGTCGTCCAGCATGGCCACCAGGCACGCCTCGAGCTGGCGCCCGAAACCGCAGAAGGGCGTTCGAGGGGTCGTGCCCTTGTGATGTCCCAACACACACCGACAAAAAGATCCAAAAAGAGATTCCAGGCAGTTGCAACATGGTTACGCCAAAGACCTGGTCACAAGCTGGTCAGAAGTTGGCAGTGGAAGAGTCTTCTACCCAAATCATTGCCTCGAGGGTTGCCGCAACCCTGTCCTCAGGTCCGGGGGCCTGAGGGCAGCTTGAGAAAACATTTCAAGAAAACGGTCTCGTCTGATGAGGATGGACAAAATCAGGTGGTGCTTCGCCCTACTTTGTCACTCTTAAAGGGGAGTCCTTTGGCCATCAGGAAGTGGCAACCTCACAGGGCCTCCCAACGCTTGGCATCCTTTGGCTTCAGACTCCGTCCAACCACGAACATAAACACATAGACACACAGCCACACCACCCGCACGCGCACATATAGATAGATAGATAGATAGATAGATAGATAGATTAGATTAGATTAGATTAGATTAGATTAGATTAGATTAGATTAGATTAGATTAGATTAGATTAGATTAGATTAGATTAGATTAGATTAGATTAGATTAGATTAGATTAGATTAGATTAGATTAGATTAGATTAGATTAGATTAGATTAGATTAGATTAGATTAGATTAGATTAGATTAGATTAGATTAGATTAGATTAGATTAGATTAGATTAGATTAGATTAGATTAGATTAGATTAGATTAGATTAGATTAGATTAGATTAGATTAGATTAGATTAGATTAGATTAGATTAGATTAGATTAGATTAGATTAGATTAGATTAGATTAGATTAGATTAGATTAGATTAGATTAGATTAGATTAGATTAGATTAGATTAGATTAGATTAGATTAGATTAGATTAGATTAGATTAGATTAGATTAGATTAGATTAGATTAGATTAGATTAGATTAGATTAGATTAGATTAGATTAGATTAGATTAGATTAGATTAGATTAGATTAGATTAGATTAGATTAGATTAGATTAGATTAGATTAGATTAGATTAGATTAGATTAGATTAGATTAGATTAGATTAGATTAGATTAGATTAGATTAGATTAGATTAGATTAGATTAGATTAGATTAGATTAGATTAGATTAGATTAGATTAGATTAGATTAGATTAGATTAGATTAGATTAGATTAGATTAGATTAGATTAGATTAGATTAGATTAGATTAGATTAGATTAGATTAGATTAGATTAGATTAGATTAGATTAGATTAGATTAGATTAGATTAGATTAGATTAGATTAGATTAGATTAGATTAGATTAGATTAGATTAGATTAGATTAGATTAGATTAGATTAGATTAGATTAGATTAGATTAGATTAGATTAGATTAGATTAGATTAGATTAGATTAGATTAGATAGATAGATAGATAGATAGATAGATAGATACATAGATAGATAGATAGATAGATAGATAGATAATTAGATAGATTAGATAGATTAGATAGATTAGATAGATTAGATTAGATTACATTAGATTAGATTAGATTAGATTAGATTAGATTAGATTAGATTAGATTAGATTAGATTAGATTAGATTAGATTAGATTAGATTAGATTAGATTAGATTAGAATAGATTAGATTAGATTAGATTAGATTAGATTAGATTAGATTAGATTAGATTAGATTAGATAAGATAGATAGATAGATAGATAGATAAATAGATTAGATAGACAGATAGATAGATAGATAGATAGATAGATTATATATATATATATGAGCATGACGCATACATGCAAAGACCGCAAACACTAACACTCAACGCAGACCAAAAGGTCACAGGGCCTCAACATTACATCATTCATCGTAACCTTATGCGGACTGATTCAAACCAACCAAGGCCAGCTGCAAGATTGATTGAATCAATCCAGAAGGCAAGATCTAACATGGACCCGCTTTTCTTGACCTGGGGAATGCGGTTTGGTAACATGCTAGGTGTGCTCCCTTGGCACAAAGTGAAGAGAACGTATGAAGCTAGCTAGGTTGGTGCTTCCTGTTGGACAGGCAGCTGCTAGCATGTTCAATGCGACACGACATGTAGAGCCATGATCCAATGGGATTGGAGAAGGAACCCCATGGTCAAGAAAAGGGACGGCCGCCATTTATGGTTGGGACTCTACTCTGCCCAAGCTTCACTTACCCGAATTTTGATTGTGCTTCAGCAGCTGGCCATGCTTCAAATCATTTCCAAGTCCAGCGATCTGTGACAAGGCAGGTAGATGGAAAGTTGTGTCAAATCTAGGGACTGGCACCTTTGAGATGTGGTTGCAAGGAAACAAGCTGGATGCAAGCCAAGAGGCATGGTCCTTCAGCATACCTGAGCCAACGTGCACAAGAGAAACGGTGATTTAAGTCGCCCAAGACAAACATGTCCAAAACCTATTGGTGACCCCTTGCCAAAAGTTGAACTTCTAGTGGGATTTCGTCGGGCAACCGCCAAGGAAAGGCCAAGGCGCGCAAATAAGCGCCGCTGTCGCCACCCGCGCTGTCGCCGGTACCTCAAGGTGTGTCCCGATCTCTCCAAATGGGCGTAGATGTTTTGGCGAAGGGCAGCGAAAGGAACCTCTCACTACAAGGAACCCAAAAGGAAACCCATCATTGTATTTCACCCTGAAACATCCCCCACCAAGAAGCAGCTCTGCTACAATCCCGTCCAAAAAACGATCTTTAAGCTTGCTGAAAGGGGATATATAAATATTTTGGGGGGGACCTGTGTACAGTGTACAGCACCTCGTTCGGTGTTTTTGTGAGACGGTGCCGCATGGGAAATCCACATGGCCGCGCCTTCCGCACCTGGAGGCCTCGGTCCTGGCAAAGTTCGTTCACTGAAAAGTCGGGTCATCTGGGACACCAAGAAGAGGGTACGTTCAAGAAATTCAGTGTCAAAACTTGGAATAGAAATATGAAAAAGACACGGTGGCACAACAGTTCAACATGTTTTTCTTTTGGTTTTTCAGAGGTGGTCGGTGTCTGGTTGTTGAAGCGTGATGGTCTTCCTCCGGCCGCCAGGATAAGGAGACCACCGCGTGTTCGAGCTCCGGAGCTGCCCAGCGTTGCTGCCTCAGCGGCAACGAAAACAAGTTGGACGACAAAGAAGCTTCTTCCATGTGGAAGTTGAAGCGGGAACCCACTTTATGGTGTCAACCTCCTCATGGTGAAAATGGAGAAACCCACATGAAACAACCAACTGGAAACCACCAAAGGAAACAACCATGTTGCAGGTTTCAACGTGGCGCGAAAGGGTTCCATGCCATGTGTTGCTACTCCAAAGTTTGTTCACAGGGGTAGTTGGGTTAAAAATGGGTTTTCCACATAGTTCTTTGCTGGCTAGATGTTAACACCCAAGACAAGTCTCCTGGGTGTTGGATCCGTTCCCCATAGCTGCTGTGAGCAAAGGGGGCAGGGTGGGCATGGCCCATGCCATCTCCTTTTGGACTGTCTATCATGCAGGAACCAAGATGGAAGACGGGCCCGGCTTCCTTAAAACCCCAAGATTCTTGACGAAACCCCACATCCTGCACTTGGCTGACAGGAAACACGAAGGACAACGGAGAGGTAAGCCGGTAGCGTGGTGAGAAATTCGCCGCGGGAAGCGGTCAGGCCCCTTTTTGGATTGTGGAGATCTCACCCGTCCCCTCCTCCCAGCTGGCACAGTCCCCCTGAAACTGGAAATGCGGGTCCCAGAAGAGATGCGCGATCAAGAATGTGTTTCTGGGTGCGATTGTACAACTATTTATCAAGTGTAGCGAGCGCAGCCAATCCGACGCTGGCTTTTTAGCCAAGCCTTTTTGGCTGGCTGTTGCAGATCGCCCTTGTTCGACAGTAGGCTCTGCAGGCATTGCAGATCTCGTGATCGGCTTTGTTGGCAGAATGTGGTTACGGCGCCTTGGCATTCCTCATCATAGATGAGATTTTCGCTGACAGTCATCATATGAGCTAAGAGTTGTCCGTTTAGAGGAATCAGACCAAGTCTCCTGCGGGTCTGCATGACACGCGTCGGCCATTTTGAATGCGTTCCTGGAAGCTGCAGGCGCGTCGATACTGCCTGCTGCGTCATCAGCTTTGCCTTCCATCTACCGTTGCCTCTGCTTAAACGAACAGTCATGCCAAGAGAAGCACACTTTCCCAGCAACGTCCTCTCTGAGAAAGGCTAAACATGGGTAGTCTTGTTCTGGAGAAGCGCCAGGCGCATATCAACATTCGGCAGCACGCTTGCAAGCACACCCTACGAACTCAGCAGCTTTTGCAGAGCTGTTGGTTAAGAAACCTGCACGAACAAAGCGTTGAACCTACGTGAGCTAAACTACCACTATTGCTTTCATTCCAAAGATTTGTCTGACCAAAGTCTTCTCAGCTGCATGAGGCCGTGAAGCTCCGCCACGGGGCGGGCACGGTCGTTGAGGTTATCTTGCGAGGCAGATTTATCCTCATTCCTACGATTCCTACGATTCCTACAACATGCATCCGGGCACCGGTCTTGCTTTTGTGGCCCGCACATTGCTGTTGCTGTTTGTGGGGACACAGCCTTGGATGATCTGGAAGCTTGGTAATATGGAATTGGGCTCTGGATTGAAGCCAGTTGATTTGACCAAGCACCCTGTGGTATGCTGGGGATTGAAAGAACATGGTCCTCAAGGTGTTTCTTAAAGCGAATCTCTTGCAGCTCGCGCGTTCTGGCGAACACTGACGCTCCCACGCTTGCCGTCGGTCTTCCATTGGATACGCTGGACAACGAGAAGGCAGTCGCTCTGGTCCTCTGACTTGCGGGTCTTAGTCATGATCTCTTTCTCGAATCGCTGTCATCTACCATGAGCAAGTTGTCAACGTGGACTGCCCTGCGCGTTGTTCCAAAAACTTGGTGAGTTTGTCGACCCGTAAACTTGGCCTGAACAACGGCTCTCCGTAAAACACAAGCGCAGGCGCAACCAATAAGTTATACTATAAAACCTCAACGCTGAGCTTAAGATGTTCCACCAACATATTGAAACATGTTTTTGCCATGGTCCGATAAGCGAAGGAGAACCAACTTCTGCAGGAATCCGGCGACAAGTGACGCCACGGGTCTATGTGGAATATCTTGTCGGCTGCTTGGGGAACTCATCTGAATCCACTTCTCGCAGCTGGGCTATCTGTTTGCCGCTCGTTCTTCTGGCGGCGAAAGCCTCAAGGTACCCAACGCACCTTGGTCATCAGAAAGTTGCTATCCTTGTCTGTCTTGAACGTAAAGACCGTCGGTCTACGCAGTTTCTGACCTTCAGCTTGCAAGTGCTTGCTAGGTCGAAGACTCTCCATTGTCTACATTCAAGCAACTTGGCTTTAAGGATGTTTTTTTGTAATTGCGAATCTCTTGTTAAGTTGCTTCTCTTCTCCTTTTCCCAATAAGGCTTTGGGTGGCTGAAAGTTTGAGAGAATGCTAGCGCCAAACTTCACCAACCCCCTTGGTCTGCTCCTGTTGGCTCTCAGCAGCCCTCCCCTTTGCCCTTGTGCCCAGAATGCGGCTGTGGCTAGCCCGCTTGCCCTTGGACTGTCCTCTGCCGAGACATACCCAGCCCTCGTTTCCAGCTTCCCACACCTGGACCTGGGATCAAACGAACCAAACAGGTTGGTTGTGGCCAAGGCGGGTGGTACCAAAATGGCTGTGGCTCAAAAACATGTACCAAAGAGGGGACATGTTTAGCCATTGGAACCTAAGACTAAATCCTGCGGTTTGCCCTAGCTCTTTAACTTTGAGCCAAAGCCAAATGGGTGCCATCCCTCTGACTTTGTCACTTAGTGGATTCCCTTGGGCCCAGCCCCAGCTCCGTCGCATCTGGGCCATGGGCCAATCTGAGTCCTCCCAACGAGCGCCATGCCGCGTTCTGTGGAACCTCGACGCAAACAGAGTGGCCGACGAGGGGCGCAACATGGGTCTGCGTGTTTTTGAAAGGGAGCCCTTTGGTGGACATCAATTGCTTTCTTCACCAGCCTTTTAAGGGGTTCCCCTTTGAAATTCGCTGCCATATGACAAAACGAAAAGAAACAAAAACGAACATGGAGAAAAGGATCACGGATTGAAACCATTGTGAATTTCAAGCGCCAATGAAAAAAAGAAACCAACATAAAACCAACCATCTCAAAATACTTCCACATGCTCTCATGGTTGGTAAATTCCCTCGGCAACTATTTGTTTGGACTCCTCACATGTCTCGCAATCAAGCCATTGCACAGTACTGTACAGTTTATGTAAACATCCGGCCAGGCTTCTGACGCAGACTTGCTGATGAAAATTGGATCCTTTTTTCCGGAAAATTGCCGTTGCTGAAATCGCTGGCTGGGTATTTTCGTGACCTCTTTTCAAGGATTTGCGCTTCCCCCCCGGACCTGAGAAGCATCCCCCCCCCCCGCTTATAGGTCATAGGGTCATGTCCAAGCGCATGGTGGAGATCAACCCTCTGTGATGCCAAAGCGGAAGTCCCAGCCCGGCTAGTCTATCACGTTGCATGGGATATGTTTGGTATCGGCACTACAGCAAATTGTTCCTTGGTGTCATTTCGAAGCGCCATTCAACCGTCAAAAAAGGTCCTGCTCAAAGGGAAATGAGTTAGGCTTGGTCTGTGGAATGCAAGTAGACATCTGCTCGAAATCTGGCAGTGACTTGCTACCCATATGCAAACACGGAAGGTATGGGTCTGCAGCGGTGTACAATCCGACACTTCCAAGACATTGGACTGACAGTCAGATAAAAAGGGATGGGGCGTTCTGAAAACAAGGCAATCTGAAAACAAAGGCATGCGCCATGACTTCGTTCACGGAAACCCGGATGCCCACAGCAACCCAGCTACTTTGAGAGGCATGAACTTGGCTTGAAAGTCGTAAAAATCGACACCCCCAAAAAATGTGAGTTCCCTTTTGGCTTCCCTTTGAGATCAACCCAACGGCTCCCTAAACGGAGAGTCGCCCATGCGGCTCTGGGTCCAGCACGGGCCATCTGCGCCGCAACACCTCACTGAACTTGCCAGGTCAACGTGGGATCTGCGATTCACCCACCCAACTAATGTGGAACCGTTCGACGTTTCGGGGGGTCCTGGTTTGGACCATCTTCCTTTCCAAGGGACCATTTCCCTGTCAGGTTCCATGTGAAAAGGGTGGGAGGGTATATTCGTTTACCGGTGTGCAAAGCAGGTGTCGGGCACATGCCCATGGGTCAATATCCGCCCCAGTGAACATCCCAATCCCCACTAAAATTGACTCAAATGGGTGGTGCACCTACCAACAAAAATGGGAGCCCATTGGTTTTGACAACCACAGCCATACATTTGAAGAGAAAAAGGATTCGCCACCTTGGCATCTGCGCAACCAGCCCCTTGGCCCAGGCACGGGACGGCCAGACCCCAGCATTTGCTTCACGCCGGGCGCCGGCGGTGGCTGCACTTGCCAGCAGAGCGCTGGAGTGCTGACCTTCGCCTGAGCCCAAGCAATGCATTGCTTCTACCAACATGGTTGCAAAGAATCGATTCTATCAAATAGAGTATTCCCACGGTTCCAATTGATGACTGGTTCTACCAACAAAATCAGGTGTGCATATATATATATATATATATATATGAGACTCACTGTGATAAGCGTGAAATCAGGTAGAGAACCACCCGCTAGAATCGCTCAAAGGGCTTTTTGACGCTGCTTTTGGGAAACATGGGAGAAGGAACGGCCTGAAAGCGCCCTTAGCCAATTGATGACTTCTTCAAAACAATTGTTGTGTCACCTTTCAAAGCTTCACAATCCAACGAGTTGTCTGCTCGAGGTACCCAAATGATTGTCATGTTGAGATGTTTGGGTTTGCAGCAACAGGCGACCGGAGCCCATGTTGAGGGTTCCCAATCCCAGTCTGAGACAAACCCAATCAACGAATGAGGATTGTTCAGAAAGATCCCCCGATGTTGGACAGCGCACTTCATTCGGCTCCAAAAAAGAGGAAAAAGGCCGTCGAATGATGTGGCTGTGGGTCAAGAATGGGTACCCAAAATGGAACCCTGGTAGAAGGAAACATGGACTACAACCTGCGGTCCCCTGGTGGCTTAACTTTGACCCACAGCCATGTACACAAAGCTCCGCTCTCTGGGTGGATGGCGGGAGCTGCTGCGAAGCATACCTGAGCCAGTCCGGCGGAACCTCTCTCTCTCTGAACTCGAAGGGCGATCCATGAAACACTCGGTGATTATCGTTGTTTCTATGTAAGCCTTAAAAACGCCAGGTGGTAGAATCCTCCAGTATAAATTGTGCAACAAGGGATTGGCACGACTGATGTTCCAATCCAGAGTTGCTGAGGGTGAGGGGGTTCCCAACAAAAGGTCCACCCCATCCTAGCTCAGCCAAGCCGCGAGCATATCTTCTCCAAGCGTCGCCTCTGTCTTTGCGCAGGCCCGCACTGCCTGCCTCAGGGCACAGACTTTGGATTGACTCACACGGCACCTGTGAGAGGTACCTGGAAGCTCAGTTTCCTCTTGGAGGGACCCCTGTCAGGTGCCATGTTAGCGGGAGAGAGGGTAGCTTTTGGGCTTTTGGGGGACGCAAATGAGCATGGTCTGGATGAATCCGAGGTTGGCATTCAACTGGCAAATGCCTCAAGGCAGCTCACGTCGCCAGGTTGCTCCACTGTGAGAGAGATCTTCGAGCCGAGAAAATGAAGCCGTGGCTGGGCAGGAACAACCGCCTCGGGCGTGGCGTATGCACGGCGAAAAATAACATCAACTGTCTCTTCGTGGAACTAGCTGCAGGATCCAACTAGTTCGTTTAGAAAACTATCAGAAGCAACATAAATCAACACCTCGTTTAGACAACTATCAGGAAACAAACCACTGGCGAGTCTTCACTTGGCCAAGCTATCCGTGACGCTCGCAAGCCCCAGCTTACCGTGGTTCCCAAGCATACAAGCCCCAGAAGTTCAAGAGTCATCCCCCAGGTGGTGCAACGAAAACACGGCCCGGCGACTGACTTTGAACCCGAGATTGAGCCAAAAGTCCCCCAATAATGTTCACCCCGGATTAATAAACCCCCTGGTGGATGAATGGGGGGTGTCCCCTTTTAGTGGGGATCCAGACCACTTTTGGAGGGAACACCCACCCAATAATGGGACGGGTTGATTCATCCTCAGTCAACCTTGATTCCGACCAAAGCATCCAAAGCGCTTGTCAGCCTGGGGCCCCCGGCGCGGCTCTCGCTGGAGCGCTCCACTTGCCACGCGCCGCATCCGCACATCGGCCGGAAAGACATCGCCTCGTTCCGGGAGGAGGATTCGCAGCTTGACGCAAACGCCGACTCCTCACATGTCACGTTCCGAAGTGACCTAGTGCCGTAAGAAAGTCTGTGACACTCAACCTGTTCTGGAGTCAAGTATGGACTTCCCCATCCAAACTTGGAATGCGCGACATGGATTCCAGGCATCCGAAGTGAAATACCCTTGCGGCTTTGCAACATGTCGCATGCTGCATGCTGCACAGCCAGAAAGTCTGATCATCTCTATCAAAGCTGCCCATCGTTCGTCATCCCTGGGGTTCAGCCCGCAAGAAGAGCAAACGGTAAATGCTGGTCTGCTGGTTTCGCAGGGAGAACTTTCCCGTCCGCAAACCATACGATGACCTGTCCAAAGGGATGCCAATATTCTTTTCAGCTTGTCACACCAGTGCTGAAAACCATTTCGCCCCAGGCACCACCCTTGGTTGGAACCACTGCCGCAACTGCCGGCCACTCCCAGCCGCCGCCAGGCCGCAGCCACCTGCATAAGGTGGCAAGGGGGTAAGTGTGAGAGACTCAACCCCTGTGGTTTGCTGTAAAGGGTGCTGAAGCGCGAAAACTCCGCTTGCAGGAGCGCTCACCGAGCGTCACTTTGACATCCCGCAAGGGAATTGGGCTCTGCGACCCATTTGAGCGACTCTATAAATCCCTGTGGTATCAGGTTGCTTACGCGCGAGCTTGCGCTTTCCTTACGCAACACATGTTTAAGCTTACGCGGCAGACAGCGAGCATGATAAGCTTACACGTCGCTTGCGCATCGCACGTTTTGAGCGTTTCCCCTCAAGAATTGCTTACGCGGGCTACTTTTCCCACGTGGCCGCCAAAACTGCTCAAGATGACCTGGATGACTCTGCGGAAGATGATGACGAAGAGCTACCCTCACGAGTTTGAGCATCTTGTTGTTCTTACTGCAGGTCAAGAAACGGCGGCATCCATGGCGAGGGCTAGCGGGCAGCCGAACTAGGCGAGCGGACGCGAACCTTGCGGTAAGCGCCTGCTTACGCGAGGCTACGCGCCCGAGCTGCTTTAGTTTCCCTGAATCCGCGAATTCAATCAGAAGCCTTTGTTTGTCCTAGTAAAGTGTTCAACAGCAAGTGGCCTGAGCCCCAAGAGCTCCCAATCCAAGTTCTGCTGTGTTTTGTTTTCTAATGGTGCGGCAGATGCGGTCTTGGACGTCTTCCTGTGCAGCCAAAGTCTCCGGGCAAGTTGCCAAGTTCGACTAGATTGAAACAGCACGAAGAAGAGCTTACCCGGGTGCTTACGCAGCATGTTTCCCCAAAAAGTGCTTACGCCGGCTTATGCCGTGCAGGGTTTTGCTTACACGTGGTCTTGTCATGACACAACTCTTGCTTGGGATGTAAAGGGTTATGTTTAGAGCTGCTCATTTGTGAAACAGATGTGTCTTGTTGAGATACCCCATGTTTGTGCAGTTTCAAAAGCAAACCAAAAAAGGAAAACCCATCCGTGTTTTTGGTTTGGGGCCTTAAAGACCGCCCATCCGAGGCCCACGTGTTGGGTGTCCGATTCGTTCTACCCCTCGGGGCCTGCCAGCGGCTCGATGTCTGCGCGCGAGCGCGAGGGCTCGGAGACCTGCGCCTGACTCCCCACTCGGCGACTTCAGCTCTGAGGGGCGCGAAACAACTTGAACTAGGGACCCTTCGACATGGCTGCGGGTCAACAAAAATGTATACATGGCTTGCCCTGGTAACTGGAAACTTGGACAACCTGCGGTCCGATTCCTGGCGGATTGATTTTGACCCACACCCACATCAACCGAACAAGGGGACCCTAGCAAAAGACACCCCATGCGGTTGTGAAATTTACTGGGGGAGCCCGTTGGTGGACACCATTCAGGGATTCATAAGACACTTTTGAGGTCCCCGGTTGATACAGGCCCCCACCAACAAATCGCTGGTGGTTCTTCTAGGAGCCATACGATATTTGATCAGGTTGCGCGGCTTGGGGAGTAGCAAAAATCATGAGTTGTATTGTGGGCCTGACTTCTGACTTCAACAAAGCCTGAGCAAGGCCGATGCTTTGCTTGACCCAGAATCGATTCACATGTGCTTTTGTGTGTATATATATATATAATATATATATATATATATATACCACGCTTTGAGCCCCGTACTTGCTCTGGTCTTCAAATTGCTGCTCACTGCTCGCAGCGCAAATCAAAATGTGGGTGTGGCAGTTGTCGGCTGTTCGTTCAACTCGATGCGCGCATCGCTTGATTGTCATGCCGTTATAAGGGCTGTATAACAGGCCTTGCTACAACTTCAAATTGAAGCAGGTAGTAGCGCTTTGGGGATTTCGGGCTCTCGCGCCATCTGATCTCCCAATGGAGCTGTGCTGGCCTGGCGAATTGTGAACTCTGCGATCCCGGGAAGACTCGCGCAAATGTCCTAGGGAAAACCATAATCAACCGCAAAACGATATATATATATATATAAGCCTTGCTGTGTGTGACATCCGGTGGTAGAACCACCTGCTGAAGTTGTTTAAAGGGTTTTGGGTGCTGCTCGTCTGTCCTTGCGAAACATGGGGGAACGCCCAGAGAGCGTCCTTGGCCAGTTGATGGTATGTTGAAAAGAATTATTGCGGTCACCTTTCAAGACGCTTAACAATCTGTGTAGTTTTCTGCTCGAGGAATCCAAAGTGTCATTTTGAGATGCTGTGGGTTTTCACCAAAAGGCAACCGGAGCCCATTTTGGAGGTTGGGAACAAACCCAATCAATGAATGGACACTGCTTCACTCTCTGTCTTGTAGGGGGTCCCAAATGGCCCAACAGCCCGGAGGCCTTTTTGTACAGCCCTCGAATGCTGCACCTGCGAACACACGGCTCCGCTCTCTGGGTGGATGGCAGGGGCCGCTGCGAAGCATACCTGAGATGGTCCAAAGGAACCTCTCTCTCTCAGCTCGATGGGCGATCCATGAAACACTTGGTGATGGTTTGTTCCGCAAGTCTTACTATGATCAATTCATGAAAGACTTGTTAACCTTACTATGATCCCGTAGTCTCACTTCCCTCTGATTTGGTCAGGTGGTAGAACTCATTGAATTGGTCAAGGTTCATGAAGGGCGTGTTGAGGAGTCCCAAAAGCCACCCAGCCTCCCCACCTCCCCCCCCCCTCCCGGGGCCCCGCTGAGATGAGCTCAGCCCCCATCGATTTTGTGACAGGTAATATTGTCGGGTATATGCCACAGGTGACTTGCAAGCAACTTTTAACTTGTTCACCGGATCCAGCATCATCGTTAGGGAAGGCATCAGCATCACTCAACCGGGTCTCTGCTTTTTTCGGGCAAACAATTGGGCGGCATGTTTTTTTTGCTATTGGCACACACCTCTTATTGCGCATGTGGCACAATCGTGCTGCTTCTGCCTGAAGCGGCCTTGTTGCTGCCTGACAACCCCACACCCGTTTCTGCGTCTCCGTGTTGAGGGGTTCTCTGACAATAGCCTCTTTGGAACAGTTGCGAGATGGATGTGGCTCATAATTGAACCGCTGGGGTTGCACAGGTTCTAGTCTTTGTTCCCATATACCGAGGTACTATTTTGGGTACCAGTCTTGAGCCACAGCCAAATGTTGCCCGGGAAATTCAGCATAGATCTAACTCGGAGCTTAAACAAGCTCTTCTTACAAAATGCCGCCTGCTCTCCACTCACTTTAGCAAGCTGAGGTTCCACACTACCAGGAACGGACGAGGAGCCCATAGTTTGCCTGGCTGACACAGTCAATTGTTGTTTACGTAGAAGAACCAAAGCCGCAATCCAAAATCCAAAAGCGGAATGCCTGCAGGAGCTCACGCCATAATCGTTGGACTATTGCAGAGTCATAAACTGTTGAGGCTCTGAGCCGTGGCTTGCATGAGGCTTTGGCAATCTTGCGGAAGCAAATCCATGCACTGCCCTCGCAAGAGAGAAACAAATACCAATGCTTCTAGCTGCAGAAACTTGGCTGAGTCAGGTGCCATTGAAGCAGCTTGTTGTGCAGGCGGGGCATGGAGTCACACTTCAAAATCGAACGCCGAGCCTTTCGTTGACATCTGTGGCGAGATGAAGGCTCTCCTGCCATCCAGTTCAAAGCTGAAGCACCGTGGGCAAAACTCTGCCGCTTGAGCAAGCAGTTCCTTGCCCACAAACTCGACTTGAGCCATAAGTGTTGCTTGCATCTCAGCCTTCGATTGATACCACATGCTCCACAAACCAGGAAGTTGGGAGATGCGTCCTGTCTCGTTCCCCCTGCACAATGGTGAGATGTACCAAGTCATGGTGAACGGCAAAGTCCAGGATCTTTTGCCTCAATGACAACTGGCTCAAGGTTTCCCACGACGGGTTGGAGAGGGGAAGAATTCGGTCAAGAACATGTGCAACAAATGTATTAAATTGGGTGGCGTGGCCTATATCAAGTCATTGGCCGCGAGCAGCCGAAGCATTGCATTTATGCAGGCCCGCATTGCCTGCCTCACAGCGCAGGCAAATGGCCATGAGCCGCCATATGGGTGTGGCTCAAAATTAAACAGGAGGGGTTACGCAGGTTTTGGTCCATGTTTCCACTTACCAGGGTTCCATTTTGGTACCGGTTTTTTGAGCCACAGCCATATGATTCGGTCAACTTCGGATTGACCGCACTGACCACGAGTGGTTGCCCGGCCCGGGTCGTGGAAAAGTGATCGCTTTTTGGGGACACTCCTCTCATTAGTGCGGTCTTCCAGATAAATCCGAAGTTGGCATAAGTCAGCTTCAGCCAAGACATGATCCTCTTTTTTTCTCTCTCCCTCTCTCTCTCTCTCTCTCTCTCTCTCTCTGGGTATGACCGAAAGACTCGTGACGTGACGTCGCCAAGTCGCTCTTTGAGAGAGATCTCGGAGCTGAGAAGTCGTGCCTGGGCAGGAACAACTGCCTTGGGTGAGCATGATCTTCAACCAACAATTGCCTGGTCTAAGACAAACAACTGGCGAGCAAGCTGACATGCTCTTCAGATCATATGTATATATATATATATTGAATATATATATATATATATAGAGAGAGAGATACTATATATATATATATTATGTATACGTTTATGTGTTCTTGTGACTGACCGTTTTTAGAGGCGAGGCAGCATTTGCATGGGGATTTCGGTCGACCAAATATTTGGGCGAGTATGTCCCAAATCAAAACGAATAAAACCGCGGCCTAGAAGGTTCCGGCGTACATGTGCGCCCAACTTCAACCCCTACGTATCCATAGCTGTACCCTATGCTCGGGCTATTCCAAGAAGCCTTGTCTTCATGCGGCTAAGTTATCTCTGGCGAGCCGGTTGAGGCTATTCCAGTTGCCGGAGTTGGTGGATACAAGCTCCACTACTCAATTGCCTTCTTTCTCAAAGTCATCTCAAGTACAATCTTGTTGTTTTGGCACACAAACCGAGGTCCCCAAGAGCCACGAACTTCCAGTGGAGCGAAAACGGCTTGCCAGCAGGGCAGCTGCTTATATTTTGCAGACATCCATTGTGTGAGTCTCAAAGGAGAGCAGCGCTGCCAGCCAGGCACGGCTGTCCAAAGCCCACTCTAATCCCTACCTTGGGACCTAGAACCCTCCCGTATGGGCAACAGGAATCGTTTTCGGACGCGCCTCCGAACTCTTGGATGGACGCTTCACAAGCAGCGTGCCTTGGCTCCGCGCAGTGGAAAAAGGAAAACACGAACTGAGAGCCTCTTCCACAGGAAACACACAGACCATCTCGAAAGCCTGGCAAAACAAGGTTGCCAGCTGAAGCGAATGGCCTGTGAACACGGTCTGCCCATAGCACTGCCCCCCCAAGATGATAGCTGTCCTTTGGGTTGTCTTTAAACCACTCCCCAACAAAGGGGGGTACCCGAAAAGATCACACAGCCATATGAGTCACGATCAAGCTCCTTGCGCCCCTGGTCACGGTGTTCTTAATTCGAAGCCTTGTCCAAGTTCCCTGAGAGGTCCGGATCCCTTGAAGCTGGCCCAGAGATGCAGTCAGCTTCCTCTTCGTGAATGGATTCATTGAAGTGCAGTCAAAGAAACGGGTTTGCATGGTTGCCAATCAACGACCCGGAGCACGGAGCAGCGAGCGAAAAGATCTCCCGCTTCGGCCGTGCTTTCGCTCGCGCGGTAACTTACAAGAGGCGAATCCCCTATATGAGTGTCCTTTTTGAGGGTACCCCTTTGGGGTGGGAAGGGACACCAGCAGGAAGACCACCATTTTGGAAAGGTCCCCTACACCCAGAGTGCCTCGCCCGTCAAAAACCGCTTGGTCGCATCTCTTCCGAAAGTTGCCAAACACAGCGCCAACTTATTGCACCACGGGCGGGGGATCCGATCTCAGCTGTCTCTTCCTGAGTTCAAGCAAACTGATGCGACCAGTGCCATTCCCGTTCCCATTGTTCCAATGTCCTGCTCTCATTCCTCATCCCCCCATATTCCATTCTGTTTTGCTCCGCAAATTGGCGTGGCAGTTCCAAATCAGGGCTCGTGTGTGACGCCCTCTCAAACATTGCACCATCAAAGTTGGTCACCCATTTAATGCCCGCAGCCACAATGATTGATCCTTCCATGAACATTTCATCACACTGTCCTGTCGGAGCACAGAGTCTGACCTCCTCACGCGCAAATCCATTCGGACCCCTCCAAATGCGCGAGAGATGCTCAGAGGGGGCTGTCCAATGCACAGGTCCCGCAGGACAAGGCCAGTCCGCCTCGCACGCGGACGGCACGCGGACGGCTGATGAAACCTTCAAGGCCCAACAATTCAAAGGCGAAAATCCGAAGCTGAGCTGAAATTGACCCCGCCTTCACAGTGGGATGTGACCGACTGGAACAACCAGTGACACCCCCCTGCCCCGAAACAATGTGGAAACAGGGCCCAAGGAATATGGTTCACGGGCAAAAGTGCCCTCATTCCCCACGGGATCTGATGAGTCCCCCCGGTTTTGTGGTAGGCTTTGGGACGGAATGGACCACGACTGTGACATCATGGTTCCAAAAACCGGGGGAAGAAACAACGAAAAACCAGATCAGAATCTAGTCTACCAATCTACGGTTGAAGCCCTAAATATTGCAAGTGCGGAGCAGAAAAACAAAGGGCACAGTCCACTAAGGGAAGCACTGTGACATGATATCTGTGGCCCCCCTTCCCCTGATACAATGTTGAACTTGCAATATATTGGGCCTCGGAAGACGGGTTACGGGCTTGGCTTCAACATTGTAACTGGGGGAGAGAGGTCCGCACGCAGCGGGCGATGCCACAGAAATGGTGTCAACATGTGCATTGGTGGCGCTTGCAATATTTAGGGCTTCCACTGTCTGGGGTGAGCAGTTACAGCAAGGCTGTGTTTGCCTTCCAAAGCAGCCTAGACATGTGAAACTTGTGAAACTTGGAAAGAGCTCGTCCTGAAACTTGTTGGTATTTGCGTGAAACTCGTGAAACTCGTGAAACTTGGAAGAAAAATAAGTAAGGGTTATTTTTCTTCCAAGTTTCACGAGTTTCACGAGTTTCACGCAAATACCAACGAGTTTCAGCACGAGTTCTGGCCAAGTTTCACAAGTTTCGCATGTCTGTGCAAAGGCAGGCGTCTCCAAACCCCAGGTTGCACACGTGTGGGGGCTGAGCAAGGCAAGTCTCTCCAAAGTCTTCGCACGCAGACAAAGAGACGGTGCGGAGCGACGGCCGCGGACGCAAAAAAACGATGGACAGTCTACGCGAGACGTCTGGGGTGAGCAGTTACAGCAAGGCTGTGTTTGCCTTCCAAAGCAGCCTAGACATGTGAAACTTGTGAAACTTGGAAAGAGCTCGTCCTGAAACTTGTTGGTATTTGCGTGAAACTCGTGAAACTCGTGAAACTTGGAAGAAAAATAAGTAAGGGTTATTTTTCTTCCAAGTTTCACGAGTTTCACGAGTTTCACGCAAATACCAACGAGTTTCAGCACGAGTTCTGGCCAAGTTTCACAAGTTTCGCATGTCTGTGCAAAGGCAGGCGTCTCCAAACCCCAGATTGCACACGTGTGGGGGCTGAGCAAGGCAAGTCTCTCCAAAGTCTTCGCACGCAGACAAAGAGACGGTGCGGAGCGACGGCCGCGGACGCAAAAAAAGGATGGACAGTCTACGCGAGACGGTTGAAGCCCTAAATATTGCAAGTGCGGAGCAGAAAAACAAAGGGCACAGTCCACTAAGGGAAGCACTGTGACATGATATCTGTGGCCCCCCTTCCCCTGATACAATGTTGAACTTGCAATATATTGGGCCTCGGAAGACGGGTTACGGGCTTGGCTTCAACATTGTAACTGGGGGAGAGAGGTCCGCACGCAGCGGGCGATGCCACAGAAATGGTGTCAACATGTGCATTGGTGGCGCTTGCAATATTTAGGGCTTCCACTGTAGCAACAAATTATCTACCACAGATTGCAATTTCTGGGCTCGGAGCAAACTCTGGTCAACTGCTACTTGGTTCATGGATTGTGGGGGGCCCGGACAAGATGGTGCCAACCCTCGATGGCTTCCCGGGAATTCCCCTCCTGGGTTTAGTGGCCATGTTGGCCAACCTTTTCAGCCAACCCACTGGCGACTGTTCAACGCAATGGAATCAAAAACACACCATGCTCGGAAGAGGGAGTTCCATGTTAGGCACGAACTCCAAAAAGTGATTGCCGACAACCTTGAAAAGCAAAAGTCTCCATTCTGACAGAGGCCAAACATTGGGGATGATTGAATGCAAAAGAGAGCCCAAGATGGATCCTGCACAGGAGACAAGAGAAATACAAGGCCGCTAGGCTGCTTCTCTGTCCGGGTGGCTCCTGCCTCTGAGCAGGTCAAACCTTTCGTAGGTTTCATGAAAAGCCAAATTTGTTTCCAAAAGGTCTCAGCGGCCCAGGTCGGTATCTTCACCCCAAAGACCAGCCATGCAGGGCCTGTGTTCCCGATGCCCAGTTGAAATGGCCGTGGGTCAAAACTAGGTACCCAAAATGAAGCCCTGGTGCCCTGGAACCAAGGACCAAGGACCAGAACCGGTCCATATCCTGGTGGGTTCATTTTGACCACCCAAATGTACCAAGGGACCCCCGCCCCAAGGAAATAGTGGGAGACTGAAAGATGGGAACTTGGTCCGTCGGCCTGGGAGCGGATCTGAAGCTTTTGGGTGAAGCGGCGTTCACCGGGCGGCTCTCCAGGCTTGCGCCTCAGGCGCAAGTCGTGGCCTTTGCTGGGGGGAACCCTTCCCCCGTTTGAAGGGGAAGGAAACCAAAAGGGAAACCAAAAGGGAAACCAAAAGGGAAACCAAAAGGGAAACCAAAAGGGAAACCAAAAGGGAAACCAAAAGGGAAACCAAAAGGAAAGCAAATCAGTTTGACGGCTCTCCTTCTGCGGCAAACCCAAATCAGGTGTTTTTTCTCGCCGGAAGCCACACAAAGTTGGTCAAGCAACGGAGGCGAACAATGCCGTTCACCGGAGGCTGAGAACATGGTTGATAACTCCATCTGTTCAGACGGTTTGCGCTGAAATCCGGAGGGTACCTGGAAACGTGGCACCAAAGGATATGGAAGATGGATTTGTTTTGCTATTGAAGGGACCTGCGCCAACGTCCGCATTATTAAATATGTTGAATTCAATTCAATTCTCTCCAACAAGGTTATGAGCCGATCGGACCAGGCTCTGGGTGAATGCTCACAAGTCCACAAAGGGCCAAATCGTTTAAATGTCAAGCTTTCAGCTCATTTTTCATGACTCCAAAACATTCCCGAAAGGGAATCCCTGGCACGATTGGGATTTCACGGGCCGAGTTCAGCCCTGAAAACGCCTTCAAGAGATGTTCAAGAGACTGCTGAGCAGGCCTCGCCGGATTGTCTTTGCCTTTCAAACCTAGAAACTTGCCGCCCAAACCTCTTTATTGGAGGACCAACCTATGCAGGACTAGAGGTCGGTGCATTCTCACGGCGGTTGCAAGCTTTTCAAACTCCATCCAAACATGCAGAAGAGGACATGGCCTCGCTTGAGTCTGAGAACATGCCGTTTTCATGGGGCCGTTCTGCGGCCCGAAATCGCCCAATCGGACTGGGATGGCCGGCTCGCGAATAGCTTCCCATTTGCTTTCAACAGGAAGTGGGCTTCAAATCCAAACCACCAATCCAAACAACCAAAGGGTTATTTGAGCAAAGCCCGTGGGGACAAAACAAACTCCGTCCTCTGTGCATCCTGGCCACTGTTGTCAGTGACAGCAACTTGGCCATAGTACTTCTGCCCGCCTTCTGCCTGAGATTCCGCCGAACGGCCGACATGTAATGTATGATGTTTTTGTGGCTGGACCATTTGATGGACAGCATTTGCATGGGTGTGATTTGTGTTGAATACCCTTTCAATATTGGTGTAAAGGGAAACCAAAGGGAAACCATTTCCATTGTGTGCTTCCCAAGACAAATCCACATGGAGACTTACCGTTTATGAAAGTTACAATCCGGCACAACGTCAGGGACTTGGGCCTTCCCCAAACCGAAGTTTCATGCGACGGGATAGCCTCAAGGCTTCTCGCAGATTTTGAGACGCGCTTCTCTTCAAAGACGGCCAACCCAATTGACGGTCTTTGATCCCCCTGGTCTTTTGACAATGCAGCTGGATCCGCCGTTCTTCTCACCCATGCTTCCATCTCCGTTTCTACAAAAATGGGAGGTACCGAAGTACCAAGCTTGGATGCTCTCCGCATTCCAGCTGCGCAGCCGGCCTCCTTTGCAAATTGACGGGTTTCGGGGAACAAGTTCACCGAAACACGGGCATGTTCGTTGAAAATATTAACCCCCCCCCTACAACCCAACTCTACAATGACAGGCAGACAGCCAATCCCCAAGACCCAAATCGAGGCCCGGGCCGCATGGATCTTCCCGGTCCAGGTGCGCCTTTCTCATGTGACGAGGACCCCAGAGATGCACCAAAAAAAAAAAACGAAGATCCAAAAGAAAAAAGGAAACGGAACGCCCAAAAAGCCCAAAAGACCATGTGTCCGAATTGGTGGCCCACAGGTGGCTTTGGGAACCTTCAACGGGTGTCATCTAGTTTCCCCAAACGACCTCACTGGAATCCCGAATCCCGGCAAACACCGGAAAGCGCCATGGGCATATTTCAAATCTGCCTCAGAAAGACAAGCATGAAAAACTGCCTGGACTTGACCTCAACATTGTGGGTATGCCCGTTGTTGAATATTCATACAAACTCCGGCCGAACAACAGGGAAAACACCGCCAACATCCCAAAGCGGGAAGCGGCAAAGCGCGACAACCAGATGAAGCCGGCCGCGAACCGCGCCTGCCAAGCAGCCTTGGAAGAGCCAGCGCGGTGCCTGCAGCCAAACAGGCGTGGGTTTCGGATGGGTTTGTGGTAAGGGAGGTGCAGGATAGGGAGGCTTATGGTGGACGGCGCGAGGTTATACTTTCAGGCACCTTCCACATATCTCCTAACGTGTGGGATCCAAAAAGTGAACCCAAACACCCTGAGACAGGGCCACCTTTGGATGCTTCGAGGGAAATGCCATGCACAGCTCCGCCAAGGTCTCGATCTCTGGGGTTGGCTTTCTTTAGCCTCAAGGACCTGTGAGCCTGTGAGCGTTGGACCCGATGTGGCTCGAGAGAAGGGGAACCAAAAAGCGTTTCGAGTGGCAATGCATCCTGCTGAAGGTTACGATCCTCATCCTGTTGCCGTGCTTGGGCCAGGCGTCAAATCTCAACCGAATGCCGTGGTTTTCACCAAGGGCAACCGAATTCGAATTCCCCCGGCCTATTCTCTCCCAGCGAGTCGGTGCCTGGCGAATGGCGCGAGGGAGGGGCCAACCAAATCTGCCAACTCTGCAGGTCCAAACACCTGAAATAAGGGAATCAGCGGAACAAAACCCAAAGCCTTGTGGGTTGAAAACCTGTGCGCATGTGTGTATGTATATCTATATATATATAATGTGTATATATATACATTGTATTTAGATACATATATATATATATATATATGTGTGTGTGTGTGCGTGTTTACTCATGTAAGCAGCCCCACCAGCACACAGAAATCAACAAGAGCCTCCACACTCCCCATGCTTCGCCAAGACGAAGGGAAACAGGGCCTGAGATGCCTTCTTTGAGACGAGGGAAGGAAAGAAAAGACCGATAATTACTGTCCTGAAACACCCATACCCTCCTCTTTCCAACCCCCTGAGCCGAGGTAGCACCACATTAGCTGACATAGTCGGAATGCTTCTTCATATCGTTGAAACAAATGCGCAGTCTTGGCTGTTGTTTAGTGCCCCTGCTGTAAGTGGGTTAAACTGATCCTGCCGCTGAAACCAAAAGCTGGAACCGATCATCTTCCGAGGCTGGAAGGCCCGGAGCTCAAATTCCTCATGCAGTTTCTCGCCACCGTCTCGGGGTGTTGGGCGCAAAAGGAAAGACTGCGTCGCTGGTGATGGCCCTTCCCCCGCTCCACAGGTCGATCACTGGCCCCCGTGGCTGGCTGCACTCTTAGCTCTTTGAGACTCCCCCGTGCGTTTGCGAACGGCTACTCTTTCTTGTTGGACAAAGGGCACCCCTCTAAGCGCTTCATCGCTTCCATTCCGGCTCGGCCGGTCAGCGGGGGTCCGAGTTGCTCGCACGTAGCCCACAAATGTTCCTCCTTATCCCAGAAGCGGGATACCATGTATGTGCGTGTGAGTGTTGTGGAGCTAATACCTCTTTTCTTTCTTTTCGTTTTTTGTGTTTTTTTTTATTTTTTTTGGGGGTTACGGCTAATTGCTCCGACCATTTTAAAGAAACTTCGCCACGCTGCTTCCTGGAGGTAAAACAGAAAAGGATTCACGAAATCGCCCAAACCCGGCTGCCACCGGCCCCATCCGCATGGCAAACGCGGGCCTTCGGCGGGCTAAAAATGAACAGCGGCGAGTCTCCTTCCTGAATGCGCGTTGGATACGCTCCGCACTTTGGAGCAGCCCGAGGTTAGAACGGAAAATGAACCCCAGTGCTTCCAGTTGCCACTACAATAGGTTACCAAGGGAAACAATTTTGAAAACTAAAGCAAAAAAGTCCTGTTTGCCTACCATAGTGATATCTGAAATTCCCTCGGACCGATTGAACTACCTAATTTTGACACATACCCGTGTCTTCCTTGTCTTTGCACAGCCGAGCAACACTTACGTGGATATGCCGGAGCAGCCAAAAGAACCGGACAGATCTCTGGAAACCTGACGAGTTATATTGGTTGACCCGAAATAGGTTCTCTTTATGAGCACAACGGGCGCTAAGGATCATCAAAAACCAAGAATCAAAAGGACAGTCGCACTGTCGGCCACCCGAGGGGCAATCGCGCAGGGTGTCAAATCAAGATTTGCTTGCCGACGCTTCTCCAATCAACAAGGGCCATGGGCCATGGTATTATTCAACGCAACTCAACGAACGGATCCCGGGGCAACAAAAGCGCCAAACAGCATTCTGTGCGTGCACTGCGCCTTTGCTTCTTGTTGCATACTGAACCGGAACCTGCGCGCTTTCTACCAATGCAGCTGAAAAGCCCTGAACAAAACAAGAAGCTGGAGTCGACAAGCATGCCTCTCCTCACAACTGGTTGCAAATTGCGCCCAGCTCGGCAAAAAAACTGCTCGCAAGCAGCTGGATCTGACTGGATGCAAGCCGGGATGCGGGAGCCGAAGGCCATGGCTGACTGCCTTGGCGAGGCAAGCAACGCCTGGTGCGAGCCGCGAGCCAGTTGAGCTGGGCCCCCCGTGTTATCCTCCACGCATGCCAACGAAACCCAACGGGGAAGAGGCTTCAAGGAGACTCAGCCCATCAGATGGCTGCGGCAATGACCATCTCATTTGCCCTCACCTCACCCAAAGAACCATCCAATCTGCCGCTTCTGAGGGATGACAACAAACCACAAGGCCAAAAGAGGCGTCCGGAACATCCCCGCCTTGGGATTCGACGCAAAAGCCGGTCGAGCTCCGAATCCGGAATCCCGGATTCCGAAGCCCGAATCCTGGATCCCTCTGTCGATCCTCTTGTTTGTTCTTGTTTTGCCTTTTCCGTAGGACACAATCTTGGCAGTTTGGTGCATAATTGCTCATGTTGCACAAGCTGGAAGCACTCCCACCCCTTTACCCCTGCACCCCCCCCCTCGTGACGAGACTCTTTGTCCATCACGAGACAAGCTGGTCTCAGAGGCCACAAACGAGCAGACCAGGCGGTTTTGCCTCACGCGAGGGGGCAGATTGCTCAGTCGAGCGCTTCCGGTGTCCACTGCTTGCGACTGCAACATTTGCCTGCAACTACCAACCCTGTAGTAAACGTGTCCTTTGGCCATGGCACATGTCGATTTCATGCTTCCACTTTCTCGCGTGCCAACCCGTGTCTGCTGAGGACTTTAGTCCCACCAACATGGCTATGAATCAGGAAGTAGACCCACCTACTAAAATGGCGAACCGCGGTCTTGGGGGCCGCTCATGTCGGTATGTCGTGATGAGCTCATTCCACCGCGATGCCGATCACAACCTATCTGGCTGCAGCTTCGTGCGGTTCCGACCAACACCTCACCATATCTTCTCGGAAACCCTCAAGCGACATTCACTCGTCTGAGTCACAGTACAAAATCCTTCAGATCCCTTCCCTCCATCAGCAAGAGACCGCCTCCAGATTGCCCGCAACTTGGCTGGCTGCTGCCAGTAAAAGTCCAGTCAACCCACCCCCCTTTAAGCTCTTGCACTCTCTTGGCGTCCAACCTGTAAACCCTGGCTTTTGTTTGATGCCCTCCAAAACCGGGAGGCAAGTTGGGTTCCCCTCAACCCCCCTCAACCCCCCCCCCTTTTCGGATCCATGGCGCCTTCCGGAAGCCATTGACTTCATGGGGGGCACCGGCTTGACTGGAACCGGAGCACCTGAGGCTGGGCGGGGGATGCCAGTCAGGGTTTTTGAGGAGAAGTCTCCCATTTTACAAGGGTCATGGAGACTCCGGGTTTCCTTAGCGTCTCCCTTTCCATCCTGCCTGCAAACCAAAAAAACACTTGATATATATATATATATAACTTTCAGGGTTGCGATTCATTCCTGCAACGCAGTTGGTTTATCATTCCTTAAGCCTATAGCCAGGGAAAAACACCCAAAATCTGTTGGCTGCTTCCCAAAATAAGGACCAGCCACAAGGGCGGGCGGCTTTGAGACTCAGAGTGTGGCCTGAATCCGACTTTGGCCCAAAGCCGAGAGGAGCCGTTCATGATCATTGTGCAGCGGTCATTGGACTCCCCCTTTCGAAAGTTGCGGTATGGGTCTGTATCCAGGGCCACCCAAAAATTGAGGTTGTCCTTTTGATGTCCCTTTAAACCCACCTAGAAATGAAAGGGAACCCTAAAGCCACACCCATGTCAAAATGGCTCACCCTCCCGAATGTGTTAGGAGTCATGCTTGTGTGTTGCACCTCCTTACGATTGTCACAAGGCATCTCAGGAACCACTCCCTCGGAGGGAGAGGCCCTCAAGCCTGAACAGGGTCCACAAACACCAGTGGTTTCCATGTGAGCTGGTTAAAACTAGAACCTTGAAAGGGGCTTGTTTTGATGTCACTTCGTGACACCTTCCCAAAATGGGTCAATTGGTTGGGCCCTTTGGTGGACATCGTGTGTCAACCGCCAACCATTTGGCAGGGATGTTCCAACCATTAAAGCTCTCACCTTGAGTCGGGAGTCTCCATGACCCTTCAAAATGGGGCAACGCGCAACGATCCTTTGTGGGTGTATTTTTTGGTGGGTGCTGCTTTCGTGAAACCACCATTTGTGGGGGATCCCCGAACAAAGACACACATCCGTCCGAGTCCCGCTTTGCCCGAACCCGCTTCGCCTTGGCTTCGCTGCTCCTCCTCAGCTTGCCTTGGAGGATCCCCCACACCCTGACTTTCCTATTTTCCGCCCGGCACCCTATGTCAACTGTGCGAAGGGAATCACTTACAAGGATATCTTCTGCGTCAGGCCCTCCCTTGGAATCACACGATCCAAGATCTTTCCAAAGGCGACATTCAAGCCCCCAAACTGACCCCCAGAAACAGTGAAATTGTTGTACATGCATCTTCAGGGAGATCTTCCACAAATCGTCAAGCCCGCAAGTCTGGGAATTGAGATTGTCTGCCTATAAGAAACGGAAAGTCTGCACGAAGACCTTGCACTGAACTGTTTCTCCAGTGGATTTTCTTGGAACGGCCGACTGATCTTGGAAATGCCTAGTAAGAAAAAGAATAATGCGCCAAGTTGACCAACTGAGAGAGCTTGTTCTCGCGTGAATCGTTGGTGCAACATCTGGACCCTGCATTGACCATGGGCTGCGAAAGCACGGAACCCCCCTGGGTCGCTGGTTCTTTTTTGGCCCCGTGTCTGGGCCCAGAAACCAAAGATCAAGAAGTTTGAGGTGGAAACACGAACCCCCTGGTGAACAGGAATCTGGAGTCTCCATGACCCTTCACAAAAGGGGTCAGCATGCAAAAATTATGGGTGCATCGCCCGGAATTATCCGATGTTTAACAAAAAGTCATGGAGACACCAGAAAGACACCCTTTCAACTTCCCTCCAGTCAGTTTGGAGCTTAGGGGGTTACCTACCAGAACCAGGGCTAATCCCCATTTCCATCGAATCCAAACCACCAACCAAAGTTTATTGGGTCGTTTTTAAGGAATACAGAGTGAACACACCACTCATTATCTTTTTTTGGTGGGCGGAGTTGTATGACGCGGTCAAAACTATGCGTTCCCCCAAGAGGGCATGGGACAATTAGTGGGTCCCCTACTTCTTGTTGTGAGTAAGAGCTCGTTGCCCCTTCTCCCTCCCAACAAAAGAGGGAAATGGACTATCTACGGCAAGTAAACCAACCATAACCACACACCCCAAAACGAATGTGCAGGACAAATTGCTGGCTTGGGAGCCTGAACCAGCCGTCAAGCTGCGGCTGCGGCCTCGGCCTTGCGGCCCGATGCGGCCTTCGGAGAAGAACGGCAGCCGGCCAGGATGGACCGTAGACGCTGGGTAGTTGGTGCCAAAGCCCCTCGAGGTGTTGTCTTCCTGATGTGCACCTGAGGGCACTGTATCCTTTTTGGCAGCCCTTTTCAGGTTGGATAGTTTTAAACGGGAGACCACCCATTGTTGTTGCTCCCCTAGTTTGCCATCTGCTCACCTCGTAAATGACGAAGATGTCGCGCTTGATTCCGACCTTGTAGTGCAGCGCGTCGTCACGGGATTCGCCACCATCGTCACGAAAGACCTGGCCAGAACGGATGCGCGCGCACGCTGCAGGCCAACGACCGCTTTTGTTGGGTCCCTAGTTTGCCACTCGCGCACCTCGCAAATGGCGAAGATGCCATGCTTTTGTCCGTACGTGAAGTGCAGCGCGTCGTCACAGGTTTCGCCACCATCGTCACAAAAGACCTGGCCACAGCGCTGGCGACCTATGCTACGGCTATCCCACCGCATTTGCGTTGCTTTCAAGCAATGGTTTCGGTATCATTGCGGGTTATATTTCAAGACCCCTCAGGGGCACTTTGGCACTTCGGACTGTTGCTACTTCCTTTTGTTGCTTGTCTTCAGGTTCTTTAGGTCCTTGGGTTTCTAGAGTGTTGGGTTTTAAGGTTTGTTCAAAGGGTTCTCGGGTTCTTCCTGAGACTCTTTGCGTCCACACCGCGCCTCGCGGGACCTGCCGCTTCCTTCAGCTTCTTGGTCGCCTGCAGCTTCTCCAGCGGAAGTGAACAGAGGGTGGTTGACAGCAGCGATCTTCTGAGCCGCGGCCAGCCGGAGCCGGAGCCGCTGCTCTCCGCCGGAAAGCACCGAAGCACAGCCAGCTTCACCGAACTCATCCTGCCGCATCCCCCTCAGTGCGCGCATTCGAAAAATGGACGTCAGGTGCCAGGTGGGTCTTGTTGGATCCCCCCCTTTTGGTTGTTCAAAGCAAAAGCAAACCTTTTGCATTTTAAGGGACCCCGATTTTGAGAACACCCTTGCAGCCAAAGTCCTGAAAGCTGTGCGCTACTCTTCCTTTCACCCTCAGTTCTCCCCAGTGTGTCTCAATGGTGAACCCCGAGACATATTTCTCGGCTTCTTTGGATGCCCGTTCAAACCAACTCCCAGGGTACCCACTCCAAAAGAAAACTTCCGGGAGCCCACTCTAGGGGATCGACCTCCGAAAGAAGACTCGGGCCAAGATGCTCTGCATGGCCAGCATTGAAGTTGAATCCGCTTCGAGGTTCCGCCTGAAACCACCCGACCGGGACCTTTGACTAATTGGACGGAAACCCTCCCGGAACAAAACTGACACGCGAATTGCTCAGCAACTGAGCGACAAATGGTTGAGTAACCTGATTCTTGCAACAAACCCTGTCATAGCGTTTCGACCCTCGTCAAAGTCACAAGCATGTGTGGCATGCTCGGGGCTGCGGTTGAACTCGCTTTCACTCGTTGCTTACTTCAGAGCCTTTGAAAAAACAAATCCATGGCAGATCTTGGTCACTTGCGGCGCTGGATCCTTCTCTGCCGCCATGGACATCCAGAGTTGCACACACCACCCCCTAGGCTTAATGGTGGAACACATGCGTAAACCTGGCGCTCATTGGGAGCCCAATCAGAAATTCATTGGGAAAGAAATTGCAGTCTGGCTTTCTAGGCTCAACTTATTGTCAACAGTTCCCCCATGCCATCTGCTTGAGCGGGATCAAACAAAGATCCGTTCATTGCACCTCTGCCAGGATGTGACTGGCCAGTTCAGCGAAAGCGTTGAGGAACATCCCTTCCCCCATAATCATCCTATACATGCGGAAAGTTCAGGGCCCTACATGGGAGTCAAGTTTGTCAGCTTGATGTTTGTGGGGGAGCTCCAACCGATGGCCTGCTGACATAGTTCTTTACTGCTGCTTGTTAAGATCTGGTCAAACCACAAAATTCCACCAACCCTTCCAATCCCGCTAACCCCACCCCGCCCCCACCGTCGAATCTGGCCTTTCCAGGGCAAGGCCGACAGTTCGGTCCGGCGTGGCTGCGCCTCAAACGGTCACCCTTTAGTTTCCCTGAATCCGCGAATTCAATCAGAAGCCTTTGTTTGTCCTAGTAAAGTGTTCAACAGCAAGTGGCCTGAGCCCCAAGAGCTCCCAATCCAAGTTCTGCTGTGTTTTGTTTTCTAATGGTGCGGCAGATGCAAAGTCTCCGGGCAAGTTGCCAAGTTCGACTAGATTGAAACAGCACGAAGAAGAGCTTACCCGGGTGCTTACGCAGCATGTTTCCCCAAAAAGTGCTTACGCCGGCTTATGCCGTGCAGGGTTTTGCTTACACGTGGTCTTGTCATGACACAACTCTTGCTTGGGATGTAAAGGGTTATGTTTAGAGCTGCTCATTTGTGAAACAGATGTGTCTTGTTTGAGATACCCCATGTTTGTGCAGTTTCAAAAGCAAACCAAAAAAGGAAAACCCATCCGTGTTTTTGGTTTGGGGCCTTAAAGACCGCCCATCCGAGGCCCACGTGTTGGGTGTCCGATTCGTTCTACCCCTCGGGGCCTGCCAGCGGCTCGATGTCTGCGCGCGAGCGCGAGGGCTCGGAGACCTGCGCCTGACGCCCCACTCGGCGACTTCAGCTCTGAGGGGCGCGAAACAACTTGAACTAGGGACCCTTCGACATGGCTGCGGGTCAACAAAAATGTATACATGGCTTGCCCTGGTAACTGGAAACTTGGACAACCTGCGGTCCGATTCCTGGCGGATTGATTTTGACCCACACCCACATCAACCGAACAAGGGGACCCTAGCAAAAGACACCCCATGTGGTTGTGAAATTTACTGGGGGAGCCCGTTGGTGGACACCATTCAGGGATTCATAAGACACTTTTGAGGTCCCCGGTTGATACAGGCCCCGACCAACAAATCGCTGGTGGTTCTTCTAGGAGCCATACGATATTTGATCAGGTTGCGCGGCTTGGGGAGTAGCAAAAATCATGAGTTGTATTGTGGGCCTGACTTCTGACTTCAACAAAGCCTGAGCAAGGCCGATGCTTTGCTTGACCCAGAATCGATTCACATGTGCGTTTGTGTATATATATATATATATATGTCTATATATATATATATTAATATATATATATATATATATATGTATATGTGTGTAGTACATAGTTGTCAAACCACGCCATGAGCCCCGTACTTGCTCTGGTCTTCAAATTGCTGCTCACTGCTCGCAGCGCAAATCAAAATGTGGGTGTGGCAGTTGTCGGCTGTTCGTTCGACTCGATGCGCGCATCGCTTGATTGTCATGCCGTTATAAGGGCTGTATAACAGGCCTTGCTACAACTTCAAATTGAAGCAGGTAGTAGCGCTTTGGGGATTTCGGGCTCTCGCGCCATCTGATCTCCCAATGGAGCTGTGCTGGCCTGGCGAATTGTGAACTCTGCGACCCCGGGAAAACTCGCCCAAATGTCCTAGGGAAAACCATAATCAACCGCAAAACGATATATATATATATATATATATAAGCCTTGCTGTGTGTGACATCCGGTGGTAGAACCACCTGCTGAAGTTGTTTAAAGGGTTTTGGGTGCTGCTCGTCTGTCCTTGCGAAACATGGGGGAACGCCCAGAGAGCGTCCTTGGCCAGTTGATGGTATGTTGAAAAGAATTATTGCGGTCACCTTTCAAGACGCTTAACAATCTGTGTAGTTTTCTGCTCGAGGAATCCAAAGTGTCATTTTGAGATGCTGTGGGTTTTCACCAAAAGGCAACCGGAGCCCATTTTGGAGGTTGGGAACAAACCCAATCAATGAATGGACACTGCTGAATCTCTGTCTTGTAGGGGGTCCCAAATGGCCCAACAGCCCGGAGGCCTTTTTGTACAGCCCTCGAATGCTGCACCTGCGAACACACGGCTCCGCTCTCTGGGTGGATGGCAGGGGCCGCTGCGAAGCATACCTGAGATGGTCCAAAGGAACCTCTCTCTCTCAGCTCGATGGGCGATCCATGAAACACTTGGTGATGGTTTGTTCCGCAAGTCTTACTATGATCAATTCATGAAAGACTTGTTAACCTTACTATGATCCCGTAGTCTCACTTCCCTCTGATTTGGTCAGGTGGTAGAATTCATTGAATTGGTCAAGGTTCATGAAGGGCGTGTTGAGGAGTCCCAAAAGCCACCCAGCCTCCCCACCTCCCCCCCCCCTCCCGGGGCCCCGCTGAGATGAGCTCAGCCAAGCCGCGAGCAGCCGAAGCATTGCATTTATGCAGGCCCGCATTGCCTGCCTCACAGCGCAGGCAAATGGCCATGAGCCGCCATATGGGTGTGGCTCAAAATTAAACAGGAGGGGTTACGCAGGTTTTGGTCCATGTTTCCACTTACCAGGGTTCCATTTTGGTACCGGTTTTTTGAGCCACAGCCATATGATTCGGTCAACTTCGGATTGACCGCACTGACCACGAGTGGTTGCCCGGCCCGGGTCGTGGAAAAGTGATCTCTTTTTGGGGACACTCCTCTCATTAGTGCGGTCTTCCAGATAAATCCGAAGTTGGCATAAGTCAGCTTCAGCCAAGACATGATCCTCTTTTTTTTCTCTCTCCCTCTCTCTCTCTCTCTCTCTCTCTCTCTCTCTTTCTCTCTCTCTCTCTGGGTATGACCGAAAGACTCGTGACGTGACGTCGCCAAGTCGCTCTTTGAGAGAGATCTCGGAGCTGAGAAGTCGTGCCTGGGCAGGAACAACTGCCTTGGGTGAGCATGATCTTCAACCAACAATTGCCTGGTCTAAGACAAACAACTGGCGAGCAAGCTGACATGCTCTTCAGATCATATGTATATATATATATTGAATATATATATATATAGAGAGAGAGAGATACTATATATATGTATATATATATTATGTATATGTTTATGTGTTCTTGTGACTGACCGTTTTTAGAGGCGAGGCAGCATTTGCATGGGGATATCGGTCGACCAAATATTTGGGCGAGTATGTCCCAAATCAAAACGAATAAAACCACGGCCTAGAAGGTTCCGGCGTACATGTGCGCCCAACTTCAACCCCTACGTATCCATAGCTGTACCCTATGCTCGGGCTATTCCAATAAGCCTTGTCTTCATGCGGCTAAGTTATCTCTGGCGAGCCGGTTGAGGCTATTCCAGTTGCCGGAGTTGGTGGATACAAGCTCCACTACTCAATTGCCTTCTTTCTCAAAGTCATCTCAAGTACAATCTTGTTGTTTTGGCACACAAACCGAGGTCCCCAAGAGCCACGAACTTCCAGTGGAGCGAAAACGGCTTGCCAGCAGGGCAGCTGCTTATATTTTGCAGACATCCATTGTGTGAGTCTCAAAGGAGAGCAGCGCTGCCAGCCAGGCACGGCTGTCCAAAGCCCAGACCTAGAACCCTCCCGTATGGGCAACAGGAATCGTTTTCGGACGCGCCTCCGAACTCTTGGATGGACGCTTCACAAGCAGCGTGCCTTGGCTCCGCGCAGTGGAAAAAGGAAAACACGAACTGAGAGCCTCTTCCACAGGAAACACACAGACCATCTCGAAAGCCTGGCAAAACAAGGTTGCCAGCTGAAGCGAATGGCCTGTGAACACGGTCTGCCCATAGCACTGCCCCCCCAAGATGATAGCTGTCCTTTGGGTTGTCTTTAAACCACTCCCCAACAAAGGGGGGTACCCGAAAAGATCACACAGCCATATGAGTCACGATCAAGCTCCTTGCGCAGGCCCTCACGGTGTTAATTCGAAGCCTTGTCCAAGTTCCCTGAGAGGTCCGGATCCCTTGAAGCTGGCCCAGATATGCAGTCCACAGCTTCCTCCTTGTGAATGGATTCATTGAAATGGTGCGGTTGTCAAAGAAACGGGTTTGCATGGTTGCCAATCAACGAACCGGAGCACGGAGCAGCGAGCGAAAAGATCTACCGCATTCGGCCGTGTGTTCGCTCGCGCGGTAACTTACAAGAGGCGGATCCCCTACATGAGTGTCCTTTTTGAGGGTACCCCTTTGGGGTGGGAAGGGACACCAGCAGGAAGACCACAATTTTGGAAAGGTCCCCTCCCAGATTGCCTCGCCCGTCAAAAACCGCTTGGTCGCATCTCTTCCGAAAGTTGCCAAACACAGCGCCAACTTATTGCACCACGAGCGGGGGATCCGATCTCACGAGCGGGGGATCCGATCTCTGTCTCTCTTCCTGAGCTCAAGCAAACTGATGCGACCAGTGCCATTCCCGTTCCCATTGTTCCAATTTCCTGTTCTCATTCCTCATCCCCCCATATTCCATTCTGTGCTCCGCAAATTGGCATGGCAGTTCCGAATCAGGGCTCGTTTGTGAGGCCCTCTCAAACATTGCACCATCAAAGTTGGTCACCCATTTAATGCCCGCAGCCACAATGATTGATCCTTCCATGAACATTTCATCACACTGTCCTGTCGGAGCACAGAGTCTGACCTCCTCACGCGCAAATCCATTCGGACCCCTCCAAATGCGCGAGAGATGCTCAGAGGGGGCTGTCCAATGCACAGGTCCCGCAGGACAAGGCCAGTCCGCCTCGCACGCGGACGGCACGCGGACGGCTGATGAAACCTTCAAGGCCCAACAATTCAAAGGCGAAAATCCGAAGCTGAGCTGAAATTGACCCCTCGCCTTCACAGTGGGATGTGACCGACTGGAACAACCAGTGACACCCCCCTGCCCCGAAACAATGTGGAAACAGGGCCCAAGGAATATGGTTCACGGGCAAAAGTGCCCTCATTCCCCACGGGATCTGATGAGTCCCCCCGGTTTTGTGGTAGGCTTTGGGACGGAATGGACCACGACTGTGACATCATGGTTCCAAAAACCGGGGGAAGAAACAACGAAAAACCAGATCAGAATCTAGTCTACCAATCTAGCAACAAATTATCTACCACAGATTGCAATTTCTGGGCTCGGAGCAAACTCTGGTCAACTGCTACTTGGTTCATGGATTGTGGGGGGCCCGGACAAGATGGTGCCAACCCTCGATGGCTTCCCGGGAATTCCCCTCCTGGGTTTAGTGGCCATGGTGGCCAACCTTTTCAGCCAACCCACTGGCGAATGTTCAACGCAATGGAATCAAAAACACACCGTGCTCGGAAGAGGGAGTTCCATGTTAGGCACGAACTCCAAAAAGTGATTGCCGACAACCTTGAAAAGCAAAAGTCTCCATTCTGACAGAAGCCAAACATTGGTGATGATTGAATGCAAAAGAGAGCCCAAGATGGATCCTGCACAGGAGACAAGAGAAATACAAGGCCGCTAGGCTGCTTCTCTGTCCGGGTGGCTCCTGCCTCTGAGCAGGTCAAACCTTTCGTAGGTTTCATGAAAAGCCATTTGTTTCCAAAAGGTCTCAGCGGCCCAGGTCGGTATCGGTATCTTCACACCAAAGACCAGCCATGCAGGGGCTGTGTTCCCCATGCCCAGTTGAAATGGCTGGTCAAAAATAGGTACCCAAAATGAAGCCCTGGTGCCCTGGAGCCAAGGACCAAGGACCAGAACCGGTCCATATCCTGGTGGCTTCATTTTGACCCACACCCAAATGTACAAGGGACCCCCGCCCCAACCAGGAAATATTGGGAGACTGAAAGCAAGATGGGAACTTGGTCCGTCGGCCTGGGAGCGGATCTGAAGCTTTTGGGTGAAGCGGCGTCCATCACCGGGCGGCTCTCCAGGCTTGCGCCTCAGGCGCAAGTCGTGGCCTTTGCTGGGGGGAACCCTTCCCCCGTTTGAAGGGGAAGGAAACCAAAGGAAACCAAAAGGGAAACCAAAAGGGAAACCAAAAGGGAAACCAAAAGGAAAGCAAATCAGTTTGACGGCTCTCCTTCTGCGGCAAACCCAAATCAGGTGTTTTTTCTCGCCGGAAGCCACACAAAGTTGGTCAAGCAACGGAGGCAAACAATGCCGTTCACCGGAGGCTGAGAACATGGTTGATAACTCCATCTGTTCAGACAGTTTGCGCTGAAATCCGGAGGGTACCTGGAAACGTGGCACCAAAGGATATGGAAGATGGATTTGTTTTGCTATTGAAGGGACCTGCGCCAACGTCCGCGTTATTAAATATGTTGAATTCAATTCAATTCTCTCCAACAAGGTTATGAGCCGATCTGACCAGGCTCTGGGTGAATGCTCACAAGTCCACAAAGGGCCAAATCGTTTAAATGTCAAGCTTTCAGCTCATTTTTCATGACTCCAAAACATTCCCGAAAGGGAATCCCTGGCACGATTGGGATTTCACGGGCCGAGTTCAGCCCTGAAAACGCCTTCAAGAGATGTTCAAGAGACTGCTGAGCAGGCCTCGCCGGATTGTCTTTGCCTTTCAAACCTAGAAACTTGCCGCCCAAACCTCTTTATTGGAGGACCAGCCTATGCAGGACTAGAGGTCGGTGCATTCTCACGGCGGTTGCAAGCTTTTCAAACTCCATCCAAACATGCAGAAGAGGACATGGGCTCGCTTGAGTCTGAAAACATGCCGTTTTCATGGGGCCCGAAATCGCCCAATCGGACTGGGATGGCCGGCTCGCGAATAGCTTCCCATTTGCATTCAACAGGAAGTGGGCTTCAAATCCAAACCACCAATCCAAACAACCAAAGGGTTATTTGAGCAAAGCCCGTGGGGACAAAACAAACTCCGTCCTCTGTGCATCCTGGCCACTGTTGTCAGTGACAGCAACTTGGCCATAGTACTTCTGCCCGCCTTCTGCCTGAGATTCCGCCGAACGGCCGACATGTAATGTATGATGTTTTTGTGGCTGGACCCTTTGATGGACAGCATTTGCATGGGTGTGATTTGTGTTGAATACCCTTTCAATATTGGTGTAAAGGGAAACCAAAGGGAAACCATTTCCATTGTGTGCTTCCCAAGACAAATCCACATGGAGACTTACCGTTTATGAAGGTTACAATCCGGCACAACGTCAGGGACTTGGGCCTTCCCCAAACCGAAGCTTCATGCAACGGGATAGCCTCAAGGCTTCTCGCAGATTTTGAGACGCGCTTCTCTTCAAAGACGGCCAACCCAATTGACGGTCTTTGATCCCCCTGGTCTTTTGACAATGCAGCTGGATCCGCCGGTCTTCTCACCCATGCTTCCATCTCCGTTTCTACGAAAATGGGAGGTACCGGAAGTACCAAGCTTGGATGCTCTCCGCATTCCAGCTGCGCAGCCGGCCTCCTTTGCAAATTGACGGGTTTCGGGGAACAAGTTCACCGAAACACGGGCATGTTCGTTGAAAATATTAACCCCCCCCTACAACCCAACTCTACAATGACAGGCAGACAGCCAATCCCCAAGACCCAAATCGAGGCCCGGGCCGCATGGATCTTCCCGGTCCAGGTGCGCCTTTCTCATGTGACGAGGACCCCAGAGATGCACCAAAAGGGAACCAAACGAAGATCCAAAAGAAAAAAGGAAACGGAACGCCCAAAAAGCCCAAAAGACCATGTGTCCGAATTGGTGGCCCACAGGTGGCTTTGGGAGCCTTCAACGGGTGTCATCTAGTTTCCCCAAACGACCTCACTGGAATCCCGAATCCCGGCAAACACCGGAAAGCGCCATGGGCATATTTCAAATCTGCCTCAGAAAGACAAGCATGAAAAACTGCCTGGACTTGACCTCAACATTGTGGGTATGCCCGTTGTTGAATATTCATACAAACTCCGGCCGAACAACAGGGAAAACACCGCCAACATCCCAAAGCGGGAAGCGGCAAAACGCGACAAGCAGATGAAGCCGGCCGCGAACCGCGCCTGCCAAGCAGCCTTGGAAGAGCCAGCGCGGTGCCTGCAGCCAAACAGGCGTGGGTTTCGGATGGGTTTGTGGTAAGGGAGGTGCAGGATAGGGAGGCTTATGGTGGACGGCGCGAGGTTATACTTTCAGGCACCTTCCACATATCTCCTAACGTGTGGGATCCAAAAAGTGAACCCAAACACCCTGAGACAGGGCCACCTTTGGATGCTTCGAGGGAAATGCTATGCACAGCTCCGCCAAGGTCTCGATCTCTGGGGTTGGCTTTCTTTAGCCTCAAGGACCTGTGAGCCTGTGAGCGTTGGACCCGATGTGGCTCGAGAGAAGGGGAACCAAAAAGCGTTTCGAGTGGCAATGCATCCTGCTGAAGGTTACGATCCTCATCCTGTTGCCGTGCTTGGGCCAGGCGTCAAATCTCAAGCAACCAAATGCAGTGGTTTTGAGGCAGGGCAACCGAATTCGAATTCCCCCGGCCTATTCTCTCCCAGCGAGTCGGTGCCTGGCGAATGGCGCGAGGGAGGGGCCAACCAAATCTGCCAACTCTGCAGGTCCAAACACCTGAAATAAGGGAATCAGCGGAACAAAACCCAAAGCCTTGTGGGTTGAAAACCTGTGCGCATGTGTGTATGTATATCTATATATATATATAATGTGTATATATATATATATTGTTTGTATATATACATATATATATATGTGTGTGCGTGTTTACTCATGTAAGCAGCCCCACCAGCACACAGAAATCAACAAGAGCCTCCACACTCCCCATGCTTCGCCAAGACGAAGGGAAACAGGGCCTTAGATGCCTTCTTTGAGACGAGGGAAGGAAAGAAAAGACCGATAATTACTGTCCTGAAACACCCATACCCTCCTCTTTCCAACCCCCTGAGCCGAGGTAGCTCCACATTAGCTGACATAGTCGGAATGCTTCTTCATATCGTTGAAACAAATGCGCAGTCTTGGAGCCGCTTGGCCGCCAGAGGGCTCCAAATGATGAGCCCGTCGGAAGGGCTCGTAGGGATTCAAAGCAAGGCTTGTAGAATGAGAACCTGCATGCAAGCTGGAAGAAGACATTGCAAAACAACAAACCGATGAAGCAGAACATATCAATGACATAAAACAACATATAGTTGCATAAAACATGTAGAACAAACACATCCACCAACTGTTGGTCACCAACTGATGTCTGCGTGACTCACTCGCCACTCGCCGAATTCGGCGGAGCCGTTCCGCCCCACGTCGAGTCGAGTCGAGTCGAGTGGCCCCGGGGTCCCGGACGCTGTGCCCGCAGGAGAAGCTCAAGCTCGGACTCAGCACGGGCTTGGAGCATTGAGCGCTCCAACGCGCGCCCATGCACAGAGAATTCGATCCCCAAGTAAAGGACCTACATTGTGACTTGAGCCTGGTTACCTCGAGAGCTCTCCGCAAAATACGAAGATTTGGAAGCCAGCCGCATACCTTGCGCATGGGAAATCCGAGACATCTAGCCGAGCTGCGCGGGGCATTTCACATCGAGGCCCAGCAAGTGGACGATGCGGCCCTCTGCCGCGTTGATCACGGCCTGCATCACCCTCCACAGCTCCGGCAGCATCTTGTCAGTGGGCGCCAAGGTCACTGGAGAAGGGACCTGAGAGGCTTGGTGTCCCTTGATAAGTTACCAACCTCCTTGAAAGAACAACTGAAGCTATGAGCAGCTATGCAAGACTCGTGCAGAGAAACCAGGCCATGGTTGTGGGGAAACCTTTCCGTGATCCTGTGACTTCTTTCTACCTTGTCACTTTCGAGAGTATTTCCGTGTTGTCACGGCGAAATGTCATAAGACTTGGCAGCTCCCTTCCTAGGCTCCTGGCACCAGCGGAAGAGAAAAGTGGCCATCTGCGGAATCCTGGAAAGGAGCTCATGAGTTGACGTGAGCAAGTGGTACCCCAGAATCGCTGAGCGCGCTATAGACACATGCAAAGAAACCTTACATGTTCCAGGGTCTTCCTGTGATTCGAATGTGGATGCAGTGCACCAGGAAGCAGAGCCGCACGAGTGGCGCAGAACATGAAGCGGAAAGAGGGTGCTTCCCGATCCAAATGGAAACCATTGGCGCTGACTGAGAAAGGGAAGCAAAAGCAAATCCCATGAGTCTCCATTCGTTCGCAGCTCATGTTGCCCAAAGCAACATGCCCAAAGCAACATGCTTGGTGGAGTCCAACCTTGGCCCTCTGAGCCTGAAGAAGTCGCCCGCTGACGACAGGAGTGGCAAAAAGAAGTCAGGCTCCGCCAACAGAATCAAGAACAAGGGGCTGAGCTTGTGGCCTGCTCAGACACTCATGTTTCAGGGTGTTCCCTTCCAAAATTCAAAGCCACATGTCCAAAGACCGAAGACCGGAATCCTGAAAATGGCTTTCGTGCCCTGCGTTTTAGCTTTCGCGGGGCTTCGTTGGGAGAGGCCCTCAATTAACTCCTTTCATAAGGGTTTTTGGCGCTGCTCAATTGTTCTACGTCAATGATCATGCCGCTTTCTTCGACGGCCCATCGCCTTGAGAGGAAAACACAAAGCGGTCCTCGTGGCCGCACGCAAGCCTCTGGCCTGCGGACGGCTTGGTCCCCTGGCTCCCTTTTGCGCTTGCCAGTAAATTTTATTCATAGCTCTTCTTGATTTCCTTAGCCATGCTCTTCAAAATGCCGAGGCTCCCTTTCAAACCAAAACGAGCCCCTTGGAGAAAACGAAGGGGGGCCGCCTCGAGAACAGGGCTCGCGTGCAGGGCAACGTGAGCTCCACTTCAGATGGCTAACTTGGCCAAACACCCCAAGTACCCTGGGTCCAGCCGGTGAACAGCCCGGCCACCGGAAAAGACCCCTTCATAAGCCCGCCACAAATAGAATGTTGGGGAAGAGCGGTCTCTTTGCGGCAGCAGAAAGAGTAAGTGGTAACCGGAACGGACCTGATCAGGTTTTTGTCGGGTCATAATGTGGCAAAGGCGCCGGGTGAATCCCCGTTCGCTATGCTCAAGCTGGATCCAACTCAGGGTTCAGCGAGTGTCCGTGTAGATCTCTCAGACGACACGAGGGCTGCAGTGATCAACCGGAGCGAACCCCTTCAATGGGTTGTTCAATGCCATCATGTTCCTTTTGCAAACTGACCCGCCACGAGTGCAAGTGGTTTTGACACATACTTTCGGCGAAATTTATAAGGAACCCCAAAACATGTCTAGAGGAACCCTGGGTAACCATTTTGGGATTAGGGCTGATCCGAGAAGCAAAATCCATTGACTTCCGCTGATACCAATATGGCCATGGGTCCACATCCCGTACCCCCAGTGAACATCCCAATCCCCACTAGAATAGACTAACATGGGTGGTGCACCTACCCCAAAATGGTACGGTTGGTTTTGACCCACAGCCATATGGGTAGAACGATTTGTACTGCTCCATGGTTTGCCCAACCCCCCCCCCCTTTCCATCTAAAGGGTGTGTAAATAGCTGCTAAAGGCTACTAATAGCTTTCAAGACTTAGAGTACAAATAGCTGCGAATAGCGGCTGTTAGCAGCTATTTTCTGAGGTTCGCATGCTGCTTCAAACCATTAACATACGGCTCGAACTGCTAACAGGCGGCAGGTTGCTAGAATACCACCATGGCTGGCTAGTAGAATTGTGCATATCGGTGGGTCGTATCACAAATTCGCCCCCCGAAGATTTCAGCAATGTATCAGTTTACATGGCACGGTCTGAGTGGCTCAATCAGCTACTCCGTTTTAGCAACAGTTAGCTGCTAGCAACAGCTATTTGAGAGGCGCTGGGGGGGGGGTCGTCTGTAAGCCTATCAGGGCACTCATAGCTGCCATTAGCTGCTATTAGCTGCTATTTGGAGTTTTGGCTTGCCGGGGCTGTTTTCTGTGGATTTCCGGGCATCAGAAAAACTGACCAGGGCTTGAGTCCCAGTGAAAACCACGGAGCCGTAGTCAGGACACCATGGCCAAACGAACTCGGTTTTGTTCCTCCGTCACATAGCATCCCGGCGCACCGACTCTCCCTGCCTGCCCCAGGCTTTCCTGGATGGTACCCATCCAGGCGTGCAACTTTGCTTGGCCTCGTAGCTGGTAGTCCCGCCCTTGGCCTCGAAATCTGCAGAGCTCAGGATCGAGCGCTCCAAATGGATTGAGATCCCTGGCACCAAGATCCTAGATTGCCATTGTATCGGTAGAGATTCAAATAATTAACAGCTAACAATCACTACACCACCATGTTCGACCCGGGTCCCCCGTTCTTTGAGATTCCTCTAGAAACATGATGGTTCGTTGGGCAATCCATGAAAAAGTGTTTTCCGAATCGGAAGCCTCCGCTCTTCGGTTCGCCAATTCAGCCTGAGCCCCCAGCGCAGCTCGGGGGAGTCTTGCCAGAGCGCGCCTGGGGCGCAAAAACTGCGGGGGCCAACCGCGAACCTTCGATGCAACACATTGGCTTGAAGTTGGGGGAAAAGGGCCTGGAAGGGGCCTGGAAACTCGATAAAGAATGGACCCAAATGTCAATGCGAAAAGCGTGATGATCAAACCAGTGCAAGTGGCACCCGCCCACCAACCCCACGCGCCCCCACGGACCGAAAAAGGCTTTTGACGCCCGCATCATCAAACGCCGCAACCTGAATATTCCACATCTCTTTCAAAGAACCTCCGTGCGCCACCTCTCTGTGAGGTTAGAATGATCGCACGATGCACACACACACACAAGATGCACATGAGTCAACTGATTGGTGGGGACAATCAGAGGGGCATGCAGAAGGAAGAAGTAAATTCTAGAAGATAGTGGTGCCCATGCGAGGATCTGGTGAGGCCACGTCCCTGACGCACTAGGTCCAGCACCCATCCTCTGCATCGTGGCCGAAAAGCAGCTGCCACCTGCAGCCGCAGGGATGATCTTGATACATCTGCAAAAGCCACCCCTTTCATCATTTCAGCGGTGCCCAAAACCCATTGACTTTGGGGTCTACTACGAAGGTTTTTGTAGGCGTTATCATCCCTATTCAACTAGGTAGTAGAAGCCCTGTCAAATTGGGCAATGGTAGTTTTGGCCGCTGCTCATTTGAGAATAAACAGAAGGTGATGTTGAAACCGAGGGAAACATAAGGACCCCTCAAAGCTTACTCATCAAATGTCTCGCAAACATCGGCGTGCTTCTTGAGTGCAAATTATCTGCAAGTCATACTGCAAACTCCAAAATCAGAGGACCTATTGTATGGTGAGCTCGTGTTACCCCCAAATCGGTGGAATCTCTTGACCCGAAGTTGGCCGAATCGTGGACTTGCACATCCAAATTTGGAATTTGGCCCTTCCTCAAATGTTCACCGGCTGTCACTATTAATGGAGGCGATGATTTCGGGCAGGTGGTGCGTTTGGCTCAAACAAGCTAAAGAACCACAAATTTGGAATTACCGATTATTTTGACACTACCCATCTAAAGTTTCGGTTGTAGCGCTAAAGGCAAAAGCAGCACCTGGCTGACCCTAAATGAGCGCTAACGAATGGGTTGGTTCTAGAATGCTACACACATGATTGTCCTTTAAGTGCAAGTGGTCGGAGCCAATGTATTAGAACCTGGGTGGGTGTCAAAACAGGTTAGACGCAATGACTACGCAGCCACAAACAAGATTCTCAGATTTCAACGGACAAACGTGCGTTGGCAAGTTTGGCCCATGTCCTCCCGTGTGTATATTAAGTATATATAATTCATGTGTATATATACATATATATATATATATATATTTATCTATCAATATCTGTGAATCTACATATATATATATATAGTGTAGAGAGACACAAACATGTGACTCTTTGTTTTCATGGTTTGCTCCTGCATTCAGTGCTTCTGGCAGCTGATGTTTGTGCTACCAGCTGATGAGATTCATTCCCTGGGCCACCACTCAACGCCACCTCTTTTTGGAAGATGTCTAAATTCATTGTCTGCCCCCCCCCCCGCCCTCGCACATCTACACCTGTTCCAGGCATGTGAACAGGAGGCCTTCTCAAGGGGACTGTAGCCTTCACCGTCCCATCCGCTGAATCGAAAAACCACTGGCAGCTGAGGCGCGGGGGCAGGTGCAGTGGCGACCTTCCGTGCCAGCCCGGGCACCATCTTCCGAGACGTTGGAGCCCTGACACGGGCCCAGAGCTGAATCTGATACAACAATTGCTCGTCGCAAGCTTCAAACGGAACTAGGCGCAAATGGATTTCGGTTGTATTCCAAAATCTGACGAGAATTGGACCCCCAAGTACAGGACCTACGTTATGACTTGAGCCCAGTTGCCCCGAGAGCTCTCCGCAAAATTGGAAGATTAGGAAGCCAACCACATGTCTTGCGCATCAGAAATCAAGACATCTGAGCCGAGCTGCGCAGGGCATTTCACATCGAGGCCCAGCAAGTAGACGATGCGACCTTCCGCCGCGTTGATCACGGCCTGCATCACCGTCCACAGCTCCGGCAGCATTTTGTCAGTGGGCGCAAAGGTCACTGGAGAAGGGACCTTAGAGGCTTTGTGCCGTTTAATGAGTTGCCAACCTTCTTGAAAGAGCTATGCAAGACTCGTGCAAAGAATCCAGAACATGGTTGTGGGGAACTTTTTCCGTGATAGTCTACTTTGTCACCTAACATTCCACAATCGTGACCCCGAAATGTCGCTCCCTCCCTAGGCTCCTGGCACCAGCGGAAGAGAAAAGTGGCCATCTGCTGAATCCTGGAAAGCAGCGCATGCGCCGTCATGAGTTGACATGGATCCTCAAGAAAAGGACCTAACTGAGCAAGTGGTACCCCCGAATCGCTGCGCGCGCTGTAGACACATGCAAAGAAACCACACATGTGCCAGGGTCTTCCTGTGATTTGATGATACGTGTCTGCTGCTTGGTTTTGAGCCTGAAGAAGTCGCCTGACGCTGACGATGACAGGAGTGGCAAAAAGAAGTCAGGCTCCGGCAACAGAATCAAGAACAGTGGGCTGAGTTTGTGGCCTGCTCATGTTTCAGGGTGTTCCCCCACATGTCCAAAGACCGAAGACCGGAATCCTTAAAACGGTTGTCTAAATTGAGCCGTGCCGAAAATAGGCTGTGTAAAACCCTTTCGCAGAACCTTTCGCGATGCTTTCGCGGCCACACGTTTCATTTTCGCGGGTATGTGTTGTGTAATGATCACTTTCGCTTTCGCAGCGGGCGCCGTTTGCATTTACCTCAACTCCTAACACACGCGTACAGACACAGAGACAAACACAGACGGGCAAACATGCACTTGCGCGACGCTTTCGCGGTGGGCTCTTCTTGTCAGAAGCTTTCGCAGGCTGCCGTGCCCTGCGTGTTAGCTTTCGCGAGATTTGCTGGGAGGAGGGTTTGTGGCGCTGCTCAATTGTCTACCACGTCCATGACCATGCCTAGCAACCCCAAGCAAACCAGTGCTTGCTTCGACGATTCATCGCCTTGAGAGGAAAACACGGAGCTGTCCTTGTACCGGCACGGAAGTCTCTAGCCTGCGGACGGCTTGAGTTGCAACTGTGGGCTTGCTTGTATCGTCCACTGCCTACTTTTTATGCTTTCAATGAATTTTCTTCATAACCTGTATTATACTTATTGCCAAATTGCCTTAACCATTTTGTTCAAAATGGGTTGTCTTCGACACAAAGGGCGCCGCTTTCCCTTTTGGGATCCCTTCTAAAGCAAAAGAGCTCCTTAGAGAAACACCCCAGCAAAAAAACCCAAAGGCTTCCTCGAGAACAACGGTTCCCTGTGCGCGAAAGAAAAAAAAACACACACACACACACCGGGCTGGGGCGCAGAGTTTGCTTGCGCTGCCAAACCTTTCCGACTGGAGTTCGCCCAATTGTCGTTAGAAAGTGGTTGGCCCCTTGGGGTACACCCCACTAACACCGCGAACTCCCTTTTGGGGGGCTTCTAAGCGGGTAACCTTCGGATTCAACTGACTTGGCAAATCGAACACCCAAGTACCCCTCCAACCTGTTAGCATCACCTTACCAGAAGGAATTCCCTTTCAAGTTGGATCAATGTTGAAGATCAGGTTGCTGTTGCTGTCGGGTGTTGATCTTGCAAGGCTGCGCGTGAATCCCCGTTCGTCATGCTCAAGCTGGGTCGAACTCAGGGTTCAGCGAGCGTCCAGGAAAATCGCTCAGACGACACGAGGGCTACAGTGATCAACCGGAGTGATAAGCCCACTCCGGTTCTCAACAAGCGAAAACCAGGAATCAACCCTTGAATATCAATTGGGTTGTTCAATACCATCATGTGAGGTCCCTTTTCCAAACTGAGTGGTTTTGACACATAATCTCCTGCAAAAAACTCGAAACCCGCCAAAACGATCATTTCCGAACAAACTCTGGGGCAATCGTTTTGGGATTAGTGAATTTGTAGGGGAGCACCCAAGCTGATCCGAGAAGCGCTCGAAATCCAGCGTCGGCTTCTACCAACAGTCGTGCGATTTGTATTGGCCTAGGCCTTTTGAAGCAATGCCTGTGCCAACTCCAGGCAATAACCACGGAGTGGTCTGGATGGACTCGGCTTGGAATTTGCGTCAAGCATCCCGGCGAGCCGAACCCCCCCCCCGCCTGCCCCAAGCTTTCCTTGATGGTACCCATCCAGGCGCGCAAGTGCCCTTGGCCTTGTAGCTGGTGATCTCGCTGGCCTCGACGGAAATCACTGGGAATTGCAACCACTGTGACAAACCAAGGCAAGGCATTCCTTAAATGACGAAGTCTCCAATTTCCATGGGGCAGAACGGCCTGGTATCCAGGAACCAAGCGACCATTGTGGAGGTTTGGGCGCCTCAATTGGGAGCGTCTCCCCTTTGATGTCGGCGAAATGGCATGAGTCGAACCCCCTGATGCGGCCCAACGATCTGTCAATTTCACCTGTCGACATTCCTGCTTTTCTGCCCATCTTGCCGCCCTACGTGGGTGTTTCTCAAAATTAGGCACCCCTGCAGGTAGGTGGCTTCCTTTTTGTTTCCTTTTCAAAGCATCCAAAAATGGGGTCCTGATTCTGAGAAACCTCCAATACGCGCAAGTACAGGGGACGACAATGCCAAACCCAACATGTGCTGACAGGGCACTCGGGCCAGACTCGCAGTTCTGATGGCCCGGACCTGGGCAGCGGGCGTCCTTCCGTGTTTTTGTTTCTTCCGTTTTGTTCTTTTCTGTCAAAACCGTGGCGCTTCCGCCGCGGCATTTGGTTTCGACGCAAGGGTCCCAAAACCACACAAGCGAACGGGTGAACACACACGGCACGTCACTCAGTTGCAGGATTGATGGAACTGATGCTATGCGAACCAGTGCGCCGCCCAGGAGTTTATTTCTACTTGTCATGGGGTTGTCCTCATGGTAGGTGAACAAGGGCGCTGCCATTCAAGCTAGCAAAACGCAGAGGCACGCTGCAGTGAAATGCAATTCATCTTTAGCAGCCTCTGGTGTGCGGTGTGGGAAGGCTGATGCTCGGATCACTCTGCAACACACCATGGTTGATCAACAAATCAACAAATGGGTATGGGTCAAAATTAACCACCAGGGGACCGCCGGTTTTAGTCCTTGCTTTCGTTCACCAGGGTTCCATTTTGGGTACCGATTTTTGACCCACAGCCAAATCAACAAATCCACACATGCACAAGCTCAATGTGAAAAAAACAGTTCTTCAGCAGCGCTGAAAGCGCTGTCATGATTCCTTTGCTGGGAAGGAGGAAAACAATGCTGCGCTTTCGAGTAAAGTCCTGCATCACCCGCTACCATTGAAAGCCCAGAAACGGGATATTGTGCCGTGTGCATGGCGCAAATCTTCAGCACCGCTTTGTCTCTGGTCATCACTTTGTGCATCGCTTTGTTCATCGCTTTCTGCCTGGCCGCAGGGGGCGATTCGATTGTTTAAGCAACTTGCTTCAACTTTGCCCAATGGCTGACGCCCTTTTCTGTGTAACCATCTTTTCGGCTGGGCGCTTCTTGGGCGTTGGGCCCTCCGGGAAGCCAGAGTCTCGCATGCCTGTCGCCCGCCTGCCGCTTGCCACCATCCACATTATCAACCTGCCCTTAGCCCACCCAAAGCCAACCGCAAACAAGCTGCAAGCAACCCGAAACTGAACCTCAAGCAACCTGAACCAACCTTAACTAAACCAGCCCGAACTAAGCGTAAACCCTAAACGAGCATAACGTAAACCCTCAGCCAGCCCTGCAAACCACCCGAAACCAACCACAAGAATGTTTCAAACTCAGCCTACCACAACCTCAAATCAACCCAAACCAATCCGAAAAAACCAGCCCGTGAGCCAACCCAAAACCCACCCTAAATCACCAATAGGTTTTGGACATGTTTGTCTTGGGCGACTTAAATCACCATTTCTCTTGTGCACGTTGGCTCAGGTATGCTGAATGACCATGCCTCTTGGCTTGCATCCAGCTTGTTTCCTTGCAACCACACTCAAATGTGCCAGTCCCTAGATTTGACACAACTTTCCATCTACCTGCCTTGTCACAGATCGCTGGACTTGGAAATGATTTGAAGCATGGCCAGCTGCTGAAGCACAATCAAATTCGGGTAAGTGAAGCTTGGGCAGAGTAGAGTCCCAACCATAAATGGCGGCCGTCCATTTTCTTGACCATGGGGTTCCTTCTCCAATCCCATTGGATCATGGCTCTACATGTCGTGTCGCATTGAACATGCTAGCAGCTGCCTGTCCAACAGGAAGCACCAACCTAGCTAGCTTCATACGTTCTCTTCACTTTGTGCCAAGGGAGCACACCTAGCATGTTACCAAACCGCATTTGCAGGTCAAAAGCAGCGGGTCCATGTTAGATCTTGCCTTCCGGATTGATTCAATCAATCTTGCAGCTGGCCTTGGTTGGTTTTAATCAGTCCGCATAAGGTTACGATGAATGATGTAATGTTGAGCCCTGTGCCTTTTGGTCTGCGTTGAGTTTAGTGTTTGCGGCTTTGCATGTATGCGTCATGCTCATATATATATATATATATATCTATCTATCTATCTATCTATCTATCTATCTATCTATCTATCTATCTATCTATCTATATATATATATGTGCGTGGGGTGGGGCTGTGTGTCTATGTGTTTATGTTCGTGGTTGGACGGACTCTGAAGCCAAAGGATGCCAAGCGTTGGGAGGGGGCCCTGTGAGCTTGCCACTTCCTGATGGCCAAAGGACTCCCCTTTAAGAGTGACAAAGTAGGGCGAAGCACCACCTGATTTTGTCCATCCTCAGACGAGACCGTTTTCTTGAAATGTTTTCTCAAGCTGCCCTCAGTCCCCCAGACCTGAGGACAGGGTTGCGGCAACCCTCGAGGCAATGATTTGGGTAGAAGACTCTTCCACTGCCAACTTCTGACCAGCTTGTGACCAGGTCTTTGGCGTAACCATGTTGCAACTGCCTGGAATCTCTTTTTGGATCTTTTTGTCGGTGTGTGTTGGGACATCACAAGGGCACGACCCCTCGAACGCCCTTCTGCGGTTTCGGGCGCCAGCTCGAGGCGCGCCTGGTGGCCATGCTGGACGACCATGGAGATGCTCTCCGGAAAGTTGTTCGGCCTCGAGCCAAGGAGCGATGATATCGCTGGCCTGTACCCTGGTGAACATCAAAATAGGTGGCAAATGGATGTTCTCATGGCCATATCGCCCCTTCCCAGAAAGGTTTTCTCAGAGTTCTGTCGAACCCGAGAGATTCTGCCGGGTCGGATGCCTTTAAACATCGGGAAGGAAAAGAGAAGAGAGAGAGAGAGAGAGAGAGAGAGAGAGAGAGTGAGCGGGAGCAAAGCCCGGGGACAGGACGCGCTGCCAAGACTAAGACGCCTTCAGAGGCAGGGAGAACAAACTGCTTGTTGCTCTTTGTCTCGTTGGCTCGCTTGCTGTTTGTTTGTTTGTTTGTCTGTCTGTCTGTCTGTTTGTTTGTTGTTTGTTTGTGTTCGGTTCGGTTTGGTTGGGTTCGAATCGGTTTTGTTTTGTTTTGTGTTGTTCTTGTTTCTTTCTTTCGGTGGTTCGTTTGAAGATTTGTTTGTTGATTCGTTTGTTTTTTGCTTGTTTGCTTGCTTTCAGGTGGTTTGAGAACTTGGACCCCACTTCCTTTTGAAACCAAATGGGGAGGTCCCCACACGGTACGGTGCTCGGGAGATTGGGCAGGATGAAGGGTTGTGTTTGTTGTTTGAAGCCTTGCATCGTTTCAGAGTTCACTTGGGTGGCAGAGTCTAGCTGCACTTGGACGTGGCAAAAGGCAGTTGCAGGCAGTCCTCAAAATGGTTTGTTTCTCGCAGCCAACAAAAGCCTTTTGAAGCGGAGGACTGTGAAGTTAAATCACTAGGCAAGGTAGATGCGGTGCTATTATCTAGACAAATGGTCAAGGGCAGCACTGTGTAGTGGTTAAGCGACGGTGCTGGGGATGCAAGAAAATGAGTTGGACCACTGTTGCTGGCCCTGCAGGACTTCTTGGGTGTCCTCAATTGATCAAGTTCTTCCATTGGTCATTTGATTGGATGACTCCTTGTTTGGAGAAGCCAAAAGGCATCTAGCACATGCTGTGAAGACCACTGCAAAAAGACATGCCTTTGGTGGCTTGTGCGGATTTTGGGAGCTCAATGAATTGACCCAAGAGCCTCAAGAGCCCAACATTGGCCAAAGCGCCTCACCCTTCCGGAGGCCTTGGCGAGTCATGCCCAGGTCAACAACCCGGACCTCCAGTGTTGCCATTCCCCAAGTTCTTTGTTTCTGAAGAACAGACATCAACTACCAAACACAGGCTGCGTCTTTCTTTCACATTACTAAAGGCTACACATGGATGTGCGACTTGGAAAACTTGCGCTGGCACGAACAAAACGCAAACCCGTCGCAGGAGGGTCCCAGACCCGCGCAGCCTGCCGGAGCTGAATCTCGGCTGGCAGTCCGCAGTCCGAGTCTCGGCGCGAGGAAGCTGCAGCAGATGTCTGCGACCGGAGCGCGGAAAGTGGGGCTTCAAGTTGCGAGGGCTAAAGAGGGCTTGCGAGCACACGATACTTTCGCATCACTGGTCGAGGGGCGGTTGACCCAATTCACCACAGTTGGCTTGCGCCATTTTTTGGCAGGTGGACACGGCTCCCACAATCGGCGTGATTGGGCTGAGCGATTTGCGGTGCAGTTTAAAGGGAGCCCCATTGGTGCAGGTCAAGTGAAGAAGTTTGGCATTGACTGTCACTGCTTGTCGCAGGCGAGCTACAAGGCAGCAGGGTGCGCTCGTAGCATGAAGAATCATCCACGGATTGCAGAGGCGTCATTCGCTTGTTTGGCTCTTGGCGGCAGCTCGTTATCTTCCGGGAAGGCCAGGCCAGTGTCCCCGTTTCCACAAATCATTTACAGCCCGGAAGGGATTGCCTTTCGCTGAACTGATTCTTGCAGCTGGCAATCACACGGCTGTCCAGCCCACCTCCGACTGGTGTCTTGAGCATCAGCGCTGCGAATCGACCTTCCTGTCCTTAGAACGCATCTGGCTCTTGTCAATCGCTCGATCTGAAGAAAGCTCTGACTAACCCCTCAGCTCTGCCGCGAGGCTCGGGCAGGTGGGACGTCCCGTTCCACCAGAGGTGTTGGAATGGGTCGGCTCCCTCTCAGCAAAGATTTCGCACCAGAAAACGGCCATGAGCAAAGGAGCAGTTGCATAAGCAGCAAGAACATGTGGGGCAAGTGACAACGCCACTTCCCACCGTAGTACCCAATGGGACCGCGCCCAAGCCTGCGTGCCCGTGTGCGGTTTCATGCCTCTCAATTTCTGCACTTTGCAGCTCTGAAACATCGGGCAGTTCTGGATCTAGGGACCAATTTTTCGGCCGACGCGGATGCCTGGGCTGCCGCTGAATGTGGGGTCGTAGCGCACCGCGGATGCCTCCCTCAGGCACCGCCGAGCCAGCGGAGCCCTCCAGGCGCGTGAGATGCAGTGACCTCCCCCATGCGAAGGGATGGTGGATGGCTCGATTTGGGGTTTCCGCCTGCTTGAGGAGAAATGATGAAGGGACCCAATTGTGTTGGGCACATTTAGGGGTTGAGGGAGAGGAGGGCTGTATGAAGGTGGTTGCCTCAACCTGATCCCCAGGGTTTCGCAAAAATGAGTCACGGAAGAGTAAGGGGGTTGTACACCTAGTGACTCTTGGGGGTTACGGATTGGTGGCATACTGCATTGAAGAGCTTTGCCAGAGAGCCAATTTAGCCACGCAGAGGAACACAATGTTTTGTTGAAAGGTCATTTTCGTCAAAGGGACCAGAAAGGAACCAAAGCACTTCGCGAAGGTCGTGGGAAGAACCTGAGTCTCCAGTACCCCGAACAAATCGCGTCATGGCCCCAAAGGTATCGATGGTCATCGCCGCATGTTCGAAGGTCATCGAGACTCCGGGAAGTGGTGAGCGAGCGCTCGCTCGCGAACTTCCTCACCCGCCAGGACGCACCTTCAGCACACGGAAGCGTAAGAGGGTTGTACACCCAGTAGCACTTGGGGTCTACAGATTGGCGGCATACTGCATTGAAGAGCTTTGTCAGAGTGCCACTTCTAGCCATGCAGAGGAACAAGGTTTTGAAGGGTACTTCTCGTTTTTCCGGCAAACGCACCAGAGAGGCACCAGAGAGCACTTCGCGAAGGATCAAAAGGCCATCGAGACTCCCGGAAGCGGCAAGCCTCCCCGACCAGTCGAGACTTGGAAGCCTCTCCGAGTGCTCTGCGCCCTGGCAGATCGGATCTAGCCCACACCTGGGACTCGAACGACCCCTTGTTTTTTTTGGGGACATTGTGGTCAGGTTCAGAATATGTGGGCCAGAATCTGAGCATGGGATTTTCAGTTGAGGGCAGAGGCTGGACAGCACGAGTTGACTGCCAGTGGGAGCTTGGGTGACGTGGGTGACTTTGGGGATGTTTTTGGAAGGCGTTGTCTTGGGGACATGTCTGCCTTCGGGAGATAAAGAAAAAGTGAAAAACAAAGAGAAAGAGAGTGAGAGAGAGAGAGAGCAACAGAGAGAGAGACAGAGAGAGACAGACAGTGACAGAGAGAAAGAAGGACGTTTTTTGAAGCTAACGGCCTCGCCGGCTCTGCTGGTGCCTACATAAACCTAGCCGTGGCTTGCTCAAATGGGGCGGGGAGGGGGTTGGAGGTTTGGGTTTTTCATTGGTTACGCAGCTTTGGTGCGATTTCTCTTCAATTTCCAATGTAAAGCGATCATCCGAAGTGACCGCCCGAGTGCCATGAAAAGCCACCCATGTGGTCTCCGTTCGTTTGCAAGTTCGCTGCAATTTGGCGGGGGGGGGGAATGCTAACAAGGGGTTGAGTTGCCCAAGCCTGTTTGACCTTCCTGTGCCCTTCCTGAGGTGATCCCAGAGCCTTCCATCGACGACGTCACTTCCCTGGGGTGCCCGCTTGGACATCAGAAGGCAAAGAACAAATAACCTCCTACGCACGGCTCGGCTGGGGAGTTCTCATCCTGAGTGAGCAAACAGTTTGTGCAAACCAGGATCCTTTCTGAACGACCTTGTTGTGGACAACACAGTGTTGTGAAAAGCAATCCTGTGTGAGCAAGCAGTTTGGTACAAGCCAGGATCCTTTTTGGACGACCTTGTTGTGGACAACATGGTGTTGTGAATAACAATCCTGAGTGAGCAAAAAGGTTTCGTGCAAGCCAGGATCCTTTCCGGGCGACCTTGTTGTGGGCAACACAGTGTTGTGAATAACCATCCCGTGTGAGCAAACAGTTTGGTGCAAGCCAGGGTCCTTTTTTGGACGACCTTGTTGTGGACAACACGGTGTTGTGAATAACAACCCTGAGTGAGGAAACAGTTGTGTACAAGCCAGGATCCTTTCTGGGCGACCTTGCTGTGGACAACACGGTGTTGTGAATAGCAATCCTGTGTGAGCAAGCAGTTTGGTACAAGCCAGGGTCCTTTTTGGACGGCCTCGTTGTGGACAACACGGTGTTGTGAATAACAATCCTGAGTGAGCAAACAGTTCCGTGCAAGCCAGGATCCTTTCTGGGCGACCTTGTTGTAAACAACGCTGTGTTGTGAATAACAATCCTGAGTGAGCAAACAGTTTCGGACAAGCCAGGATCCTTTCTGGGCGACGTTGTTGGGGGCAACACGGTGTTGTGAATAACAATCCTGAGTGAGCAAGCAGTTGTGTAATTTCTGGGCGACCTTGCTGTGGACAACACGGTGTTGTGAATAACAATCCTGAGTGAGCAAACAGTTTCGCGCAAGCCAGGGTCCTTTTTGGACGGCCTCGTTGTGGACAACACGGTGGTGTGAATAACAATCCTGAGTGAGGAAACAGTTGTGTACAAGCCAGGATCCTTTCTGGGCGACCTTGCTGTGGACAACGCGGTGTTGTGAATAACAATCCTGAATGAGCAAACAGTTTCGCGCAAGCCAGGGACCTTTTTGGACGGCCTCGTTGTGGACAACACGGTGGTGTGAATAACAATCCTGCGTGAGGAAACAGTTGTGTACAAGCCAGGATCCTTTCTGGGCGACCTTGCCTAACAATCCTGAGTGAGCAAACAGTTTCGCGCAAGCCAGGGTCCTTTTTGGACGGCGTCGTTGTGGACAACACGGTGGTGTGAATAACAATCCTGAGTGAGGAAACAGTTGTGTACAAGCCAGGATCCTTTCTGGGCAACCTTGCTGTGGACAACACGGTGTTCTGAATAACCATCCCGTGTGAGCAAACAGTTTGGTGCAAGCCAGGGTCTTTTTTTGGACGACCTTGTTGTGGACAACACGGTGTTGTGAATAACAATCCTGAGTGAGGAAACAGTTGTGTACAAGCCAGGATCCTTTCTGGGCGACCTTGCTGTGGACAACACGGTGTTCTGAATAAAAATCCTGAGTGAGCAAACAGTTTCGCGCAAGCCAGGGTCCTTTTTGGACGGCCTCGTTGTGGACAACACGGTGGTGTGAATAACAATCCTGCGTGAGCAAGCAGATTCTTTTTTGGACGACCTTGGGTGGACGCCGCCCTCGTTCCTTTGCGGGCGGCCCTGACTCGCAGTCAGCTCACCTTCAACTGGTGCAGTCTGCAATCGGTTGATCCTGCGCACCTCATGTTGCAAAGCTCGCCGCCCGCGCGGACGGCAGGGTGGGCGCCAGGACACGCCCGCAGTTCCTGAATGGGCGCTGGGCGCCACGAAGCAACATATGCTATGTTCATGGGGACAGCAGCCGACCTTCTGGTCTGGCTTCGATACGTGCGCTTCATGATCACGCATGGCTCACAATCGCCCAAACCACGTCGCAAGATACAAGGTGTGTGCGTTCAGCTGGGCGAGACCCATGGGCGATTGCGTCACCGGCAGGATGAAAGCATCGTTGGAAGCAAAATGTTTGAGCAAGGGTGAGGGCACTCTGCTGTGCCACCTGTCAGCCCAACCATTCTCGTCGTGTGTCGCACACTCAATCAGAGATGGAGCCGCTTGAAGGTCGGCGCAACTGACTCGGCCCCGTTGTTTGTGATGTCAGTTGATGATCGCCATTCATTGGTGGTGACGTCAATCGAGGGAGCGAGGATGGAGGCCAGTGCTTTGCTGAGCTGGTCGGATGACATATGCGTGTTGTTGCCCTGCCAACGGAGCAGATTGGACATGGGTGAGTCGTTGTCAGACCGACCGCCAACATTGCGGACTGCGATAGTCGTGTCGACAACAGCATCAGCGTGAGTAGCACCGACTATTGCTTGCGCAACTGCATCGAGTTCGCCCATCAGGCCCGGTTCTGAAGGCATGCCGATGCTGGACAGGTTCCGCCAACAACTTGTGGGACGACGACGCAACTCCACGTTTTTTGTTTGTTTGTGAGGGTGTGAACTGCGTGGCGTTTTTGTCGGGGTCCTATTTCACGTGGAGTGGGCCTTCGACGGGGAGATTGTCCATTCAAGGACCTTGAAAAAGATTGGCACTCTCCAGTTTGGTTCTTGCCCATGCGGGCTGTGAAGAATCTCGAGCTTGAGCTTTGTGGTGGCGAATCGATCTTTCCTTCTCCCCACTCTCCCACCCCCAACTTGGCTTCTCCCTGCTTCGCGACTTTTGTCCCAAAGAATCCAATAAAATACTGGCACTCCCCAGTTTGCCTCGTGACTACACGACGAGCCTTTCAATAAAAAACTAGAAGTCGTGCAACTTTCCTGCTTATTTGTGGCTGAGGGGTGATTGCGTATGCTGCTCAAGGTCGGTATGAGAGCGACCGAACAGTCTGATTGTTGGGGATTTCTGTGGTGGACTGTCTTTGGAGGATGCCGTGTGGTGTGCCTTTTAGGGTGGCTTTGGGGATGTCATTAGGGACATCTTTTTGAACAGACTGCGAATGGCCCCCAGCCAGTTTTTGTTTTGCTTCCTTTCGACTCGCTTTGCCACCTCCAAGGGCTCTCCTATTCTGACAGCACTAACTTGAGCCCTTGCCTCTTGGGCATCGTCTTCATATGCGGCCCTGTTGCAAGGTGCTTGCCACAAATGCTCATTCTGGTTGTAGGCAGGATGGTCAGCAATTCATGACAACTAGGCAACGCTTTCACCCCCAGATCAATCAACCCGGTGGATCAACAGGGGTGTGTTCCCCACAAACGAGAAAAGGCAAATTGCAGGATCGCCTCTTAAATGGGACGCCCACTATGAATCAACCACGGGTTCAATCCTGAGTTTCCACTTTGAAGAGAACTGGGTTGCAAATTCCTGGGGTTTAATCAACGGGTACCTCGAAGAGAACCGCTCTGCAAGGCTGACCTGTACTCGGCCGCTTTGCCCTCGGGCGATGCAGGGCTTGTTCGGATCCAACCCCTCCCTCTGTTTCCCCCAAAGGACCCTGACTGACTTTGTTGGAGACAGAGGGGCGAGATTTTGGCCGAAAATCCCGAGATCTCGAAGAGTCAGGTAGGCTCTCAGGATTGGTTTAGGATTGGTTTAGGGGTGGTTTAGGGGTGGTTTACGACTGGTTTCGGGTGATCTTAGGACTGGTTTCGGGCGTGTGTAGGCTGATCTGGGGCTGGTTTGTGATCTGGGCCGTTAAGGGATTGGCAATGCTGCTTTTGGGCTGGCTTGCCAAAAGTTGAACTTCTAGGCAAACTCCCACACCTGGCCTCAAAATTATGGCAGCCCCAAGTGGGCGTTTGCCCTGATATCCATCAAGAAGGAAAAAGGGGAGCGCTATTCCAAAATAGCGCTGTCCCAGAGCTTGAGACTCATCTAAAGGTAGGGCCCCCGTCAAGACAGGAATGGCTCCCTTTCGGTTTCTCTTTAAACCAATTCCAAAAACAAGGTTACCCTCACTTGGTGGTTTGGATTTGTTGTTTGGGGGTCTGAACCTCTGGTTCTTGTACACGTAGATGGGAAAACCAGCCCCGGAACACCAGCAAACCCATCCAGACCACCAGAGCTGAAAAGAGGGTGTCTCAAGAACATAGCCCGTGGGAATTCATCTTGGCTTTGTAGGCTCCTCAGAACCCGTCCGCCATAGAGGAAGGCTTTGGTGGGGGTTCATGCGACGAATAGGAAGCCTGTTGCCATTGGATCAGCTCTTCAGATCTTTTGGAACCCCTTTTGGTTTGTTAGGGAAACAAAAAGGAAACCATCAACCAGCTACTTTCAGGGGTCGAAACGAAAGCCCCCAATCGCAGCTCCCTTGAGCTCGCGGCTTTCTTTGACCTCAGCGCGGCAGCTTCCCCGGGGTTCTACGGAACTTGGACCTCAAAAGTTGCCGTCCCGACTTCCCAAAGAGGCGAGCTGAAAACCGGCGCCTGCCAAAAAACACACGAGCCCATGTACACCCTTCAAACAGAACCCGTCCGAAGGGGACCTCCAAAGTGGGGCCAATGTGTTCAATCAAGCCCACGAGAAAGATGAGGACTGCAGACCAAGCCGCGTTTGTGCTTCCAAGTGGACTCACAGCCAAGGCGGAGTGTGCAGCAAACCTCAGCATGGCCGCAAGTCCTACAAAAAATGGGCCGTTTGCCCCATGCAAGGGGGACATGTAACCCTTTCCTGGACATTGGGCTGCCATTTTTGAAGGAGGGCCTCTCGTAAAATGATTGCCATGCACCACACAAAGGTATCCACCCACCCATGGCTCCTGGTACCTCGAGTTTGATTGTCGCTCGCATCAGCACGAATGTGCCTCTTAAAACTTGGGATTTCTGGTGGTTGGTTTGTTTTGGTGCTCCTTTCAGCCTTGCAACACCCGGGCTACCAGCCCAAAAGTGATGCGTAGAGCCACCAAAAAGGGGAATATAGGGAAGCCTTACTAAGGGGTTCATTTTCCACATGGCAGACTCCTTCACCACTTCCTCAATCAAGTCGCGGCAAACACTCAGAGGTCGCCCTATTAATTACAATGCTACTTTTTTAGAATATGCAAATTCCAAACCAATACTAAACCTGCGGATTTCGCACCAATCCCGGCACCAGTCTTCTTAGGGGATGTTCCAGCACATGCTTGAAACATTCTAAATTCATATTATATTGTTTCTAATCTAAATAGGTTTTTAATTGTAGAAGACTGCGCCTTTCACTTTTCAACCAGAACAAAAAGCAAAAACAACCTTGAATGGTTCTATGTTGAGATTCGATACTCGGACAATTCGATACTCGGAAAAATTCGTGTCCGGGATTTGGACGAGGACTGAAGCTGATATCCGGTCGACCCCCAATTCCCCCACGGACACAATGATTGCCGAAAAACTGCAATGAAGGGTTGATCGGCATCCAAACCCAAATCAGGCGCTAGACCGAAACGTGCTTCAGAGATTACCAAGGCGCATTGACTTTGTAGACATTGACCAGGACTTCGTCTCTGTCAGCGTTCGAGCCCTGATATGGGCCCGGACCTGGGCCAATGCAGGGCGACCCCTTTGGGCATTGCCCATTTCCCCTGCCCAAAGGGCCCCCCCGTTGGTCGCATCTTTGGCTCAGGGCCGGGTCGTTGAAAATGACTCGGGGAAATCCTTCGGGGACAACGGCTGTTCACGATTCGTTTTAAGCCCATCTGAGCACTCAGCAAGCCGTAGGCTTTTGCTTGAGTGGATTGATTTAAAACAACCCCCCAAATCGGGTACCATCAAAAAAAGACACGCCCATTCATGGATCCTCCGACGAGACTTCTGGCGCTTTAGGTTTGGCAGGGGACTTTCGTGCACTGCATCCGTCCAGACGGAGGAAACAGGCAGCAACAGTACAGCTTATGATACCAAAGTGGGCCATTCCTGTGACTGCTCTATCACTTTAAAGTGGCTCTCCATACCCCGGCTGGAAGCCTCTGCAAAGCTGGATCCTCACATGCCTCGTTCCAAAGTGATCTGCCAATCAACTCTCTGTGATTATCCAGCCAGTTCTGAAGAGTGCAGCAATTGGCCTCCCATCTAAACTTCAAACTCAAACGTCGCCCACCCTGCCCACCGGCTGAAGTCATCGTGTTGACCACCCGCATTGGTGCAACGGGAACTTCGGGCATCCGAAGCGAAACAACCTTGTCAGATTTGCAACTTCTTGCGTGTTGCGCACGAGTCAGCATCATGTGAGTCACAATCAAAACCGATCGGTGCAAAAATGGTGAACCCAAGAATTGGAAAGGCGGCTACAATTTCCGGCTGGGACCTTCTACCCGAATCGGTTTTGATTGCGGCTCATGGCCAGAACCCTCGGCCCGAGCCGGGAAGTTTGATCCGGTCCCTATCAGCCCTCCAAAGCGGGGGAGATTGCGATGGCTCCAACAGGAAGACCAAAAGCCTTCAAGGCGTGCCATCCCCCTTAACTTCCTACTGGCCAAGTTTTCCAAGAGGCCATGGTAAACTTGGGTGGGGGGCAATGGTTCCTCTGAATTGCATGTGTGTGTGTGATGTCCATTTTGGACACCCAGAAATATCCAGAATGCACCCAAAAGCCATCCCCCCACACTTCGGGCAACGGCCCCCCCATTGACGCCCAGGCACCAAGCTGACGCTCGCTTGGACCGGCCAGGCTGCGAGTGATTTGCCTCTCGTCAGGGTGGAGGGTCGACGAGGGTCTCAACGGAAAAGGGGCAACTGGCTGACAGGGACGGGGAGCACATGTCAAAAGAAGAAAAGTAAGTAAGACCTTGCGAGAGTTCAGCCAGCAAAAGTCCCTCGAATGTGCAGCAGTGGCCGAAGGCCAAACAAAGCATCCGCGTGTGGAAAGAACCCTCACCAACTGGCCCTTTGCTCATCCCATGAAAGAATCGATCGCGCTCTTAGGCAGAACTGGAGACGCTGCTTTGTCGGACCCCATTCATTGCTTGCTTGCTAGGCCTGTAAATAAGACAAGGAAGAATGGAGATCAAAAAGCAGAATCAGTGGAAAAACCGGCAGCAGAAGTGTCCGGCCTTCTGCCAAATCTGGCTCGAGGGCAAAGGCCGGCGGCCGGATGGGGGAGAAGTCCCTCTCCTGGAGCAACGGCGAACACTGGCGGGCCAAGACCAACCAATGATACTTGATTGGGAACTATTCGAAATTATTCGAAGTGTTTGGGCCTGACTTCTGACTTGAACGTGGTTGTCAGCACACCCTATTAGCCTCAAAAAAAGGCGGATTTATATAGACATATAGAGATAGATAGCTAGATAGATAGCTAGATAGATGGATAGATAGATAGATAGAGTAGATTAGATTAGATTAGATTAGATTAGACTAGACTGACTAGATTAGATTAGATTAGATTAGATTAGATTAGATAGATGGATAGATAGAGATATAGATATAGATATAGATATAGATACCCACCCCCCCCTGGTGCCCCCTTTTGCTTGATTTGAGAGCGCAGGAGAGTTTGACTATTTCTGCTGCAGGAACCACCGTTTTGCTTGGTTTGAGCAGACACAGTGTTCAGCAGACTTAAGCAGAGATGCGTAGGCTTGCGTCCATCATGCGCATTTCATCTAGCTTCGCACACAGAGCAGTTCCGTTGCAAAACAAGAATTCCAAGCAAACATGTATCAACACATAGACATGCTAGAAGCCTCTGAATATTGTAGAAGCTGGACTCGTATCAGGAAAATTAGGCACTTCTTGCACAAAAATAACTAGAAGGCAGGTGGCCAGAAAACATGATTCACTCTGTTGTAGGCAAGATTGTGTCCGCACAGCAAACTAGCTGCGTCTGTTTTGCACAGAATAAGCTGAGTCTTACTTTTAGTTGCTGCAAGTTTCTCTGCGCAAGATATCTAAGCCATCTAAGCAAGTTTCTTTGGAGAAAGAGAAATGCATCCTTTCTAGCATCAAGATTTACATTTGTCCAGGAAAGCTTTCTCCACCATCTGCCAACAAAAAGCAGTGTATGAAGCCATGTCAAATAAGAGAAAGCACGCGTTCCAAGCAAGATGCAGACATGCCAGACCACGAGAAATTGCAAAAACGGGGCCAACAAAGGTGTCCCTGGAACAAAAGGAAAATCATCTTTCCCAGATTCAGGAATCACAATCGCACAGGAAGGCTTTGTCCAGTATCCTGACTCGAGAAAGCGAAGGATATTCAACGTTGAAACTTGCCCATGCAAATGGCTCCGAAACTTTTTTTGTCAACCCCGCTGAAACTATGACTGCTGAATCTAAACTTCTCAATACAGAATTTAGATTCAAAATGCGGGGTTTGGTTTCTGCAGGACCTGTGAAGGATCTTCTATCCATGAATGTTTCCCGACTGAAATCTGAATGCCTGCATTTAGAAATCCAGTGTTCAGACCCTGTCCAAAATCCAACATCCAACATTGCTGGGATCCAAGATCCAAGATTGTTGGGGGACGTTTCAGGGAATCTTGGATCCATGAATGCCCTCCGTGAAATCTAAATACCCATATTTAGATTTCTAAGTACTGGTATTTAGGTTTCTAAGTACCGGTATAGGTCCTGGATCCAACATCCAAAGTCCAAGATTTGTAGGAGACTCCTGGGAAAATGTGGATCTTGGATCCAGGATCTAGGATCTAAATACTAGTATTTGGAAATCGAAGTACCGGTATTTAGCAATTTAAACACCTGTATTTAGAAGTATGGCACACCCCCTTCCTTGGTGCCCAGTGTTGGCCAAAAAACACAAACATGCCGAAGCAGAGTTACACCACGCCGCACGACACCATACCGGCACACCACACCAGCGGCAAAGAGGGATTCAAGGGTGATACGCTCTCATCCAAAAGGAGTTGACACACACCATAGCAAACAAGATCAAAACGCCATGCAAGCACTCCATAACATCGTACAACAACAAGGCGGCAAAAGGATCGGCCCGGCATCCGTCGGGCGACGCAAGACCGAAATTGAACACCTGCTCGCAACACACACAGGCCGAATGAATTCCCGTGGAGTGAAATGTATTGTCCTTTCTGGACCGAATTCCGGCAAGTATTATCAATAAACAAGCATCTATGCTGGATGATGCATCGCTTAGACCAACAAGACTTCCACTAAGCGCCTGAGTTTAAGTAGGAATCTACTGAATGGGATTGAGGCCGGAACTATTTGATTTGTTCAATGTTGAATGCAAAATACTGTTTGGATATGGACCAACTTAAGTCCCGGCTGGAGGGAGTTTGGAATAAACTACAACTGTGAATACTTGGAATATCTCAAATACCGCAAATATGTTTAATCAAAGGGACCTTAATCAAACTGGACTTGAATCATAGTTCGCACGCATATGAATATATACATACGTACATATGTATATATATGGCACCCCCCCCAGTACCCAGGTGTTGTTGCATCATGTATCCAAACCATTGATATTTACAGTGTATTTTGATTGAACCCATGCATTTTATGCAAGGCCATTTAATGGACCAAAAAACCCAAAAAAACAAAAAACCAACAAACCAAAAAACAAAAAAACAAAAAACCAAAAAAAAAAAACAAAAAAAAAAACAAAAAACCAAAAAACCAATCCTAGCCCCCCACCATGGCTGGGAATATTTATTATTATTATTTGTTTAAAAAAAGTTTTTTTGTTTTTTGGTTTTTTGGTCCAGGAAAATGTTGCGCAACAAATTCCAAATGTTGCGCAACATTTGCGGAGCATGATGAGAGGATATGTGAACCTTTGTGAAAGAAGGCATGTTCTGGGTGAGAGGATATGCGAATTTTCTGTTGAGAAGAGTTATTGGAAAAAAAGTTTTGTGTGAGATGATATGTGAGTCTTTGTGGAAGAGTCAGGGTTACAGTGGTTCATGAAAGTACAGCAAAAGACATTAAAAATCATGTAACACCACCATTTATGTAACACAAACTGTCCCAGCCATAGCCTGGTTTTATTCTACACAGGGTTCACTTTCCTTGGCAACTCTTCAACATATGCTGCCTTTGTTTCATTGAAAGAAGACATGTAAAAAAGACCTGTGTTGGGTGAGAGGATGTGTGAATTTTTCTGTGGAAGAGTCTTTGAACCAAGGCATGGTTTGTGTGGGAAGATATGTGAGTTATCTGCGGAAGAGCCGTTGAAAGAAGGCATGGTTTGTGTGGGAAGATATGTGAGTTGAATTTTGTGTGGAAGAGCCATTGAAAAAGGGCATGGGTTTGGTGAGAGGATATGTGATTCCTTGTGAAAGAAGGCATGCAAAAAGACATGTTTTTGGTGAGAGGATGAAAGAATTGTCTGTAGAGAAGAGTTATTGAAAAGACATGCTTTGTGTGGGATGATATGTGAATATTCTGTGGAAGAGTCTTTGAAAGAAGGGAAGATATGTGAGTTTTCTGTGGAAGGGACTTTGAAAGAAGGCATGTTTTGGTGAGAGGATATGTGAACATTTGTGAAAGAAGACATGTTCTGGGTGAGAGGATATGTGAATTTTCTGTAGAAAAGAGTTATTGAAAAGACATGTTTTGTGTGAGAGATGACAGGTGAGTCTTTCTGGAAGAGTCAGGGTTGCATTCATAAAAGTACAGCAAAAGACAGTAAATATCATGTAAAACCACCATTTATGTAACACAAACTGTCCCAGCCATAGCCTGGCTTTATTCTACACAGGGTTCCCTTTCTTTGGCAACTCTTTCACATATGCTGACTTTGTTTCATTGAAAGAAGACATGAAAAAAGACATGTGTTGGGTGAGAGGATGTGTGAATTTTCTGTGGAAGAGTCTTTGAAAGAAGGCATGGTTTGTGGGAAGATATGTGAGTTATCTGTGGAAGAGCCTTTGAAAGAAGGCATGGTTTGTGTGGGAAGATATGTGAATTGAATTTTGTGTGGAAGAGCCATTGAAAAAGGGCATGGGTTTGGTGAGAGGATATGTGATTCCTTGTGAAAGAAGGCATGCAAAAAGACATGTTTTTGGTGAGAGGATGAAAGAATTGTCTGTAGAGAAGAGTTATTGAAAAGACATGCTTTGTGTGAGATGATATGTGAATATTCTGTGGAAGGGTCATTGAAAGCTGGGGTTTGTGTGGGAAAATATGCGAATTGAATTTTGTGTGGAAGAGCCATTGAAAAAGGGCATGGGTTTGGTAAGAGGATATGTGATTCCTTGTGAAAGAAGGCATGCAAAAAGACATGTTTTTGGTGAGAGGATGCAAGAATTGTCTGTAGAGAAGAGTGATGGAAAAAAAAAGTTTTGTGTGAGATGATATGTGAGTCTTTGTGGAAGAGTCAGGGTTACAGTGATTCATAAAAGTACAGCAAAAGACAGCAAATATCATGTAAAACCACCATGTTTGTAACACAAACTGTCCCAGCCATAGCCTGGCTTTATTCTACACAGGTTTCACTTTCCTTGGCAACTCTTTAACATATGCTGCCTTTGTTTCATTGAAAGGAGACGTGTAAAAAGACATGTGTTGGGTGAGAGGATGTGTGAATTTTCTGTGGAAGAGTCTTTGAAACAAGGCATGGTTTGTGGGAAGATATGTGAGTTATCTGTGGAAGAGCCTTTGAAAGAAGGCATGGTTTGTGTGGGAAGATATGTGAATTGAATTTTGTGTGGAAGAGCCATTGAAAAAGGGCATGGGTTTGGTGAGAGGATATGTGAATTGAATTTTGTGTGGAAGAGCCATTGAAAAAGGGCATGGGTCACGTCCAAGGCGTCTTTCTTGAATGAGGCAAACCTCCTTCCTCTGGTCTCCCAGTGTGCAAATCTGAGCTGTTCTTCCTGCCTGCTTCCGCGGTCAAAGCACATCTGAACCAAGCCCAAACCTGGGTACCTGGGGGGGGGGGGTAGCATAGATACATACATATATATATATATATATATATATCTATATATATATATATATATGTACCTATCCGAGGAAAATGACAGCTAAACATATTCAAACAACATGCACATCAAGTTGACTGATGGCAGACGAAACAAACATCAAGTTGATTGAATATTCGAAATTAAATAAGTCAAGAGAAAGAGAAGAAGAAAAAAACGGGGGGGGGGGGGTCGAATGCAAGTGTATTTACTCAATTCAACAAATCCTATCATTTTTAGGAGCGTGACTATTTCAGTGTTCAATTTGCCTAGAATCACCGGAATCTAAAACGATTCATTCAATGAGTTAAATATTGATTTATTCTCCACCCTCCAACAGAACGCAGAACGTTGTAATAACTCCATTGATTGAGCCAATCAGTCATATAGTCAAACTAGATTCTGAAGGCCAAAGCAGCTGCTACGCAGCCAGCGTAGTTGAAGCACAAGTGTAAAGCTCCCCCCCAATGCGGTCCGCACCCTATTCCGCAAGAGGCCAAACAACAGGGGTTCCGCGAAATATGTTCAAAGCCTTGATCTCGCCAAACAGAAATGTTCCCCCCAAAGGGTCCCTTCAAAAAACTAAGGTCAACAAGGCAAGAAGTGCTAGATTAAAACAACAACGACCAGGTTTCCGTGCCAGCCCTTCTTCTTTTTGTGTTTCATCCGATGCCGGATCCCCGTCCGGCAGCGGCATCGCGCACTGGGCAAGTGCCACCAGCGGCACCATGTCAGAGCTCCTGCCAAACCGCCGCACCGCAGACACCAGCTGACGTTGGGTACCATGGCTGAGTCTTTGTACATTTTCTCTATGGGTCGACCGTTGGCTGAAAAAGCGTTGGTGGAAAATGGTGAGCAGCAGGTGCCTTTGTTCATGCTTGTTTTTTGAGAAGGTATCACGCCCCACAAAGGAACCCCAATCAATTTAAGTGTTGGCTGCTGGGAAGCAAAATGCAGCGACCACAAGGGGGTTTGCTATTTGGAGACACACATCCCCTCCCCTACAGAGCAAAACAAAAACACAAGCAGCACCAAAAAAACAAAACATGCACAAAAAGGAAAACACACAAAAGAAAAAGAAGAAGAAGAAAACAAAACGTACCAAACACGAAGGGGCAAAAACGAAGAGCAACAACCTCCGGAGGCGTTTTCGCCCAGCCGCCTTTCAACGGTTCTGTCCCATTGCACCAGGTCCGCCGGCTTCGACCTGAGGTCCCTGTGCTCCACCCGCACCTCTCGGGGACGAAACACCTTCAGCCACCAACACCCGGGCTCACGGGAATCCAAGGAACAGCCGCACGTGCTTCGGCGGGTTTTTTTCCCGGTTTTGGCACACGGTTCAGAAGCCGCTTCGCACCAGGGATCGGATACCAGGTGCAAAAACAGTCGCCTGCAACCCACAGACTCCCGAGACGTCGGTTTGGTGATCCGAGTGGGCGAAACCCATAGGGGATGACTTTACGGGATTCAACGCGCCACGCTCCGCTAACTGCTCTTCCCCTGTAGCCCTCTTTCTCCTGGTTTCCTCTTCCCCTCATTGTATTCCTGGGGAACCCCAGACTGAGTGGTTTCTCACTTGATTCCCTTTCTATTTGCTCCAAAGCAGTGACCGCTGCAACTTAGCGCCGTAACAATGACGTCCCGGATTTTGGACCACAACCAAGTACAAACTCTGCAAACTTCCAGCAGAGATTGACACTTGGGTGGAAGCATCGTTGGATTCATGCAAGCACCAACCCATGTGGTACGCCAAGCAAGAAAACTTGCAACCACGGCTGTGGAGCCAACTAGCCAGCTGGCTAAGCAAAGCCCGAACCAATGATGAGGACTAAAAGTTTCGGCCATGGAATGTCCACACAGCCCAGACAGGGGCGATGATTAGTGAACTGAAGCGCTACTGCGGCTCTGTTGCTTTCATAAGATATCAGACAGTGCTCACCGCATGCCCAGCAAGACTCGCTAAACAGGTCTGGGTAATCTTTTGGGATCATGAAACAACGTAAGTGGCTCGAAAGCAGCAGCTGTCTACAGCTCCCAAATATCTAATCAATGAATCTGTTCAGCTGTTACCACCTCCCAAAAAAGTGGCTTGCTTTTGGTCTGGTGGGAATGGCTAAATCGTATCTTGTCAGGATCCCCTACCAAGCGAACACAAACACCACCCAAAAGAAGGGCTCCATGGTGCATTTGCGTCGCAACTGAGCAGCGGCCAATACGAACATTGACTTTGGGTTCTACCTAACATGTTTCCTTGCAGAGTAGGCTTCACTATAAACAGGCGGAACTCCTCCAAGAGGTAGAACCACCTCACCCGGGGCCTCCCCTGCACCTCCACCTCGCCTGGACCTCCTCGCGCTTCGGGAGCTGCAGCCGGCTCTCGAGGATCTGCAGCGCCAAGACGCTGAGCTCCGTCCACGTCTCCGGGGTCACCCGGGCTCGACCGAGAGGCGCCATGGCGCTCCACGCGCTCCCCGCTCCAATTCCGCGCTCTGCGTGCGGCGCAAACGACAGAGTCCACATGAAACCTGCTCGGCGGTTTTTGGCTACATGGTCCATGGGAGCGGTATTCGGTGTTTCATGTGTTTCATGCTCCCGATTGGCGCGCTCTCCTCGCATTGAAGGGTTCACAACCCTTCATGGCCCTCCCTATGAGCCAAACATTGCGGAGGTCCGCGCGCTCTCCAAGGAAAAAAGCTTACAACGCGATCCTATCGGCTTCCATGTTGGCACCTTTTTCCAACTCTGAGAAGTGCCCAGCCCCCCTTTTGACTTTTAGCTCCGCCAACCGGCTGTTGCTGATGTTGAGAACTTTGGGGCCTATTCCAGCCACTTCCAGCGCCCAGCATCGCGTTTTGCTCGCTGCCACTTTCGCCGGGCACGGTGGGCTTCGCGTTGGCCTCAAATCCAGTCACGGGCCAGTGGTTGAAGCCTGTTCGAATGCAGGTACTTTACTTTGGATGGAGCTTCAAGTAGGGCATTGGAAGAAACACTGTCAACCAGCACCATGAGAAAAGTTGAATCCAGTGGTGGAAACCCGTTGGAATGAATCCTTTTAAAAGGGCTAGGAGGGCACCTTTTGGGGCGTGGTTTCAAAGGGAAACCCATTAAAAGCCATATCAAAGGCATTTTGGGGTTCTCAATGTTTCAGGACACGAAAAAAATGAGTGCCGGGGTTCATCTCGCATATCTGTTCACATCCAGGTTTCATACTCCTAGGCGCGTCCGAACAGACTTCAACCAACATAGACGTCATCTGAAACCATGGGCCTCCAGGAATCGCACCACCTCCTGCTGGCCGGCCTCCTGCGCCTATGACAAAAAATGGGAAAGGATGGCAGAGGGTAGCACCTTTTTCTCAGGTGTTGTGCGGCTTGCTATCTGTTTGGTGTGGTGTTGAATGAGAACCAAGCGGACAGTTCTTTTGCGGGTATCTTTTTGTGTGGTTTTGAAGAAGAACCAAAAGGACAGCCGCCACTTTGCCTTCTACTGAAATATAGTTTCTACAGCACAGATCAGTTCTACAGTCCGTATCTGCGCAACGTGCCGTTTACACAAAGACCTATTCTACATCAACAGTTGAGATGTGTTCTCAAACATCTGATCAAGCATCACATCCATGCCCAGGATTCGCACCCTGCTGCTTGACACCAGTGGCCGAAATTGAACGTTTCTGGCTTTCTGTGCTTGAGTGCGACACTTACAGACCGCCAACAGACATGCTATGAACACTCGAATTGCAGGAGCTGGATCTTTAGGACAGGCGACGCCTCACGACAAAAACAAATCCGTTACAAGCACCGCCAAGGGAGGCACGTTTGGCGGGTTCACATCACAAACGATGATAGCGTTCCCGGGCGTGGGATTCTCATAGTGGCCACCCACGAAGACCGCAGTCACGCCCTCTTTGGAGTGCTTCGAGCCCAATTCTCGAATCGCCAGGAACATATTTGAAGAGTGATCTATGGGACGTCTGGTGGGGCGAAGCCCGCCCCAAGCGGAGCAAGAAGGCCCCTTCTGCGAACTCTGCGTTGGGGCTTCGTCGCTTTGACGCTCGCAATCCTGTCCATTGAAATTCAGCCCATAACCACGATAGACCAACCCGGTTACCCTAGCTATCCGACGATCCATTTTCCTCAAAAGGGCGAGGCGCGCGTCCCAGATCTCATGTTATCAGATATATTGTCTCAGGGATCATCTCAAATTCAGGTTACCACGTTTGATTGTTACTTTAGACTCTGGCGCCGACGCTGCTTTCCACCGTTCCAAACATCCAGCTGTTAAAAAGGACCTGTGGCCTTGCTCTACACGTATTGTCGTACCTACAATACAACCAAAGCCTTCCAGCGCCGTTGGCCCATGAAATACTTGTTTCCATTGGGAAAGCCAAACGCTGCCATTTACATATTTGGTCTCCTACCTCCTCCAATACATATTCATCCTGCGTCGGAATAGATCCATATTGGGCCTCTTGAAGTTCACTAGTTACCTCAATTGTGGCAGCGGAGCAGGTTTTCCGAAAGCAGGATGCCAAGTGAAGAGGATTTCTATGTAGCAGAGTCCGCCGCGGCTTTTCTAGTCATAACGGCGGAAATGCTTCACATGAGGAGACCATCAACGTGCAAAACTGCCTCCATTGCACGACGCCCGTGTTAGTTGGCTCCAGAGCCGAGGGTCCTTTGTTGAAGAACCGGCTCACCGACGATGCCCTTATGTGTCGAGAGCTTCTGCACAATGAAAAGACTCGTTGATGCGCACAACCGAGTGGAATATTTCCTGTTCTCTCCGTGGCCACTGCCCCCCCAAAATGGTTTCCTATATAGATTCCTCAGTTTCTTCGACCCTTCGATCCAGCCAGCCATCCATCCATCCATCCCACGCAGCGAGCACGCGAGGCTGGCGCGCGGAGCGGTGAAAGTAGCCAACTTACCCAACGGCAACGAAGATCAGCCTTGTGCAGCGCCGTGTGCCCGGAACTTTGCGGCCGCTCCAGCGACAGGCCCTGGGCCAACAGCCAGCGGCACATGTCCACGCCTCAACCCATCACGACAGCGTTGGTTTTCGTGTCAAAAATAATACAAAAACGAAACCAAAAAAAAAACGAGGAATCCACCAAGCATTCAGTCACAAACTGCTCCAACCCCCCAGAAGTAGACTTGGACACCAATAATCAGCACGAGGAAACCATGCACGGGAAAGCCAAGCATTTGTGGGGGTTCCCCAAATTGCAAGGGAACACCCTGTCGCTGGACAAAAAGAGTTGCGCTGGGATTCCAGGAGTTCGCAAACATGCGCGGAGGAGTGCACTTTGCGCTGAAAAATCACTTTATGTGGTACCAAATTGACGTCATAGACCTCACATGACAGTCATAGATTGCCAACCCTTCAGCCCGAACATCGAAGCTTTCTGTCCTGAGAATAAGGGAGTGGGGGGGGCTGTAGACCGTTCCTGCGGGTCGCTGGCTTGGGTTTGCCCACTGCAGCTAGTTTACTTCAGCTGGAGGTCCAGATCCCTGCTGAAAGGGACAATCGGGTATGTCAGGCAAGTGAGTAATAACCATTGATTATAACCCACAAAAGCCATGATTGCAAGTCTCCGTTCAGTGTGGTATAACCCAGGCTAACTAACTTATTAAGTACTGCCCCTTTAAGAAGCTGATTGCACGGCCGCCCATTTGCCAATCCAATCCAACCCACTTCCTAAGTACCCAGTCGCCCCGTTTGAGCAACCAATCCCCTTTGGACCCCGGCTGCCGCCCAGGGCGGCAAAGTGCCCCACGTCGCCTCAAGCAAAACACGTCGGCGATAGGCAGATCGTGGAATCGGAAATCGGGGGCCATCCCCAAGAAGCGTCCATCCCAGGACTCCTGGGAGCTGGAAAGATGGAAAACCAACTAAAGGTTATAGATGTAAGCATAGGTGTTCTTTTTGATTGAATATAGATGGCCCTGGTAGTTGATTGAACCACCAGTTAAACGAGGGCCCTATATCTTTAAACCAAATCAACCAAAAAGGACACCTATGACAAACCTCAAACCCGGAATCGCCAGGCTGGAAACCAGGAAATGCTCCAAAAAGGAAAGCCCGAAGGCTTGTCTTGAGTTCAGCAACTTTCTTGCTGGCTCTCAGGGAATGAGCTGGAACCCGAACTGAACCATCCAGGTGGACTTCTTTTAGGTTCCCAGTTCATTCTTGATTGGGTTTTCGAAGGCTCGGTACTCTCTTCAGGTTTCCCTTGGAGAAAACCAAAAGGATCCCCAGCTTCGTTCGTTCAGCCAACTGGCCTGTCTCAAAACAGGGACCTCGCAAAATAGATGGTGTTCTAGGGTGTGTTCCTATGGTTTCCCTTCAAACCAACCCCGAAACTCAGCTGCTCATGGGAGCAGTACCACCCTATTGGCCATTTGAGTATGTGGTGCCTGGTTTCATGTAGCTGAAAAAGTTTTAAAAAAAAAGGAAGAAAAAAAGTCATGGAACCCAAACAAGCAATGAACCCAAAAAAAAAGAAGAAGGGAAAAAAAATCCGTAGTCATGGAGCCCTAACTAAAAGTCCACGGCTCGCCGAGCCCAAAGCTGCTTTCCTCTGCGGCTCCCCGCAGTCCCAGGCGTTCCGCGCGTGCAGGTCCGCGCGCAAAACCAGCAGAGCTGCGCAGCTGGTCACGTGGCCCCCGTAGCCTCGGCAAGTTGGAGCCGGGATGTCTTTGGGGGCCGGGTCTGTTTCTGGGTGTTTGGACCCCGCCCAAAAAAGTATGTAGAAATTAGGGTTTTCCTGTTAGCTTCCCTTTGCAACCACCCAAAATTTATATATATATATATATATATATATATTCAAATATATATATATATATATATTCAAATATATATATATATATACATATATATTCAAATATATATATATATGTATATATGTATACATATAAATAAAATTAAAAATAAAATAATAATAAAAATTGTTGGTTTTCCTTTTGGCTTCCCTTTGACGCCAAGAAAGGATACCCTCAAAAAAAGTACTGGGGGACTCTCTGGTGGACATCAGAACTCGGGAATTGGGGGTTCTTTCGGTGATTCCTAGTTTAACAAAAAAATGGGGGATGCCCATACTGATTTTCAGGGTCGGAAACCACAGAAAAACAACTGAAGCCAACTTGCAGCGGTGGATCCTGAATTCCAGGAAGACCGCAGATTCCTTGACCCGCAAAAGTCAGGGGCCCGAGTTTGGTACCCATGTGGGCTGTTCAGTTTGCGTTACAGGGAATCCAAAAGGAAAACGGCGATTTTGGGGTCCTCCTATTCGGACACATGCCCATAAGGTGACTTGACTCCAAAGGAAACTAGTCTAGTTTTACATGATCTGGGTGTGGCTCCTTTATTTGGAGTTGGTACCTTTTTGAGGCTGTTAGATGGAAACCAAAGAGAAGACCCATTTTAGAGGGTTCCAAAGGAAACCGGTTTGGCTTAAAATGGGCCTTAGTATGGTGCCAATCATCTACCAGCGTCCGGGTTTCTACAAAATACCCCAAGGGTTCGACATTTTGGGATGGCCAGGAACCGCATCAACCCGTTCTCAAGTCTCTATGACACCCCCAGGTGTGACATGCTCGAAACTCCCTGTTTCCATGGTCATGGTCGTCCGGGTTCCCCCACCAGCAGTCCAACACGGGATAGTTTAGTCATGGCACATATGGGGTTATCGTCTCCTGGTGGCACCCTGCTTGGGGTTGTTTCAAAGGAATCCAGGACAACCGAGGAAAAGCCACACCTTTCGAGACAATCCATACTTCAGCAGAACCAAACCGTACCAAATGAAAACATGCCAAGAATGGTAGATTTTTGCGGCGAGCCCTTCCGTGGATTTCATTCCAAGGTAAAAGGTCCGTGCTAAGATCTGGCGGGGCGGTCCCGGCGAGTTGCCATGGGTTTGTCTCATGGACTCCCAAAGAATGGGCGGTTTCCAATTTGGCCTCATTGAACTAACCCCACGAAGAGCCAAGGAGCTCGCCAGCATCAGCATGGTACCGCCGTTGGTGGTGCGCCTCTTCACATCGGCTCTCCTAGGGACTTGCGAATGTTGAAAGCCGCTTTGGATCGGTTGACAAGGAAGTCAAAAAGAAAGCCCTCCCGCTTTGGGGGCCCAAGACCCCTATTCTGACACATACTCTCTGGAATGACCCCATCCAAAGAAATCACCTGCAAAATGCCCAACACAAGCGCTTCGATCATTGTTCACCCGTCCTCTCCACTAGAAACTCGAGCACCTTGCAAGCAAGCACCCGTGCTGGCGCAACTCAGAAACACGCTCCGTCACGCGAACTCGATTGTGACCAAAAGACAGCTAACGGAAACAAACAGCGCTCTTTCATGAGGTCACAATGAGGCAAAACAGAAGCAGTTTGAATGTTCCAAAAAACAAAACTCAAACATGAAAACCGATGGAAGTTGGGAACAAGGTGTTCCGCTTACCGGAAAGCGTATCTTGACACTTCTCGTTCGCTCTCTCAAACCCCCAGTGAACACTCATGGCTTGGTTGCCGGACGGAAAAGCTCTGCAAAGCCTCATCCAATAGGTGGTGTCCCTTTGGCTTAAAAGCAGTCCGAAAAGGGCTGTAGAAACCTCTATTGCCGACCTAGGCTGATGCCAGTGCCGAACGCCTATGGCTATAAGTCTTCAGCCTCATCTCCATTTACGCATACCTGCCCACACGGGCCTTCTTTGGGCAACACTTCGGTCGGCCTCGGTGCGCCCGAACCGCGCCGCCCAGTGCGCCGCAGTGCGCCCGTTGCGGCAGCACCGCGCTGCCGGGCACAGGGGGAGCCTGGGCAAAGCGAGCGTCTCAAGCAGCTCCGGGGCCCTCTAAGGATGGATCCAAAGGAAGCGTGGCTCAAAGAGGGGTCCTGCAAAAGGTTTCCTTTGGCTTCCCTTCGACTGCTCATCAACATGGGTCCACCATTTTGAGCTGTTGAATGAGTTGAAATGATCCGGAACTGAAGCCATGGTCCAAAACCCCGATCACTTGCTTACTGAGAACTAGCAGCTAGCAAGGTCAGCGCCCAAAGTTTGGCAACACCCATGTGTGCGTGCGTACACCGCACCATGTGGTGGGTTTGTCTCAAAATGGGTCAGGGCAGCAAACATGTTGGAGTTTTTTTGGTTCCCCTTTAAACACACAAAGGGGGTGCCCCGAAAAGTAGTAAAAGGAGAATTCAAAGAATTATTCTTTCTACTATTTTTTCTCCAACAGCAACACAACAAACAGAAAACAAAATCCAGAACAACAAGCAAACAAAATAAATAATCACAACCAACAACAAAAATATTTAATCACAGCATACAACATTAAATAATTCAAACAAGCATACCAACAAAACAGCAACACTCTAAATCATCAAAGAACCCAAACTCAAAAACACACATCAACAAAAAACAAAGCAACATACCAACAAAAAATATCACAAGAGTATCAAACAAAACAAAAACAAACAGCCAAAGCACGAAAAATTGAAGAAGCATGCCAAGTCTAAACAACGCACTTTGAAAGAGATAAGCAAATTATAATAATTCAATCTTTACAAACGATAAATATATTACAATTATAACATATAATATTTTACATGTGATAATCATAGTATGATTATAATTTCAGTACAGGATAATAATTTAATTGATTTGTCTTACTTCTTTCATACATCATTTTAAAAATAATATTAATATCTCTCAATGTATTTTGAACATTAAAATTTTTACTTTCAATAAATAATTTGATATTTTCTTTAACATCTTCTCCTTTCTCTTGACTATATCCCAACATCCATAATATATCATAAATCATGTCATATTTTTCTTACTGATTTTAAGAAACTGTTTAACATAATCATAAGGTGGTATTTTATACACAGTTAAAAATATTAAAATATCATCTTCTACATTTATTCCATCTATTTTTTTAATCTCCAAAATGTTTTCTATTATATTTTGATATCGTCTCCATCTTCTACAAATTTTACATTCGTCTTCTTCATCCATTGAATATTTAGTAATATTATTCACTATTTCATTAGATAAACTCAACTTATACAATTCCATATTTTCTTTTTTGAAGTGACAACAATCATAGCATTTTTTATTGATATAATTATTGATTTTATCACCGTTCATTTTCCTCTTATTATATTAAGGCACTATTTCTTTAAGTCATTTTTAAGGCATTAACAAAAATTAAGAAACTAACCATAAGTATAGTATAATTATAGCATATAATATTTTACATGTTATAATTATATTTCAATTAAGAATTAAGGATTTAAGATAACAGTCAGGCAATATGTCTTCAAATATGTAATCTACATATTTATCAATATCACCAATGTCTATATATTTGATATTGTCTTTTCCTATTATTGAATAAATATACTCCCAAAAGAATAAATACAACATTAGACATACTTTATATTTAGTGTTGTAGTAATACCATACATGATATTTAGTTATTCTAAATTCATTCAAGACCTTGTTTATTTTATCTTTGCTTAATAAATGCCAATCAATCTCTTCAAACAAATCACGAAATTCTTTAGCAAATGATTTATATGGTTTAATGCTTAGTTCTCCTCCAAACCTTTTAATCAAATCTTTATTATTAAAAAACTCATCAATTTCTTTTTCAAATGACTTTCTTGCAATTTTATGACAAAAATATACAGGAAATCGTTTTTGATATCTCATAAAGAATTTCAATTTTAATTGAAACTTTGTATATCCCTTATCCTTATATTCTTCAACAAACAACTTTTCAAGTTCTCTTGTTATACAGCATTGATTACAATATACATCATATTCACTTATTTTATTACACAGATTAGCAGGTAATAAGTTATACAATGTAAAATTAATATCATTCTTTTTATTATTACAACATTCACACTTACTATAATTAAACAGTGTCATTTTTCCTCTTAATATATTAAGTCAATATGTCTTTAAGTCGCTTTCAAAGAATTTATTTTATAATGGCCGTAAGCAAGTGAGTTTACACTATCTATCCAATATTTTTGGTTTTCATAACTACTAAGAGCAATTTTGTTAGTTGCTATACTAAAAATTCTGTGGTTTTTACTTCTAATACTATTAAATGACTTATGTATAACCTTATTAGTTTTTAAAACCGTCTCAAACTCTTCATATTTCATTTGACGTCTTACTGTGCCTTTTGCTATGCCCTTACATTTCTTATATTTTTTATCATCACCATAAACTGAGTAAGCATAGCATTTAGGACGAAGAGCTATAAACCCTGTTATTATTTTACTTTTTAATTCATCCTTAAATTTACCTAATACTTTCTTGTTATTATCATCATAACATTTATGTTCCTTAGGATAATCTGAAAAATCTAATTCTTTTTTAATTGTATTAAGGTCTTCATAAATGTCATTGGTTTTAGTATGAAATACAAAACTATCAGTATCAGTATATACCATTTTAATATTATCTCCATATTTAGGCTTCATAACGTCATAATAAAATTTATACATGTGTTGCTTACTCAAATCTAAAATACTCATCCCAATAAATATAGGTTTGTCTAGTTTCAACTTTGTTTTTTGCTTTTCAACTCCAACCAAATTTTCATTAATGATATGACTATGTTTGAAGTTAGGATTACTTACACACTTCATATATCTAGTTTCATCACTCACAACTTCAAAGTCTAAATGTTTTCGCTTATCCTCCATTGTTTTTCCAAATATGGCATTGTTCATCAATTTGTAAACATCTTTCTCAAAATCATTTCTAGCATTCTTCCTCTTCTCAGTGTTAAACTCAATGTAAGGTTTTAAAACTTCTTTTTGTTCAAATTTAATTGCTCTATGAATTTTCTTAAGTTTTAACCCTTGCTTCAAATAAAATTGCAAGGTTCTTATATGGATTACATATTTTTCTTTATCATTTAAATTCAATACTAATTTATTTGTTTTCTCATCCGTAGGTTTTTTATGATTTAAAAATTCATACATTTCAATTTGTTTATCTGACAGCATGTCGGCTTTAACATTCATAACCTCAGGTGCCATTGGATAGTCATTGTGTAAATCGTGTAATTCTTTAGGATATTCTAAATCCACTTCTAGAATATATCCAATATTATTATTTTTGTAATTAATAATGTCTTCTTCTTTTAATGTATCATCCCATTTTAGATTTTTATATGGCAGTTTTTGTATCATGCTTAACCCGTACAAATTATTAGCATCAAAATAGTTAATATAACTACTTTCTTTACTTTCATCATATTCTTCACCCATGTATTTATTGTTTGCTTCAACTTTTTTAGTAGAAACCATACACATCCCGCCTCTAAGTCCCGCTTCTATCATTTCATACATTTCTTGGTCATATATTAAATCAATCTCTACACCAGTCATTTTAAGCATAGCATCAAAAGCAAAGTTAGGCAATGTATAATAATAAGCAGGGTCCAATCCATAATATTTCATACATACATCTCTAAAATTTTCGAAAATGTCAGTCAATAATAATACATCAGTTTTCAAATATAAATCATGGTATTCACCCATATTCTTAATGTCGAAATGCTTCCATATAATTTTTGCCCTTTCATAGTCGTTAACACTTATACCTTCTTCACTCAACTGACTATAAAAATCATCCTTACTCGGTAATTGCTCATCATCAAATTTATCAAATGAATTCATGTAGTCATAAGGATAAACGCCTTTATCAGTTAATAAATCTAGACATTTCTCACTCTTAATCACATCATTTTTACTACTGAACCTAAAATTATCTTTCCAGTTTTCACGCAATAACCATTTACTTTTATCTTCTTCATCTGTATTATCATACTTACTCATTGAAACTAACTTATCTAATGAAGCAGTTAAAAACCCAAAAGTGTCTTTAACACTCAAACTTTCAAAACTGATATTAATAAATTTTTCACTGTTCTGAGCGATGACACCTATTTTACTGTTGTTACTTAATTTATCAGCATTTTGAATAATTAAATGACCGTCATAATTTTTCATGTTATGAAAGAATACTGGAATTTTAAAATATCTATTACAAAAATTAAGATTGCAAACATTATGAGCACAACCTCTATACTTACCTGTAAAATGACAATGGTCTCTAACTTTTCTATATTTCTCTGCTTCCTTGGCATTCTTATAGTTCATTCTAAACTTATCCCCACAAATAAAGCAGTTTTTAGCATTTTTAAAATCTTCTTTGTCTTCATCAGTCATGTCTATTTTTTCGTTTTCTCCCATCTTCTCCTTTACTTCTGCCCTAATCTCATTAAGTTTTTGACAAAACACATCAACAGCATCTTTACCACGATACATAAATTCATAATTTGTATTATCAACAGCATTAACCATATTAAGCATAAAACCACATGGTTTATGCTCTTGATAAGAAAAAGTGTTTTTATCTTCATCTTCATCAGGTTTTTTCAGTTCCTCTGTCAAACATTCAAAATCAGCATATACAACAAAAGGACACCTTAACTTTTTGAAGTGATGCTTAAAACTAACTTTCTCATAAGGCTTAGGCATTACTATTTGTTGACCATCAACTTCCATGCATCCACTATCATAATGTTTATTTAATAATTCTTCATTTCTAAATCCATGATTACAATATTTACAAAAATAGGACTTACCATTATGATTACTTTTCTGATTATTAATAAGTCTGCTCAAACTTTTTATATACACATAATGACTGCAATCCTCCTCATCAACTCTCAACAAATCAAGATGACAAGAAGCATCTTTATTTTTCAATTTTCTA